AATTCTGACATGCAATAATTGCTCAGACTGGTAAAGATTAATAAAGATTAGACTATTTTCAATATGAATAGCCAACTACATTATTATACTTGTACGTTCACTTAGCATAACGTATTTTCCAGAAATAAATTCTATGGCTTATAAATAACATAAACATGTTTTCTTTGCTAAGGCTGACGTAAAGTTTATTTTCATATTTATCGAAGGAGGTGTGTCTACTTGCCTCCATTGAGCTCCGCTATGCTACGTCACATGTTTTGCTCGCAATGTTAATCTGATTACGACCTGTCTGTAATCAAACAAGCACTGTGGACATACGACCAGGGTTGCCAACCTTAAAACTTCAGGGGGCCTAACAAAGTAAAATAATCTCATACATTGAGTTCATTTGTAGCAGTTTTTATTAATGAGTTGTTATAAAACGTATCACTCGCTTGCCCTAACGATATACGCTGACAGGACACCAGTAAAAGTAGATAGGAAGAGAATGACGTCAGGTCAGTTAGCTCATCCGACAAATTCACCATGAATTTATCACGATGGTTAACAAGAAGAACCGCGCAGAGGTCAAGCTGACATGGTACCTAAATGATATATTAATCCACATTACTAACAATCCTATTCTCAGTACTGTTGGAATGACAACTAAATTGGAATTGAACTTAGTTGCGGTTGAAATTTTCCTAAGTCGATATCTCGTAGGGAACTGCAAAACTGAGTTACCACCACCAGGATCGCAATAGAATACTTCAATGACCCCGTAACCCAAATACTAGGATGGAAATAAAAAAACCGTAGTGGTTTTTTCCCGATAGAGATCGCCTGTTCGGCATTCGCATATCCAAGATTAATTTTCCCCACCTTATAAATAAAGTTCAAAATTCGAAGATGGTGATAGTGTGCTCATGCTTTGAAACAAAATTGTAAAACGGTGATAGTGTCCTCGTGACTTGGACTTAAAACGAAAATCTTTTATCAATACGAAAATATCAAGGATTTTCGTACAATTGGCATCCCTGTATGCGACGCTTCTATAAATACTGGTGTGAATACCAAAAATGTGTGATTACTGAGACGCTCGCCACCGAAAATGTGCGAAGTGCTATCTGGGTATCATATTATCTGTGAGTAGCGTTTTAATTTTGAATACTTTTTAATAATTTCATATTAAAATATATGTATTCTTAGAGTAAGTAGACTAACAAATGTTATTTTTTCGTCACATGTATCATAATTTGAAGAAAATTCATTTAAAATGTTTTAATATTATGTATAGCCATAGTAAATCTAATTATATAGTATGCAGTGACATACAATTTATATATTAAATAAATTATTATCGAATTCTACATATATTGAGACAAAGATTAACATCATGATTAAAAAAAGACAAAGATTACGTTTTAATGAATTTTTATTGATATTGTACACATTAAGTAAGCGGGATATTTATCATGATAATATTCTTTAAAAGCTCTACATATTTCCGCTTTCACAAACGTCCTGGTGACGGGTTGATTTTTTTTATTAATTTTAATAATATGTATGAATTTTTTGTTTCAATTATGAGAATAATAAATATACTTATAATATTTTTTTAATAAATTACGAAGCATAGTATTGTATGCAGGTAACGTATACAGAAAATACGCATGGTAGTTTACGAGCGGCCTTATTGAAATGCGGCCAGCGGTTCGAGCACGGTCGGTCACACCGCCCCGTTTATTTGCCTGGACATGTAATATGTACCCAGGGTACAAGGTTATATCTTATTTAATCGTTTACCATTCCCACAAGGAAATACCTTTTCGGATATATGAACTTTTACAAGTCATTGCAAACCGTTTTATGAAAAAAAATATCGACCCCGCATAAGTTTTAATCTGAATATATGTAGTGTAAAAAATAAATTTTATATATGACATAGAGTTGCTGTAAACATGTATTAATATTAAAGCTTCAATTTATAATTTGTACCAATATAAAAAAGACTTCGGGGTAGGTATATAGAATTACATAGGGTTTATTCGTTAACGCCGTATGTTAAATGATTCTTAAAATTATTGCAATTATAGAAACTTTTCAGCAAGTATAATCAGCAACATAAACTGTATTTAAAAAAAAAAATATTACCTACAATAATTGCAACCGTGCGAAACCGGTCGGGTCGCTAGTATTCAATATTTTTATAAGGAGTTTGTAATAGCATTAAATAATTTATAGTCGTATTGACTTATAGGCTTAGAGTTTATAATTTAATTAAAATAAAATTTGTGTAGTAAACAAAGTTATTACTTACATCTTTGAATGACATTGGACTATAATATTTTTAAAATGATATTTAACTGTGTTTCGTAAATTAAGGTTTAAAATTCAAAGATTATTAAATTATTTAGGATCATTAATTCATTTGAGAGTAATGTAAAACTTGAATTGAGAGGGATAAAGATGTCACAAAACATCACGGCGCAGACTCATCAAAAGAAACAGACCTATTTAAATTCTACGCTGCACTTTCATTCCGCGATAAATTGCTACTGAGATCAACGCGGAAAGGGCGTGGAAATTACTTATTAAACAAGCAGTGAATCCAGTCCTATGGGTGACCGAATTACAGCGTCGCAGTGCGGAATCCATTGTGTTTGACGGAACTGTTACGAAAGGTTTGCTTAACGCACGTTTTCTGGTTTTCCAAATTGTGTTTAAGACAACTTCAAAGTCATCTATAGTCCAATGATAAAACTCTTAGTGAAAATAAAAAAAACATGTTTGATGAGTCTAAAAATGCATTCAAAATATGTACGACTAAAATTCGCTTTTGTATAGTGTTTATTCATTAAAATATATAAATATTACTTATAAATTTAAAAAAGCAACATTGTTATAAATATTTTTATTTTATAAAAGTGAAGTTATAAAAGTTACGTTCTTACTTACTCGGAACTACTTCAGATGTTTTTATTTTAGTTTGTTTTTTTTTTAACAGTAATTTATTCCCTAGAGATCATAGACTAAATCACTGATAACTACGCATGATGATTTACATGTTACATTGTTAGCAATGGGGCCAATAGATATTATTACCATCAAGTCGCACCGCCGGTTAACTACAGGCTAAGGCCGGGATCGGTAAACTTAGTGCGTTGCTAAAAGAATATTCCTAAATAAAGTATACGTAATTATTATATTTTTGACAGTTAAGAAAACAATTTCCTTTTGCAAGCACGAGAATTTAAACTGGAGTTTCGCGTTTATATTTTCGTGTATATATTCGCGTAGCAACGTGTCTTACAAACATCAAAAATTATATAACATTATGTAAAACTTTTTCTTTTCATTGCTTATAAATAATCCATCATAATACTCAAAAGCAATATCGGATGGAGCTTAATGTAGGAGCGCAATGGTGAATCCACATGCATACAAATACTGAACATATTAAATGTTATCCTTTTTATAGAAGCACTTTCGGATTTATATGGGGCTGTTCTTAAAAAGGTTCCATTATATACTAGCCCTGTACTCAAAAATATATACTGTTCATATCATCTGTGTGCACATTATAAATGTATGTATATTAATTTAATTGTATTATAATATATAATTATTATTTTATTTTAAATCAGTTTCTATTAATATTTACAGTTCCCTCCGCTTACACTTTACAATTATTGGAATTAAACTTAACTGCCAAATCACTAATTTCACTGGCATATCTTATACTCCAAACGAAACACAACTTAGAAACCAAGCTACTTGGCGGCTGAAAAAGGTGAACTGAGGCATCAATGTAGGCAGATTTGTATAAAATCTACCTCTGGTAATAATTATTTAAGCGCTATTTTAAGCATTAACATTAATTTAAGCGCAAAAATGGCAACATTAAAGCAATATATTCACTATTCTGTATTTTCTGTGTATACTAGATACTAGATAACATATGCAACGCTTTTCTAAATCAGCATTAGTTCCTGGACCATTTTTCTATAACAGCACAAGTAATACCGATATTCTGCCAAGTTCCTTTGTAATACCACAGAGAAAAACATAATTTGTTTGTCTCTGTGGTACAGATAATATAATAATTAAAATGATAACCCAAAATGGTCGTTAACTTAAATTATGCTCTATATATAATTTTATTGCGTTGATTTCAATGATAAAAATGGTATAATACTTAAATATATTTATTTAAAGACCACACCAGGACACAGGTTATCTTTACAGGTCATTTATAAAAAAACAATGGTTGTTTCTGTGCGAAATATTACTATAACATTTGAGCGAGGTAAACTTTGTACGAACTAGTCTGAGAACATTGTACCCAATTACATAGTATGTAAATTTGTACGAAATCATCTGAGTAAGACCACTTCGTATAAAGTTACAGACTAAGTCACTATGTACTTATAATATATTCTACATTACGTCTAATTAGTTAATTGTTTTCGGATTACTCTAATGCTATTGGCCTCAGCTTGCCTTTACAGCTTCACAGGACGATAGGGGGCGAGTGCAGATGGCATTCCAAATCCGCGGAAGAACTTATGGAGCGGCTGAAGGCCAACTCCCGTACGACTTTAGTCTGAGGTCACCGCTAGGGTCCGAACCTCGGCTGAGGTCGGCGTAATTTCGATCCCCGTTTAAATTGGACGGGGAATCGATCGAAGGGGGGACGGGCGATCGATTCTAATTAGTACGGATTATCAGTATCGGATAAGCTGTGGCTTTTATATTTCTAATTTCTTTTGCTGTATTCTTGATCTTTGTATCTTTGATAGTATTGGAAAAAAATAATTTTTTATTTGTGTTCTAATCATTGGGATGTGACCATTAATTAATTAATTAATTGACGAAATTTAATAATATGCTTTTATACCAATAAAACATAATACAAATTAAATAAGTCTTTCTAAAATTTTTTGGTAGCTATTAATTTTGGGTGTCAGAATGATTTTTTATAGTTTTTTTTTAATGATATACATGTTATGCCACAATAGCCACATGGGTGAACCGGTGTAGCGAAGACCTAGAATGTCTGGACTTGGAAGAGGAGCAGCCTCTGGCGCAGCTCTGCTCAGTACAGGCTGATAAGATGACACTGTTCTTCACGGAGCTGTTGGACCACGACAGAGATGATGTCATCTGCGATGACGACTTTGACCAATTCTTCGAGGTACGAAGGTATTCCAATGATACTGACATCTATTGTGTATAATCTTTAGAATGTCGAACAACTTACTGCTAGTTTGGTGCCAAGTAGTAACAGTCGCTTGTATACATGAACAGCATCTCGTAAATCATGCTGACATGTAATGCACATAATGTTGCCATTCCAAGGAGTAAGATATCATGGTAATCTGTGATTTCACGGTTATCTCAATGAATTAATTCAGCTTATGAATGGAATAGGATTACTGACACTTTATTATTTCTTTGAACATAATCTTAAATGCACTACTTAAAAATAAAAATAGGACATGAACACCTTAATGTTAAGTGATTTGTTCAGACTACTGAATAGACTCTAATGAAGGACTTAGTAGAATATTTGGCCTTTTGTTTAGGATATTACATTCACATTATCTTATCCTTCCAACCCAAACACGACAAATAGCTACTTCAATACCTTATATTACAAATTTATTTACTAAATATTATATACAAGGTACAGCTTTATGGAATGTTTAATGAGCCTGACAATGGAGTCACTAATACTCTACATTACGTCTTTTTAACCTCAGCTAACCAGCTCCACCGTAATGAAAGAAAATAATTAAATTCATTTCACATCGTTACTCACAGAGGCTGGCACACTTCGCCGACTGGTCGACCAACTCATCCGAGTTTCATATACTACTAGAAGTGAAGCACGAATTCATAGAACATTTCATCAACCCGTTGCCTTCTAAGTAAGTCGATTAATCGCACAATAAGTTTACATGAATAGTGAATGAATCGAGATAATTAATAATCATTATTCATCAAGATTTAAGGTACATTTTCTGGAATTAAGAGATACAAAATAACGAGACTATTAGCAAGACCGTCCTTGTTAATGGCAAGGCTTGCATAAATGAATGTACATTTTCAAATAAAACTCTGTACAACTCCAAATACTGAAACATTCATCAATCAAGAACTTCGTATTTTGTAAGATAACAAAGGCTTTAAGTCATTGGGTGTCATCTGTTTAAATAAAGCTAAAAGATCAGAGACAAGAAACTGTGTATATAATGTGATTACAATATCTAATTATTTAATAAATAAAATTTAATCCCAAAATGATATTGATTACTAAGAAGAAAATATTTATTAACTATATAATGAAAGATTGTTTAAGTCTGTATTATTTATTAATGTAATTTACGTTTTATTGGTTTTATTATTTTACAATTTTTTCTTTACAATTGTTTGTAAACTGATATACCCTGTATAAGAGGGTAAATTCAATGATAAAATAGTGTATCCTTGTTGAAACCGTTTTCACACATTCTGACGTTAATCCTATCTATCCTGATACACATATCGTTACCTTCTATTTATTTTAGTATACACATTCATGAAGAGAACATTGCGTAAATATGTATACATGTATTCTGAAATCATGTATCCTTAGTTCCTTAATTTTTTATACCTCTAAAATGTACATTTTTTTTATTTCCTAAAACAATATTTTAGTTCTGAAAGTATTAAACACTATTTTGTTTAGACACTTATCTGAATATATTCTAAATAAATTAAATACCTACTGAATATTCTCAGATGGAGCGAACTTCCCTACTACAGACGGGTCTGTGGTCCTGAAGCAAGTGGGATCAATATCCCAGGACGAACCACCCTCGAAGGCTGGCTGGCGAGATGGGCACTGCACCTTAGCGAAATGAAGCGGTTTTCTGATCTACCCCTGTATTTGCAGTACTTGTGCAAGATACTGTTCCATGTCATCGATAGAGAAGGTAGGTACAATATTATCCAGGCTGCAGGAATATATTATAACACCCCTCTTACCAAATCTAATCTGCAACTCTCAGTAGGCAAGTTGTTATACCATTGGTGTATCATCTTGGAGATGATACACAGAATAAGACATAATTTTTTTGTTTGATATAGTTTGAAAAAAGGTTTTTTTATTGTGCTAGTCTAGGAAAGAAGCAGACAGTACATCTGATGGGAAAGTGTATCCGTCTGTTTATTACGTTCTACGAATAAACAGCTGAATGAATCTACACGAAATTAGACATGAAGACATAAATTAAATCACAAGATCGGACATGGAATATCTTTTATCTTAACGGCCTCGGTAGTCTAATCGTTTAACACACCTAACTTCCAATGATCGGGGTCATTCAAAATTTGTATTCATGTGCATGATTGTTTGCATATTATGTGGGTGTTTTCTCTATATATATTGTGTACATAATAACAAAAAACAATGTATCTTTGTATTTATATCAGTTGTCTAGTACCCATAACACAAGCTCTGCTTAGCTTGGGACTAGATGGCACTGAGTGAATTGTGTTGATAGATAATTATTATTTATCTCATAAAGCAGATGAGTCGCAAGTAGCCTTATCTTTAAAACAAATACTGAGAAATTCGGCTTATTCGATCGAATAAGATGGAAATCTAATTTCCACGCGGTCAATGATATTCATGAGAAAACAAGAGAGCTCTCGGAAAGTTGTGTGGTCGAGAACGCACGAGCGGCACTCGTCGAACCGCAACTGACTGATGGACGGGATCTGACGGGATTAATTTGACGCGAACAGGCCGGAGTGACGGCGGTCTGGAGTCGGGGCACGCCCGTGAATCACGCTAATTGTTACACCTGACTTATTTATGAACCTACTTGAACGTATGAACGTGAATATTAACACATAAAACACCAATGTGTTCCGAATTCTGACTTACTTAAACAGGAAAATATGATCAGTATTGAAAGTTCGAATTGTGACTGTCTCTCTGTGTTCAAATACTGACAAGCAATATAAATAAAAACTGACACTAGTAATAATTATTACCTAAATATCTGTTATCATAATTAATATTAATATGTGATACGAAAACTCTACCATTTTTCACACGCACATGATGGCTGTATGAATTTAAGACCTTTAATTCTATGATAATAGAAACTTAATAAAATTCTAATTTTAAATTAATTAAGGTAAAATTACGATCACTGATTATCACTAGTAAAAATGAAATGTATAAAATGTATTGGGTCGAATATTTGATAAATAGCAACTTGCTGTATATGTAGGTATATACCTATATTTAAATATGTACGGTCTATTAAATTATGTTTTTGGTAACTTTCCAATAGCTTCCTTGGCAGTTGGTGGAATATTCCACGCCAAATTCTTTGTTACTCTTGTAGGCTCCATTTTGTTAAATCCGAAATATACATATGACATTATCATTAGCGTATTCTCCTTAACTTTAATGACTCTTTAAAGTGCCTTGTCCCAAACTAAATATAGCTTGTGCTATGGAAACTAAACAACTGATAGAAATACTATGTATTTTTTATAAATTCATACATACTTATGAATAATAAAGTTTGTACCGAGCGAAACCAGAACGCGCGATAATCTAATGAAAAATGATGTGCTAAACCCCTAGAACACTAGAGCACTAAGGCCATCAAATAATATAAATCAGGTTTGCCTGGCATACATCCAATATTATTTTCAAAAATCTCCAAATGAAAAATACTATTGTGATAATTCTAAAATATTAGAAGGAATATAACTTGATAAACTTTTTTTTTTTGTAAATAAGGGAACAACTTCTGAGTTCAAACCAATCTGCATGAATTAATAGATCTCGTTATAAAAACATCACATATGGAATAATTATAACTCATAAGTTCGTTCGTTCGCCCGGATGCTTATTCATTATTTATATATATATAACATAATACAGTATACCCGTATCTCTCTGAAATATGTACCTAAAACTGAGATTGAATTTCTCATATGGGTGCAGTGGTTTTGGAATTTACTTTCTTCTTAGTCCGCTCTCTCTCTCACACATTCTCTTTCTCTGTTTATAATATAGTACATATAGATATCCTTTATAGCTCGTTTTTATTGTTACAGCCACCGGCGAGATAACGAAGCAAGCCCTCGCTGCATTCTACCGTTCAGTAATCGGTCTCAGCGGAAACAGAGTCGAGGAAATTATCGACACGGCTTACAATAGGATGACAAGCGTAAGTACACTATTACTTTCACTGTTAGATTCAAACTCCAGAATTGTAAGATTTTTAAGTGTCTTTAGGCAAAATACATTTATTTATATTACCAAATAGTGATGCCATAATTTTGTGGACTTCATTTTATTTATATATATTTCAGGCTACTAATGTCCTATATTATAAATATCTAAGTAGATTAAGTAGAATGTATATATACATTCTACTTAATCGGATTACGTGGAATCGAATTACAACCATTATCATACCATCACGACTGTTTTCCCAGATAAGGTAGAATAGAATAGAATAGAATAGAATAGAATATATCTTTATTGCTAACTGTGTGGGTACATTTTTTTGTGGGTGGTATAACAATATATATAGTTATGTATCAACAGTTTCATATCGGGTATGCAACAATTTACAACATATTTGATTTTAGATTATAGTATAAATTACATTAATTAATTATGTCATGGTATTATTATAAGTATATTGTCAAGGATGTCTATGAACTATATATTATTACATGTTTTCAAATTTCGTTATAGTACTAAAATATTCATTTATGTCATAAAATACATTGTCAAGCAGCCAAGCCCTTAGTCGAGCCTTAAACATTCGTCCACTTAGACATTTTATGTCCAACGGAAGATGATTATATACTTTAACACCCATTACCATTGCACTTTTTCGATAAATATAATTATAAATTACCGGTAAAAATAAGTCATGTTTATGTTTCTGACGCAAGTTATTTCGCATATCCGATTTACTGGTGAAATATGTCATATTATTTTTAACAAATACACACAGTTCCATAATATAAATATTAGTTAGAGTGAGATATTTTCCAGTTTTAAATATGTGTCTTAGAGTTTCATCTGAATACATATTATAGATAACTCTTAAACATTTCTTTTGAAGCAGAAAGGTCGATGTAACATTCACAGAGTTTCCCCAGTATATAATTCCATACATTAGTAAAGGATACACACTACCAAAATAAGCAGTCCGAGCAACATCTGATGATGAGTTTTCCACTAATATAGAAAGAGCATAACACTGACTTGAAATCTTTTTATTAAGTTTGTTAATATGTGATTTCCAATTTAGATGACAATCTATGGTAACACCAAGAAAATTATTTTCATTTACTTCTTCGATTTTTGTGTCACAGTCTTTAATATTTAATTTGAAGGAATAATTTTTATAATTACGAAACTGTATAAATTTTGTTTTGTTGAGATTAACTTTAAGATTAATTGTTCTGAGCCAATCAACAACTCTTCTTAGTGTTTCATTTATTTTATTTTCAAATGATATTCTATTTTCACTATTGTCACTAATAAAAATTGTTGCATCATCTGCAAACATGACACAAAGATTATTCGTTATTTTCGGTAGATCATTTATGCTAACTAAAAATAGTAAAGGGCCCAGCACGCTTCCTTGTGGGACACCAATAACAGTTTTTACATAAGTGGAATGTATCTCTTCCATAGTGTTATTATTAGTATTTAACTTGTTAATAACAGTGAATTGTTGTCTATTATCTAAATAACTAGTAATTAATTTTAATGCTATGCCACGTACACCCACATTTTCCAATTGTTTCAAAATTATGTCATGATTTATACAATCGAATGCTTTCGACATATCTAGAAATAAACCAACGCAGGAAGTTTTTGCATTTACGGCATCCCATACATCTTTTAGAATCCTGAATATTGCCAAATTTGTTGATTTTTTCTTTTGAAATCCAAATTGATTATTTATTTTATTGGCTTCGAAGAAATTAATAAGTCTTAAGTGAATTACCTTTTCAAATATTTTAGAAAATGATGGTAGCAAAGCTATTGGTCTGTAATCATTAACATTTGATCGTTTGCCCCCTTTGAATAATGGTTTTATTTTAGCTAATTTTAATTTTTCAGGATATATACCAGTTACAAGCATTAAATTTAAGATATAGATAAGAGGTTCAATTATATAATTTAAAGAAATTTTAATAATTTGAATTGATATGCCATCATAACCAAAAGATTTTTTATTTTTGAAGCTTCTTGTGATTTTAATTAATTCGCTACTGTCAACCGGTTTAAAAAATATGCTATTACAATTTTTATTAAAGGTTACTTTACTCAGATTATTATGAGAAGCTTGTAAGTTATTATTAAGAAAATGGTTATTAAAAGTTTCAGCTATAGTGAAAGCATCTTCTATAAGAACGTTATCTTTAAATATGTTATTTACTGTATTTTTTATATTGTTTATAGGAGTGGTTTGGTTTTTGATGAAATTCCAAGTAGTTTTGCTTTTGTTTGTGCTTTTATTAATAAAGTTTATATTATTATTTCTCTTAGCTACCCGAATTACGGATTTTAAAATTTTTGAATATTTTTTGTAATATGGAATAATACTAGTCGATTTTCTCTTCAGTATGTTATTGTATATTATTCTTTTATGCTTACTGGAACAACGAATGCCTCTTGTTTGCCAGTTTGACTTTCTTTGATATGAGATTTTGACTTTTTCCACAGGTATGCATAGATCATATAACATTTTATACAAATCAATGAAACAATTATAAGCTGTATTGGGATCACTATGTACGTAGATTTCTGAAAAATTTAATTGAGACAAATAGTGTAAAAATATAGGTATGTTCTCATCAATTTTCCTTCGAAATATATACCAGTATTTCAAATTAAACTCCGGACCACATGGCACTTCAATTATTTGGGCTGAGTGATCTGAAAGGCCGAGATGTTCGACTCTAACCTTGAATATTTTTAAATTTGTTAGAATATTATCTATGCATGTTTGGGTGTTCAGAGTAATTCTCGTCGGTTCATATATTGTATGTTTTATATTATATTTTAATAATGTATTTAAAATAGGTAGTGATAGGTATTGTCAGCTATCGAATAGAACACCTGATGACCACATGTTGCTGGGTATATTATAATCCCGATCTACCATTTTACAGGAGACAAGCCTACCGCGGACTCTCATTGTCAGATAACTTTGTTTTTTTTTGTCCTTGTTTTCGTTACTGTAAAGTAAGTTATAAAATTAACAATCAAATTGTTTTGTGTCGGAATAGTGTTTTAAGTAGAACTCGGAAACCAGGAACCTAGTTGGCCTATGATCAACTAGTAAACAACTAAGTAACGGTACTCTCTACAGTATATAATACTACAATATATAAAAATAGAGTTTGGCAAGTTATTGACGAATTATTTTCTTTTACAGAACGGTTATCTTATCCTCGACTACGGAACTTTCGTCCACTGCTTCACTAACTGGTTGATGGGAAAAAATCCTAATGGTCCTGGTCAGTGGGTGCTCGTTCCTCCGAAGGACTCACTACCACAGCCTCCATTTCCAGTAGATTACAGCGCCCTTAATACAGAACCAGCGAAATTAGAACCCTATGCACCAGACAAGAAGACTAACAGACATTCTGTAATAGTGTGAAGAAAAGTATAATCAGCCCTCGGGAATAGGGATGATCCATATTAGAAAAACATGGATCTATAAATATCGATATATGATAAATATCAAATTAGAAATATCGATGTCAGTAAACATCAATATTTCCCTTTGAGTTATCATTTTATTTTCTAATTATTGGTCTTGGTATTTATACCAAAAGTGTTTTTTTAGACACGTCCAATTTCTAGGTTCTAATCTTTTTGTTGATGTTAGTGATGTTTTAACATTGATAAATATCGGACATGTATAGGTACTCGGGTATGCGTTAGCTTGTAACACAAAAAGAAAATGCGGTTCTGCACAAGAGTCAATATACTGCTAATTTTAGAGTAAGAGTTACCTATCCCAATATAAATAGATACTATTCTTATATCTATTAAGGACGGTTTAGTGATTACAATAATGTTATTTCTAATTATTTCTTTAAGTCGTTATTTATTTGTATTAACTTGAAAAACGTATGTAGGTACCTACTTGTGAGTCGATTGCGCTTATTTTTGAATGAAACGCTTTACAACTTGTACTTATCGTGCAATTCGACCAAATCTTATCTCTATATAAGTCGTTGTATATAGTAGAAGTAATTATGCACAACACGGTAAGCAAGAACTGCCTTAATTAAGCGTATTCACATTTCACAACATAGCCTTATTTTGTACCTTAAATTTAAAAATAAAGTAATGTGCGTAGATTAAAATAAATTCACTGAATCTATTTCAATTGTATTCTTTGAGCACTTCTACATTTACCTTTACCCACTTCTACATTTGTACATGCGGACTACTAAATCACTTTTATATGTTTGTTCAAAAATACGCCTACATTGTGGTACTGTAATTTTGCAATTTTATGTGCAAAAGCAAAACATCTGAACTTCAAAGCATCAATCAGCATATTCAAATTGTAATAACGACTGTAGTATGAAATTCGTGGTTATATACATACATACATCATTTTTCCGCGCTAAACTGTTACCTCAATTTTTCGATAAACTTGGAATTGCAAATAAACTGTCGCCCCAATTCATAGAACGTTAACTAATTTTCATGAAGTCAGTTTGTTATGACAAACTGCTATTTATGTATGTACCTACTATGGTAGGTACATACATAAATAGCACTCATGCGTTGACATTACGGAGGACTATGGTGTCATGATTCCATATCCTGTAGTATCACTGCCACAACTCACAGAAATTACAGAATTATTCTGTTAATGAGGCGGCATAAACCCAATTATAGTTAATAATTAATATTTTAACAAAATTTAAGTTTGGAATTGTTTATCCTACTATTGTTTACTCTTCTATGCATTGTATTATATTATCTATGTTATTTAAATGTGTGTTAAAATTAAATAAATAAATGATTAAGGATGTCGCTTATTCATTAATTTATTTCGTTTTATTAGGCACTTTGGTTGTGGAATTAAAAATATAATATATAAAAGCAACAAGAAGAGCAATTTTAAATGTGATGGACTTTAAAATTGCTGTTCTTGTTGCTAAGTACATATCTAACAGACAGCTAAGTATCTAAACTAACCCACATACCTATGTCTTAAATGCGACTATGATGAAATTAAAAATAAACTATTGCTGTAGGTATATGGAAGAGTATATTAAGGTTTCTTAAGGGTCGGCAACGCGCACGTGTCACCCCTGGTGTTTCAGGCGTCCATTTACCATCAGATGGGCCGTATGCTTGTTTGCCACCATAGTAGTATAAAAAAAAAGAAAAAATATATGTATATACACTGAATATCTCCATCAAATGTTACCGTTTGAAATTCTAATAGAACCTACATCATACAAGATGGAACTTGTTGATAGAAGCTTCCCGTTAACTTAATGAGCCATTCATTAATATTCCCGTTTATTTACAAAATGTCAAAAAGCAACGGGCAACTCATGAACAGAGAGGTCTTTTTAAAATCCTATGATTGATGGCGGGTTATAAAGACGTCATCGTGGAATCCGCGTGATTCGTGGTTGCCGATCGAGAATATTTATCATCAATCATCGGCATCCGACTGACAAATAATGTTCTACTGCTTTTTAACATATACATTTATTTAATAATTTAGACTGAATCATTCAATTTTTATATATGTATCTGGAATGACAATGACACCGTTAATAAGAAGCAATTATCATGTGACACCCAAGTTACCCTCTTGCGACGCCATTTTTTTTAATGGATGATTATGCCTGCCTAATGCCTGCGGTAAATGTATACTCTGGCAGGTCAGTTGTGCTAACTGACATGCGAGCGTGCAAGGTTAGCGCATGCAAGTGCACTATCGTGGCTAATTTCCCAGAATTTCATTATGATGGTTTCCAGGGAGTACCGCATGGCAGTCAATCAGACTTGGTAGATTGTTAATAATGGGTACATGCTTAGTAATTAGTTCACATTACTAACAATCCGTGTCAGGTGTTAGGTTGAGTTAATTATATCTAAATATATCATTTATGTCCCGATATTACGTCCACAATATTAGACATTAATGACATCATTAAAGGAGAAACAATGTTTTCCTCCGGAATACGCCGTGATGAATAACCCTTAATACTTATTTATTGATGTTTTCAGAGTACACGACCTTTTTCCCAGATCATGATCGCGCCATTTATTCTGTAGGCTACAACGATAGACGATCGCTTGTATTTTTATTGTATTTTATTTTTGTTTAGAAAAAATATATATTATTATCGATTTAGTAGAATCGTTTAAATCGATTAACGCAGGCTGTGTATCTATTGTTAATATTATAAATGCGACATTGTGTCTGTCCATCTGTTTATTTCTTACTTTTTCACAACTAAATAGCTCAAAGGATTAATTACGCGTAAATGCGCTAGTCTAGCTGTCTGACTATTTGTTTTGTCACAAATGAAAAACGTCAAGTTTGTATAGATAAGACCCTTACTTTTGTAGTTGTCTATATAGTTATAAAAACTATTTTACATTAGTAAAACTTTATTATGTGTATAAAACTGTACGTAGACATTCTGAACATTACATGGGAGACGCCATACACGGTGACGTTAGTTGTTCAGGCACATTTCCATACTAATAATATATTAAGATAGGCTCAAGTCCTAAGATAAGAAGAGCTCGTGTTATGGGTACTAGACAACTGATACAAATACATACATTTGTGTGTAAATACATAGAAAACACCATGACCTACACAAACAATCATATTCATAAATACAAATGTATTAACACTGCAAGAAATCGAATCCGCGACTATAGAACATAAGACGGTGTGCTAAATAAACCGTTAGACCACTAAGGCAGTCAATATATTAAATATATTTCAAATATGTTTGACATATTATATACATATAGTATAGTAGTATTGTAAGACTGGCACTAAAAATGTCCCAGTTGAGTTTCGTTTTTCCTATTTATTTCACTTCTTAACTGAGGTGATTAGGCGAATTGGACGTTAGTAAAAATGAATACTGTTGCTCGGAAAATACTATCTATTTATTAGTTTTTTAATTAATCTAACAATATTTTCATCACTAACATAAACGTGTTCACTATCACCTGTACCCATACTTAAGTTATTTTCAACTTTATTAAGATACCTTATTTTTTTACAGGAACTGTGTATTATTTTGCATCCCAAATTAATAAACATGATTGCATTATCATTATTGATTCCAGCTCCCGGCATAACTTCAATTTGTTCACCATATAGTTCTACAAGTGATTCAATCAATTTTACTGCATCTTTTTCATCAGCAGATTGTTTTTGTCCACTTGTTAACACTCTGTTAAAACCTAGCTTAATAATAGTGTTGATAGAGTTTAAATAATCTTGGCACACGTCGATGGCTCTATGAAATGTAACAGGAGTGGGGATAACCAAGTTCAACATTTTAAAACAATTCTCTTCGTCTATTTGTTGGGTGTTGGTTAAAGCACCGAACACAAATCTGTCAACACCAATTCCTTTGAAAACTTCTATGTCTTCCAGCATGGTGTCCATTTCAATATCAGTGTAACAGAAATCGGATCCAATACGGCATCTGATCATAACGTTCACTTTTGGTTTCTGGAAGTTAAATAAACTGTATTAAGTTATGAAATTACTTAAAATCAGTACAAACAATTATGTATTGTTTATTCTATTGACATATAGGTATTTATCTTTTTTTTATACCTATGATATTTTTGGACTTGCAAGAACAACTAAAAGCATATCCCTATGCCATTGTGCCCTAAAACTACGTTGTTTGTTGCTTGCTTGCTGTAAGCGTATTTTGCTTCCTAAACTTTTCCAAAAATGTTTTGTTTATATGGTGTAGATTAGGCAAAGAGAATAAGTGGCATAATATATTAGTCCTCTGAAATGGATCCCATACGTGATATCGCGGGAGTCATATAATTAAAAATAGCGTCCATTAGATAGTCATATAACTGTTTATTATAAGAGATTATTAAGTAAGATTAGTAAGTATTGTGATGTTGCAATGTGATGATTCTGGTGTAATACCATCTGGCCCTTTAAGTTACCAATCGATTCACTGTTTCCTCTCAAATCAATCCCCTGTGCCATTACAACGGAAATCAAGATTAGCATGACCTGAACCGAGGTAGAAGTACCTAGATGTGTCTTTAGACTAAATAATACCACAGATAATATAATATTACATACAGATACCCCATCCCATACAAGAAAATGGTTCCTTCCTAACTCGGGCTATTCTTGTGTCTATATCTGAAGCAGTTCGGATTACTAGTGGTGATTAGTAATAAAGCATGAAAATAGATGGCAGAGAAATTCGGTCTACATGACATCTGTTTTGCAAAGATACGTAAATAATAGATATATAACTGTATCGAACTCCTGATTGGGTACAATCGAAAATTCAATGTAGGTATAATATTGTTCGCTGACAGTCTACAGACACGGCTAATGTACCTATGTATCTATGTACTATGTTACAGTTACTTTTTTACATTAGGCATGTGTGGCTTTTTTTCTCCCGACGAAGATATGTCGTAACGCGTCTGCACTAAAATGCTATCGGTTAAGGAGCAATATTTTAACAAGTAGGTGTTTTTTTATTTAAATTGTTATGTGATAGTGATAGATTTTAGCTATAATCAATTGATGTGCATATGGGTACCTCATATAATTTTCAGTGTATAATTATGTCTCAATATATAATTAATTATGGTAAACTGGCAATTTGTAAAACTGAAAATAATATCTGCAAACCATCAATCTGTTATATGTATAGGTTCTTTCAGGGATACTACATCGGTGCTAATGACATGTAGGTACTTATTTTGAGTTATACCTAGAACCTTCGATATCTACAAACTACGCCTTTACTGCTAGTTTTTTTGTATTTATGTAGTTGCTATTCATAAAATTAATATATATTTGGACATAACATCTATGTTCTCCGGAATGATAACACGGGCACGACATGATGACGTAATGCTGTTTAATAATATATGTGTATGTATGTACGTCGGATAGCGTCGTGGTTGGATGGATCGTCAGCTTATTTACCATTTCAGTTAATAATAGTAGGTAGTAAGTAACTTTTGACAATATGGATGAAGGTAGAAGGTAACGGTGATGATGATGAGATCAATAATGACTGTTTTGACGATGGATATTTTGACCACCATAAAATTCATCATGTATTCTCAACATTATCATCATTTTCATCATGATGATTGAGATCAAATTAATTAATTGATTAAAAAAGTAGATATTAGGTAAAGTCCTTATATGACTTAAATACAAGGTTCTGGGATGCTGTGATATACTAGTCTCTAGATTTAGTTTCTTATTAGTATTCCACGACCAGTCTATAGACAGAGAAATATAGATTTACACAAAGTTTTTTGATGTAAATGGGAATTATTATACACATTGCATTAAAAAATATATATGATTACCATCTAATACAAAATCATTATGTAGTAAATAATTCCTGACATTTTAAATCGAATGAGGTGAACCTAACATTGCATGAACACAACACTTGAAGATCATAAAATTTTTATTTCAGGTAACAAAACACTTTTAAATAATTTATTAATCACAGAATAAACAAATGTTGTTAATAATTTACAATAATATTTCTTTCACTGCTTGTCTGTTATACCACTAAAACTTCAAACACTTCTGTTATTTTTATATTATATTCCAATCATTTCATAATTAATTCCTGGTACACAAAATATTCCTGGATTTGTTGATGAAGCAATATAATAATAATCATGTGTTTAAATCATAAACTTATTTGCAGTCGGTTACACATAATATAATTACTTGGAATTTCTTCTCATCACTAGTGCATTGCTTTCTTACTTATTTAATTATATCATTAATTGCATTGTGATTAATAATTTACAGATTTTTCTTCTGCTTTTTTCTCTTATTTTTACTTGCATTATTATTTTATACAGTAAAATGTTCATATGTATATACATATATATTTCTTATTCTTTTGAACTCCTGTTCTTCACAGTAAAAATGTTATTTATCTTCATCTGAATGACTAGGAGATTTAGAATATCATCTCTTATTTGTTTAAACTTTGTTCAGTATTAAGTTGTTGATGTCAGGAAAATCTGAAAACAATATCATCATGAAAATGTACATAGGTAATGTTACATTTTCATTTATGAATGAATTTACATGAAAGTAACTAAACTGTAACCTTATTAGCACAATAAACATATTATTCATACATCATATTCATTCAGTTCTAATAAAATATAAAAATAATACTACTGTTTAGTACTTTATTTTGATTAATAATTTTCAGTATTTTCTCAATCAATCAAAAATTATAAAATCAGTGTTAGTTTTTTGAAGTTACATTCATAACAATAATAAAAACATAATAATACCACATTAAAGCGGTCACCAAGTACATATGTTTATTATATTTTAATATGAAAGATACACACGCTACATATGCAAGTTTTGAACAACTTATAGTTATACCTGGTATAAGATAATCCTCAAAGACACAATAGTTTACTAAATATTTGTAGTAGTCCTTAGACACATTTAAATTATTGAGTTTGACAAAAAAATAAGAAGTTCAATGAACTCTGAACAGGAACAATTCAAAAGTTGAATTGTTCAGTACCTACTTAACTTAAATGATGAAAAAAGAGAAAAAATCCAATGCTAGTGAAAATATGTTTTAAGCATTTGACTTAAAGTCGTTTATCCTATTCTTTTATTCCTATATTTTATATTTTTAACCTTTCATTTATGTTGCCAGTACTTGTTGTCATTTCGATATAATAAAAAAATGTGGACCAACCTACGATTTTAAATCGATATTTTTATTTGTGATGAAATCTAATAATATAAATTATGAATAACCTACCCTCGAATGGAGATATTAAAAAACTAATTATCATGAATAGTAGGTATTAGGATAAGTAATATATCATAGTATTATGAATGATTATCGTTTCAAAACCTTGTACAATTTAGTAAGGTTGAAAATATCCTTCTACAAAAGCAAAATTCGAGTATTTGTAAAGTTTCTTATGAGTATTTGTAAAAATTCGAGGATCCTCATATTTAGCTATCAATGTCAGTAATTTAGATACCATATAACACTTGTTTATTGAGGTTTCATAAAGGTATAGCTGACCTTATATACTCTATACCACATTCAATTCTCATTCATTAAATTACAATAAGTAGGTATTTATTTTTTTAATAGAAAAATAATGTCTCTCTAATTACCAGGGTGACCGCGTGGAGGTTGATATAATAGAGTACACTTGTATCAGATCAATCTAATTAATATTTCCCTCTTCAAGTTTTGAAGTTATGAGCGAACAGATAAATGTATAGTACTTGCATACCTGTCAAAATCTCTCTATTTTGCCGTCGTCGAGTAAAAATTACGCATTGCAATTCGTTCCAAATAAGAGTATAATACAAAATGATGAAATTTTACTGTTTGCAAAGACTAATTAAAAGCACCATCGAATAATGCGTTGTAATATCCTGTTATCGATTATTCGAAAAAATCGGTAATCTATGCATTTATTTTTGATATGGCAACACTTTCTAAATAAGTATTACTGGCATAATATGGTTTTCTTGTTTAGCTGTTTTATATTTACTTAAACTTTTTTTATGTTTAATTTATCATAATAATATAGTAAGTACTTATTATTTGAAAATATAAAATAAACATTTAAAATACGGTGATACAAATGAAAACAGCGCCATCAAGTCTTTTGGAAACAATAAGCCCCAATTAGCAATGATTAAATTGTAAACAAATACAGGGCAACAACAAAATGAGTAAATATATGAAAATTACTTTTTAAAACGCATTATTTCATTTTAACATCTATATATGACTTTTTAAAAATAGATTAAACCTTTTTAAAAACATAGTTTTGGGTTTTAAACGATTACAAAACAATGTTGAATTCCATTCGATACCAATGACGCCATCTAAATCCGTTTTTCGAACTAAAAATGGCTACTATGCCATTGTTCCCCACTGATAATACTGACATATCTGTCAGTTGGTAACTGGTCTTCAGGCGCTCTATAAGTCCTTTCGAAGGTTTCGGATTTCGACCTTCTGCTCTTGCTCTTATTTTACAAGTAGGTGAAGCTGTAAATAGCAGTTGCAGCCAACAGTATTTGAATAAGTGAAGAAAAACCATCAACACTACATCAACATTAGCTGAGAGAGAATGCCATACAGCATTAAGCTCGTCTTTTGTACTCTATAAAATATAAACAAATAAATAACACCAAAAAGTAGATTATAAGTAGACAGAGCTTACCTGGAGCAAACCTAAACAACTACAACATTCCGAACAGGTCTTGTAAATCGGCCTTTTTAAAGAGATATTGTTTATCTGTAACATCATTTTACATTGAGAAATTAATGTTAAGTAGATATAAAAGTGTCATTTGAAATACGAAAATTTCTAAATTGGTTGGGACCAAATACAACTAATTACAGGATACGAGAAGTTGTATGCACGCCTCAATCCTCCAAAAAATCCTCCCCTGCTCGACAAGAACTCACCCCCTTCGGACACATTTCTGCAATATTCATATTAACATACAATTTGGTCAATTAATATTGCTGTGTTAATTATTGTGCTATTTTCAAATACACATACATATTTCACAACGTCTTAGTGATCCGGGGCAGCCGAAAAATAAAGCATGAGGGATACCCCCCGAGGGATAAGGACGTGAATGACGTTTCTTATTTAATTTGGATGGGAAATATAGGTGAGTTACCAGCCTTTTAAGCAAGAATAAAGTTTCTCTCTTTTCTTGAAATTTAATATCATCAGGGCGAAAATAACTACCATTGCAAGACGGTAATTCTACAATGTCGGTATTGATATATTATTTGAGATAAGGTGACAAAAATACAATTAAAAGATGTTCATTTTATCAAACATGATTTTCATTAAATAAAACATAGAAAAAAAGTACACAAACCAAACATTTTATTTTCCTTACAAGTCCTGCAGATGGCGTAAGTCCCCCTTCATTTAGTGAACTACAAACTTCCAACTCGTCGGCGCCACCATGAATAGCATTTATTGCTGACTCCAGACTATCTACACACACTTCTAACATCCTACATGAAAAAAAGTAAAGTTAAACTAACTTCTAACTCTTCTAAGAAGTTAAATGTTGCAGTATCTATATTTTAGTATATATAATTGAATACCTGTCGTACTGACGGTAACCAGACCAACAAAAACGAAGTAAACACTTTGCGTTCAAGTTATACAAGCATTATACCTATGGATGTTTGTTACTCTTTCACGCAAAAACTACTGAACGGATTTTAAAGAAACTTTACAGTAATATAGCTTATGCATCAGAATAAGACATAGGTTATATGTTCTATTGAAATTTAACGCATTTGAACCCGCGGGTACAGCTAGTTTTCTACATATACAAATCTATCTGACATTATTTATCAGTACCTAAGTTTAACGTTGGCTCTGTATATCATACAAAATACTGTAATATTTTGTGTCGATATACAGAGCAATAAAAATTCAAGAGATAACGCTATCTACATTTTCAATGGATGATAATGAAATAGTCAACCTGTAATGCATGGGGACGCAAGATACATAAAGGGATTCCTTATGCACAAAAAACAAATTGTATGATACAACTATAAAGTAAATTAATTTCGAACACAATTGATGTTTTTAAATAAATTTAATACAAAACTACACACTGACTGGACAAATGGTACATGCTGGCAGCAGTAAAAGAGGATGATACTTATGCAATGCGATTACACGTCAAAAAAAAAACAAAACTTCCTAACTCAACATTCATAGAATAGCTACCCTAAAAGTAGGCAGTGTTGCATTTTATATTCTTTAGTTGGTCTACAATTTACAATTATATGTACTACAAGTTCTAGACATGCAAATGTAAAATATTTTCTTTATAATTCAATAATTATTACCTATTTATTACCATGTACCTTTATCACTCGGAATGAACACCGACAACAACTAAGTAAATTACTGATCGACTGACTGACAAAGGCACTAGGCAAATAATCACTAGGCTTATTTTTATTTACATTATAGAATGTTATAGCTAGGCACCACTTGATTGACTACACCACAAGAATAGTTATTTTAATGATTAACGATTACTTGTTCTTGACTTTTATGAATTCGTATGACTCTTGAAAAAAGGTGGTTAAAACATAATGTTAATTCGAGCGCTAAGATGTCGTCAAATACTACAATTTTAAACATGATAATGTGATATAAAATATATATATCACATAGTCATATCTAAAAAAATGTTTCTGAACGTAACTGATTTGACAGCTTTATGTTGCTATATTCGTGGTAATTCCTTTTGACTTTTCTGTGTGAATAGCACACGCGAACGTAGGCAAAATTTTGCCAACGTTCGCCTTCCATAACAGGTAATTCCATCCTTTTACTATTTATGTGCAACGATCTATATTATTTTATAATTATCAAAACCTATAAATCTTGTTTCCTATGTATTTACAATACAATCATATGTTAATAATATAGGTTATGTCCGTGCCACATATCGAACGAGTGTTTGCTCTAATTTTCACATGATTTACACAAAACTGTTAATATGAATAACAATTTTTGATTTGCAGCTATGTCTCGAAATAAACATCATGAGGAGACGGATAAGCTTACGCGTATTGCCATCGTAAACGCGGATCGTTGTAAGCCTAAGAGATGCAGGCAAGAATGTAAAAAAAGTTGTCCAGTGGTGCGTATGGGGAAGCTCTGTATTGAAGTCACTCCCAACGATAAAATAGCCACGATTTCCGAGGAGCTCTGTATTGGATGTGGTATTTGTGTTAAGGTTGGTCACAATGTTTATTTATTATTTACAAATTCAGTGAGATGTTGATTATGTGAAAGGAAATGTATTTGCTGTATTGATGGTGCCCATTGTTGGCATTTAATGGGGATTTGAGTCTCTAATTAACTTAAAAAACATTTCTACCATATCAAAAATTTGTTAGCTTTGCTACAATAACTATTATTAATGGTTATTCAAACTATAGTTAATGGTTATTAACTTCTATTTTTAATTGTGCATTTGTCTTATTCAGAAAGCAATAATTAGTCAGAAACTATAGGAAATATATATATATATATATATATATATATATATATATAATATGTGACATTCAAATATATATCAAAGTATGGAAATAATGTAATTATAAATTGATATAAATTTATTCACAATTATGATGAAATACTTTATAAATACATCTCAATTTTAATTATATAATTTATATATAAATATAACTGAATATATAATGAAATTCACTAAAATAAGAAACTTTAGTCCAATATATTTTATAAGTTACATTTCTAAGTTAATAATTTTATAATGATTGTTCTTCATTTTACAGAAATGTCCATTTGATGCTATCACTATCATCAATATTCCCTCAAACTTGGAAAAGCATACCACCCATCGTTACTCTAAGAACTCATTCAAACTTCACCGACTACCAATTCCACGCCCTGGTGAGGTGCTAGGTCTGGTTGGACAGAATGGTATCGGCAAGTCTACGGCTTTGAAAATCCTTGCTGGGAAACAAAAGCCTAATCTGGGCCGTTATGCTGTAAGATGTCATTTTTTTATTGTCTGTCTAAATGTTGTGTATAAATTAACTTATTCATTAATGATGAGTTTGAAAGTATGTACAACCTTGATTATAATGTATTATTAACAAAGCAGAATAGTTTATTTTTGTAGTACATTTTGTAATCAATCTAAATTGCTATATTCATTGTTATAGACATTGAATTTTTATTAGTTGTGTTGATAGTTTATTCTAAATAAAAGGAAAACTTTCTAATCAGGATCCTCCGGATTGGCAAGAGATTCTGTCCCATTTCCGAGGCTCGGAACTTCAGAATTACTTCACCAAGATTTTGGAGGATGATTTAAAGGCTCTAATCAAACCACAGTATGTGGATCAAATCCCCAAGGCTGTGAAGGGAACAGTTGGGCAACTTCTTGATAAAAAAGATGAAATGAAGAATCAACCTGAAATATGCAGAATGCTTGGTAAGTTTCATATGTATGCTTACATATTATATGCATAATGTATAGTTGCTTGCCAAATTATTTTATTCCATTTCCTTAGTAAAACACCTTATCTTTTTCTATACTAATATATTCTTACATTCATCTTTTTTTGTTTCTTGCACAGATTTATCTCATATTCGGGACCGTGAGATTGCTGCATTGTCTGGTGGAGAGCTGCAACGCTTTGCATGTGCTATGGTCTGCATCCAGAATGCAGATATCTTCATGTTTGATGAACCATCATCATACCTAGATGTAAAGCAGCGTCTCAATGCTGCACGGACCATTCGCTCCTTGATACACCCTGACAAGTAAGGCAATTGTTCTACTGCACATCATATTCTATATGAAAACCAAAATCCACATTTTTCCTTTAACATACATTGGCAAAGTAATAACAAGTTATTGCCTTCATCCAATAACCAATTTATTTAGTTTATTTAAACAATTTAGATATAAAAATCTTTTGTCACTATTATGAAAGGAAGAAACTTTTTAAATTGTTGACCATTATTTTTTCTACTATTTTCAAATTATTAGTAGGTTATAAAACCAGCCTTAACCTTGATAATTTACAATTCTAGATGGATATAAAATTTGAAGTATGTTTAGAAAATGAAATTATATTATTTTACTGAACTATCAATAAACAATTTTATATTTTATCCAGGTTTATTATAGTTGTGGAACATGACTTGTCAGTTTTGGACTATTTATCAGACTTTATTTGCTGTCTGTATGGTGTTCCTGGAGCTTATGGTGTTGTCACTATGCCTTTCTCTGTAAGAGAAGGTAAGATTTTTTTGTTATTCCAAGTATTACACTAGAAATATGGTAGATTTTGTATAAACTGATTGTGTGGACATCCTTACCTCATCTATTTCAGCTGCCAAGCACCTTGCTTTGCAAGATGATTTTGGTAAGTGAAAGTGTGAAAGCGAGCAGTGAAATTACAGAGTTTAGAGGCATAGTCTACTGGAATGACAACTCATTAGAGATACCATTTTAGTCATAATATAATTTGTAATGTCTGTGACGGTGTTCAAGTATATAGGTAGTGATTGACATTTAATGACAGTTTGTTTGTAATTCCAATTGCATAAAAAATACACAGCCTTTTACATATTTTATTGAATGCAAAATTTTAATTAACTTGTGTACATAGATTTTTCTGTTTTTAGGTATTAATATATTCCTTGATGGATTTGTACCTACTGAAAATATGAGATTTAGGACTGAATCCCTAGTCTTCAAAGTTGCAGAATCTGCCACTGAAGAAGAGGTAATACTTATAATTTCTGGAAATATTTCTCTCTCATTATCCATACATTATATTATTTAAAACTTCTTAACAGATAAAAAGGATGAATCACTATGAATACCCAGAGATGACCAAGAAAATGGGTGATTTCAGTCTTAAGGTGATGCCTGGTGAATTCTCAGATTCTGAGATTTTAGTTCTGCTTGGTGAAAATGGAACTGGTAAAACTACATTCATCCGAATGTTAGCTGGAAACCTGGAACCCGATGAAGGTATGTTTAATATACTTATAGAGTATACAATATGGTTATCAAACGAACCCTTCTCTTATGATTTGGTCTTACATTATTTTATTCCATTCATTTATATTTGCAAATACCGGTAATCACGTCTTTCGTAAAAATTATTTCACATAATCCATCCTCCATTCGAGCCGAAACTACTTCAGAAATAATTCAATTTTGGTACGTAAAATCCAAAATAAATTGGCAACACTTATTTAGAAATGTCATTATAACAGGGTTTCCAACTTAAGAAATTTCCCCGGCTGTGATACTCGAAAGTGCCCTATTTAGAAATGGTATAATTATTTTATTTTATACATTGTGTTTACGAAAATATTCATGTTACAAACTATATTATGTTTGTCAGTACAGGTGCTATGCTTTGGTTTACACAAAATATTTATTTAACTTAGTGAAATATTCGCGAATAATATTAATTCCATTTTTTTAAAACTTGCTACTAATATTAATTCCTTTTTTTTAATACTTGCAATATGATTTACAATTGTATTGTATATAATATATATAATATTGCTATTAAAAAATATTAATAGATCTCTTTATAGCCATTGTGCTCCAATTTAAGCCAGGTCATATTCATCATTGCTTCTTTGTAGGTGTAAAAGAGTACAATAAATTATGTTGTAATATGCTCATATTTTACAGTATTCCATTTATATTAATTCATTTGCAAATTCAGCTTTTTTTTATTTTTCACAATCTGATGACTCGACATTGTTTAGGGTTTTTTTTTTTTGTAGTGGGCAACATTGTATATAAATTTTGCTTGTCTTGTGAAAGTTGATTTTTACAAATTTCCGCTGTTTGTTGAAGAAAACGTTTTATTTTCTTTATTCTTTAAATGAAAAACTATAATTGTTGTGTTATTTTGTAGTAGAAATGATTTAGTTGGAATAATTTATTGTTTTGGAAAGTGTAATAATGTAGACTGTACACGATATTGAGGTTATATCGTTATTTGCATTTTAATTTCATCTAAGCAGTATTTTGATGAATCCAGTTCGTGTTATACACGATTGGGATGGCTAAGACTGAATTATTCGATCTATTTTTTCACCCTGTTTTTCAAAAGTGTTTGAAACATGCCGAATCTACTGCATCTACTGAAGGTATGAAATTACATCAATCCTACGCACTTAGATGGCGCCAGTACTTATTTACTGTTATGAATTTTATATTCATACAAATTCTTAAAAGTTTAAAACAGAGTCTGCTATGTTACTTACATTGCAGATCAGTCATATAAAATATGACTGATCTGCAATGTATATATATGTATATATAAAATATGCAGTCATATAAAATGTTTGCCTTCTAAATTATTGGTAGGAAAAAAAAATGTCTATTGACATTGTTTTTATGGTATACATTACATTACATGGTATATTCAATTTATTTGAATAAAGTTTGTGCATATAATATAAAAATAAAATAGTAGTGTGTTAATGTGTGAATAATAATTTAATAAATGTACATATTTTTTTTTTTTTAATCTAAACAATATAACAATCTATACTAATGTTATAAAGCTTAAGAGTTTGTTTGTTTGAATGCGCTAATTTCAGGAACTACTCGTTAGATTTGAAAAAATATTTTTGTATTGGATATTCAATTTGTTGATGACGGCTTTAAGCTATATAACATTACGCTACGACTAATATAAGGGAAACATTAGTAAACAATGTTGCAAAAATTAGAAAAAAAAATTGTATTTGAGGGCATCCATTGCATGAGCTGCGTAAACTGTAAAAGTTACCAAAAATATATGCATGAAAGATTTTTTGCTCTTTAAATGTCCATGACAGTATATGTCTATCTTTTAAGATTGATTCACTCTAACCTTTTTTATGATAATCAAATTTGGTCATTATTTATAAATTGTGGGCAATCATGATAGTGTTTTTGATCACCATGCAAATTAAGTCTTGGGCACATTTAGTAATAAATATGATTGGACAGTGAACAAAGAACACTTCATTTCATTGTCTCGTCTAAAACCCAATAATTGCATATATATTTTCTAAATATCATAAATATGGAATAATAATAATAATTACTTTAATGTTACATCAAAACTTTTTTAGTTTTGTTATTTTTCAAATTAGTACAGTATTTCCCAAGTTTACTATACTAAAAAAATACACTGCCTCTCTCTCATTATGATGATATTAATAAAATGTTGATAGACTTAGAATTATACTACATCTAAACCCATATTTTTTATTAGTATATAAATATCATAACCTGGCTCTGGGACCATTCTAGAATAGGGTTGCGCATGACAGAGTTAAATGGACATTTTATAAACCACATAATATACCCTAACTTTGGGAAAAAAGACCTTATATTTAAACTTAGTTTAATATATTATTGTAAACATCTAAACACTAATGTTATATGAACAGGTTCGGGCCAGTTGCCACAACTGCACATTAGTTATAAGCCACAGAAGATATCACCCAAGTCACAGGGCCTAGTCAGGAGCTTGCTGCATGACAAAATTAGAGATGCATATGTTCATCCACAGGTTTGTATATTTTATTTACATAATTATTTATTGTATGTATTTATAATACAATTAATACAGAGTTACATATGCCTGTAACCAGTTTTCTGTTGTAGAGTGCTAACCATATTGAGTTTTCAGTATTTTAATGAATTCATCATAGACAACATTTTTATTACATATTAAAAATTTTAGGCACATTATATATGTATAACTGTGGCTTAAAAAAACAATATTATTTTTATAAATCAACTCAACTAGAATAGAGAGAAAGAGATATTGTGGAGATGAGTGAATAGTGAATTGAGCTATAACATAAATAAATATTAATTTTAATTGATATGGAGAATAAGAGCAAATAAAAGACACATAGTTAACAATACATATGCAGCTATGTCATCCCATTTTATTCAGTATTTCATTAGACAAGACCACTTTCCTAAAATATTAGGGATAATTAACAAGATCAGGAATGATATGATATTTGATTGTAGTCTGCCGAAAATGACAGAAGCCATTAAAATATCTTAATATTTTTTAATATTTAAATTTTATAATTGTTTTTATGGGTAATATAAATCCGTAAGTCTAATCTCTACACCACCTATTTGGATAGTATTATATGTTTATAATAATAATGAAATAAATAAATAAAATAAAATGTTTATAAAACTGAGTATTTAATTGTATTTCCCTGACTGCCATTAATATTCCGTTGCTGTCATTCCAGTTCATAACAGATGTGATGAAGCCAATGAAAATTGAAGAAATAATGGACCAGGAAGTTCAAAACTTATCTGGTGGTGAGTTGCAGAGGGTCGCCCTTGTGCTGTGCCTAGGGAAGCCGGCAGATGTGTATCTTGTCGATGAGCCATCTGCTTACTTAGATTCTGAGCAGCGTTTAGTTGCTGCTAAAGTTATTAAGCGGTGAGTAGTTATTGAGTAAAACCATTAAAAATTCATCTAGCATTTGCCTTATGTTTGACCTAAAAAGATGTTTTATTATTCTGTTATTAAAAAAAGGAAGGAATATAGTAATAAACAACAAATAAAGATTATTATTATTATTGTGGTGGTACTGTAACTTTATTATATCAAGGAAAAATTTTTTGTTCTCCATCTTTTTACTATTATAATAGTAATTTTTTTCTCAGGGTAATAGCTGAATATAACTCCTTAAATGCTCTGTGATAAGAGCCCACACACAGATTTAGGTTGATTGCATTATTGAAACCACACTATGTGTTAACATCTATAATGTGAGGATGAATTTACTGTTTACGTAAACAGTGAAGTGTATTTTTACTTAAAACATTTGTTTTATAAAACAAGTATTTAGTTGTAAATTATTTGTTTTCAGGTTCATATTACACGCTAAACGAACTGGCTTCGTAGTCGAGCACGATTTCATAATGGCCACATATTTGGCGGACCGCGTCATAGTATTCGAAGGGACGCCGTCAAGTCATGCCACTGCGCATGCGCCACAGTCACTGCTGAATGGCATGAATAGATTCCTCGAGCTCCTGGGAATCACCTTCCGTAGAGATCCAAATAATTTCAGGCCTAGGATCAATAAACATTCTTCTGTAAAAGTAAGTAGTAGTAGTAGTAGAGTCATTAATAAAAGAAAACTACATAAATTATATAAGGGTGATATATTGAAAAATAAATATTACTACAGAGACTACAGGGACTTAATGTGCTAATATTAATACTGTGCCAAGAGACAATGACTGCTACATTTGTTCTCCTATAGTTCTCTTAAAAATGGTGATAAATAATTCAGTAAAGCTGATATTAATAACGAATTATATCTGACATGTAGTGAGAAAATTATTTATACGAAATAAAATTTACTGAATTATTTTTAAGGGTCAATGTATTGAAATAATAATTGGGTATTTTTTTTTCATTGACATTAATTCAAGTTACACTTTTTGAGCGTAGTGACCAATAAGAAAACAATTTATTACACAGTAATAAAATAATTAACATTCTCACAAATAACTGCTTATCTATTCGTCCGATTTCGGAGCAGCTTTCGTACAGTATGTTAGTCGCACGCACATAAACACCGTGCTGAAGTCTGCCGAACTGAAACGACGTTAGACGATGCACGTCTTTCAACGCCGCACCGCTGTGCGGTCGGAGTAGGGGGTTAGTTAGGTTTATTATCGTTACGGAATTTCTTGATTCGGTCGCCGCGCTCAAAGCCTGCGGTAAAAACTATGCAATAGCTTGAAAATATTATATAAATATAGGTACATAGGTATACTTTATTGATTTTATTTTCTCCCGTGATTTCTCCAAAGGCGTATATTTCTGTCGCATCTGTCAGCTGTCAAGCAGCTTGCTTTGTTAGATGTGTGATTATTAAGTTTGAGATTTGGCAGGGAAATTACAGTATACACAGACAATGTTTATGTATATAGACGACGCACCGAGAAACATGTCAATTGTTATATAAAAATCAATGTCAATTGGTACATAAAAACAATCTGTATTGTAAGTGACTCTATCTATATAGATAGAGTTACCTTTATTATATTTATAATTTTTTGCTTCATTTGTTACAGGACATAGAACAAAAACGGGCAGGCCAATATTTCTTCCTGGAAGATTAAAATGTGTAAATGTATCAATATGTATTTATATATATGGAAGCTGTGTATCTGTCACAATGATGGTAGCCTGCCATCCCGTGTATTTCCAATAATTGTATTACTGTAATAAATCACATTTTATAAACACTTACTGTTTATCATTTATATTGAATACTATTAAAAACCAAATAAACAATAATGTCCAGTTAATTACGATGATGATAAGAAAGGTAATTATTATTAAGGTAAAATTGCAATAAAAAAACTTGGAATAACTTTTGTATTATTATAACTTCTAGACTATTATTATTATAAAAAACAGTAAATTGTATAACTAGTATTTTTATGTTTATACTAACTACTTATGTTGATACTAGCTGACCCGGCGAACTTCGCCTAACGTGATGTATGTATTCATGAACGTCGTGTAACTAATTTATGATATTATTGAAGTAATACAATGAATACAAAATAAACATTAAATTCAGTACTTAAAATAATAATACAAAAATATAGTACATATGTCAATCACGCGTCAGCAAGACATGGTATAATTAAACTATGTACATATTATGCAGCATGGGATCCACCAGGTTTAATTCTCTTCATTGAAGCACATTGTGATATACGACATTTTTTGTTTTTTTGTCAGGCGCAAAAACAAATAAAGCGGATGGTTTGCCAACACGTGAACATGCCACGTACAACTGACCATGAGAAAAACATGGATTTTCTAAGTTGAGACCACAAACTGCCAAGGATTGGCCTTGTGATTTATGAATCGTCATGGCAAAGGCTAGACGAATTGGGAATTGAATTCTTTTAAACTCAAATAGCATATCCGTTGAGATGATTGGAATCCTCGGAATGAGAACTAATTCACCTTTAAAATTTCCTTTAAGTATCGTCGCGTGAATCAGATTACTCGTCAGTTTTGTTATCACCAAGCGCGTCCCATTGCATAGTTTTGGTTGATTTAGATTACGTAGGATGATGACTACCGAGCCCACCTTCAGTTGTAAATTGTGCGGTGGTAAATCAGGCACATCCAAGGTGTTTAAAAATTCAGCTGGATAATTAGTGATTTCGTCTATGTTCGTTACACAGTCAATAGATTTGAATGAATGCAGAGTACCAACGATTTGTTCCTGAATTGTAAAATTTAACTTATTCACATCTTTATTCTTAGCAGCTAAAATGGCTCGCTCGCTTAACCAATTATAATTTTTTTGGTTAGTAATGATGTTCGGAAATACTTTTCCGATGAGTTCGTCTTTAGATGAAACGAAATTGCAAAAATTCGGAGGAAATGAAATCAATCCACTCAATTCGTCGACAGGAATACTGCCATTACCGATAGTCAGCAACTGCCTGGAGAATTCTTTAGCAGATGGGTCGTTCAACAATTCAACTCTCATGTTTGTTGCCAGTAGAAGTTTCTTCACATGGCACCACAGATTTGATGATTTGAGGCAAGCGTTTATTTCATCGGCCGCAGTCGATGTTGGAATGACAGGCAGTGTTTGGCGGAAATCGCCAGTTAGTAAAATCATTGCGCCACCAAAAATTCTCGAGTCATTGCGTAGATCTTTTAAAGTTCGATCCAGAGCTTCCAATGCACTTTTGTGTGCCATTGTGCATTCGTCCCAAATTATGATTTTTGAGGCTACTAAAACTTTTGCTATTGCAGAGTGTTTTGCAATATTACATGTTGGTTGGTCACTTGTTAGAATATTTAATGGCAATTTTAACGCTGAATGAGCCGTACGACATCCTTGTAACAACGTAGCCGCTATACCAGAAGAAGCAACTGCTACCGCAATCTCGGATCTCGCACGAACAGTGGCCAAAATCAATGACATGAGGAACGTTTTTCCAGTTCCACCAGGGGCATCCAGAAAAAAAAAACCACCTTTTCCAACATCAATTGCATTCATTAATGTATCATAGACTTCCTTTTGTTTTGTGTTCAACAGGGGTACATTCGTTTGAACTGATTGTTTTAATTCATATCGATCATATTGAAGTTCACGTTCCAGTTCTCTATTAAATGCATCATTCACTCCGCGGTCTGGCGATGGCATTCCTAACTTGACTAACGAACTGCCACACGTGAGATAGCACATATCTTCGATCAAGAGCAAAGCCTGGTTATGCATCTCCTCATTCGCCACTTCAATCTGTCTGTGTTGGTGTCGTTGTAAAATGGTTTCTGACATATTATCTTTGTACTTGTTCCACAGGTAATGTGGATCGGATGGAAAGCATGTAGTAATTATTATAGCAAATAATGCGCGTATCTGACTTGAAGATGCAGAAATAATTGCTTCAGCGATTGTCGTGTCCCAAAGAGTGTCGTCTTCAATCAAATTGAGCTCTTGGCATGCTTCATGAAATGTTGGACACTCTCTACCATTAATAGTTCGTAGTGATTTAAATGATGTTGGCCCACGAACATTTAGCAGCAATAACCGCAAATGGAAACATTCATGATCCTTTGGATGAACTGTATAAATACGACCAAGAGCATCAGTAGAACGCATATCCGGATGATTAGGAACCGCATCGCCTTGCCTCCGACGTAGAAATTTCTTCAATGAAGCGTTCCAAGTATAATAACGTGGCATCTCCGAGTAAAGCAACGTTTTTGCAAACGGATCGTTTTGGCAAGTCGAAAAGAAACCAGTTAATGTTGTCTCTGGGGGTGTTATAGCACGTTCAGCAGCATTCGACGCTGTGAAACATACTCTTTGTCCATTCTCCAGATGCACCGCCAAATGTACAACAGTAGGATGACGTTCGTGAATAGGGAATGAGAAGATACGCCAAATTGCCTCATTGCAGTTCACATATCTACCAACTTGATATCGTGTAATTTCATCGTCGGTATTGGATGTTTGGACGCCAAAAACGGTCATATGTTTGCCCCTCGGGACATGCTTACAAATATATTTAATGTGCTTCCAGGAATTGCAATACTCAACATTACAATGTGCCTTGAATGTTTTTGAAAGAAGCGGCGAATATGGAATGATCCAACTGTTGTCGACCACAAAATCGTTTCCTTTTACTTTTATTGTAATAGTTCTACCGTTATCATCGGGAGATCGACGACGGTACTGTAGACGCCCATCGTTTTCAGTGACGGTCTTCGTCGTTAGCTTTTGTGGATAGCGCTTGGAACACTCGCCGTTGACCATGCACGTTAATCGGTGGTTGATGGTGCCACATGGTCCATGAATCATATTCGTAATAACAACATCATGTAGATCTGGATCTGTTTCGGGATCAGGAATCTCTGCACATATGATATCATCAATTTGATCTGGTAGAATTTTTTCAACTAACCAAATAAGAATGTGTGCATGGGGCAAGCCTCGTTCTTGCCATTCGATTGAATACATCCAGCATTGTGTAATCCCAAAGACGTATTGCTTAACAATGTAATTCATCAAGGAACGGATTTTTTGTCTGAAAACACGCGCGGTGATGTCGTGTCGATCATTTGCTGTTTGTCCGGGAAACAGTAATTGAACAATTTCTATCCATTTCGGGTTACATGTAAATGTAATGAATAGGTCTGGCCGACCATAATGACGTACATATGTCATTGCATCTTGAGCATATTCATGCATGTGACGCGGGCTACCCATATATGACGCCGGTAAAATAGTCAATCGACCAATATCAGAAGCCCCTTCAGTGCTAATTGCATCGCGTAATTGGATATACTCTTCGAAACGCAACTTAGCTTGGTTCAACCTAATGAAAGTTAAACGCTCTGTTTCTATTTTGACGTACATGTCGACACAATATTGTTGAAACAATCGACGAAATCGTAACAAATAGTTGTCCGCATTTTGACGTATCATCAAACGATATGCATAATAATTCATGGAACTAACCTTCTTGTTAGTTTCCTCACCTGAAATAAATACAATAAAATTAGTATTTTAGAAGTAAAACTCACGTTCTCTTTCCTTGATGGGATAGACAATATTTTACTTTTAGAACCTTTATAATGTATCAAAGACTATAATGCGGTGTGACACCTATCATGAGTGTTGCCTACCAATAGTTATTGACTGTCATTAATTGTAAAAATGAAAAATTCGTAGATGTTATAAATATTGTGAACTATTTAAACTGTATGATATTGTGCATTAGTTTCTATGTATATAGTGTGAGATTTGGTTTAGACTTTTCGTAAGTGACATCTGCTGCTACGTCTGCTATTATTAAATATACCAACAGTTGAAAAACATCCAGCTATTGAGGATAGGTACCAGGTGCGAATATCTTTAAGTTTTACCACTAGGGATTTAGTCCGTTAGGATTTAGAAGACAATTTTAGCTTTCTATGGTATCGATACTCACCATTTATTGGATTAATAATCTTGATATTGAAGTGATATCCATCATTTCCTTGCCAAAACATAAGCGGGTATTGCAACGTATCATATGAACGGTGTGTTTCAGATATGTTTTTTAATGGCCCAGTATCGTTACGTGTAAGCACAATATCACGAGTTTTTAAGTTTTCACCAACAATCAGTATTGAAACTTCATCTATAGTTGGAGCATTATTTGTGCGATTGTGGTTATCCGCTCTGATTATGAGTTTATACTCATCAGTTGGCATGCGCTCCAATGCAGTCTTGAACAGACGGACCAATGCATGATGTTCATGAAGAAGTTGCTGTAGATCTTGAAGAATTGCTCTTTTCATTACATTGTTAATCTCTTGACGCCGATCAAGTTGCTCTTGCATATTGCCAATGAAGTATATTTGTAAGAACTTATGTTGTGCATCTTCGAGAGGTTGTAATGATCCAATTCTATGATGAATCTGGCCTTGTATCTGTAAGTCGAGATCAAAGTCAATCTTATGGTTTTAAAACGTCATGTTTTTAATGTTAGTGTTCGTTTTTCATTAGGGACAAATACTATATAATATTTACTGATACTTAATAAACTGCATTTACCCAACTTTTTATCATAGTAGAAAATGAACATTTACTTTTCAATATAATTTACCTTGAAAGTTGGATTATATTTGGGAATTTCAGGAATTTTTGCTCCAAATGATGTCATTTGAAAACAGCCATTGTAAATTTGAGTGTGTGCTAGAAAATGTTTTGAATCTGCAGTTTCACCACGAAGCAAAGAATACAATGGCTCTGGTGGCGGAACTAATAATGGCAGTTTCACTTTGCCATTAAGGCAACACAATCCAGGCGTTTCTCCAGCAAACTTCAATGCCCCACAGTGCTCGCAAACTACATTCATTAGACCAATGCAAACAGAAGGATGCGAGCTGTAATCAATTTTGCAATCGTATATAAACGCTGCTCGATTCAAATCAACACTTGATATATTTCTTCTTGCACGTCGAAGACTATCTCGTTGTTGTTCTGTGAGTTTAGCTCTACGTTTTCTCGTTTCTAATCTAGCCCTTTCACGGGCTGCCGCTCTTTGCTCTTGTGTTTGAGAAGCACGAAGTAGGGCCCTACTTCGTGCCATACCAATGCGACGCTTTTCTCGTACAATTTGTCGTTCTTCATCTGTCAATTGATTCGCAATGTTCCGTAACCTAATTGCATTACGAGTCTGTTGAGAAAGATTAGATTTTCTTGGTCGCGGCATTATTAATAATAATACTCACACAAATCACTTTTCTTTACAAATCGACACAACAATAATTAATTAAATAAATTACACATTTGCAAAGTAAATACTTATGTAATTAATATACTAACTCTGACTCTCCGACTATCTTTGTCTATCAATCCGACAGTATATGACTATCTAATCTGTAAGACCAATCGATTTAACATTTTTTTTAAATTAAGTCATTTGTCATTTATTGCCTATATTTAAATAGCTTGATTGATATAGTTTCCTTAGATTACAATTAAATAAATTTCTGAACGGACGCATAAATATTTAACAACCAATAAAAATGCAATCCTTTTTCTCTATTTTTATTTAAATAGAAACCGATAAGTTCCTGTTGTTTATACATTGCCTGTCCTTATATCTAATTATAACAGCCGCGTGGTCTCTCCTCGCACAATACTAAAACAGACGACCATTTAGATTATTATTACATAGGTATATGATGAATCAATGCTATAATTCCAAGCAAGCCTACTTTAATTTAAGCAAGTGAAATCCTACCCTAATTAATTACGTATTCATTACGTTCATATGGATTTTTTCATCTTAACTCTATCTCTGACCTCAGATACAAAATTAAAATGTGTAACGTGCTTGTAATATAATGAATCATAAACTTGTTTATCAACTCGATTACCTCACGTATTCATGAACAAGACCAATGACGTTGAATTAATTCGTAAAATCACCAGGAAAGTGACGTTGTAAGGTTGTGTCATGTCTACGATTTCCTTATTTTTAGTATCATAACATCATTATATTTCTACAATGATGTTACGATACACTTCTTCTGTTTCTTCTACACATTACGCTTCTTCTTGTTCGATCAAAATTAATTCTTCTAAATAGGTTATCATGGGATCAATATTACTAACAATACCCAAATGACCTATTAAACTAGTTGGAGTCGTCGACCCTACTCGCTTTATATCACTTTTACATTAATACACGACTGTAACTTGCATAAGAGAAGTAATTACAATTGAATCACATATAAATCACTCCAGAAAATATTTTACTAAAGTTAGACTTTATACAAAATAATATGCGTAGATATCTCTGTTTCTCGTAATTTAGACGCGCATCCTTAGTAAGCCGTGTTTGGATTGCAGAAAGGAGATTTTGTACAAATTCCTCTGAGTTTCACCCATAGAATAGAAAAGTAAACTCTAAGTTTGGTGGTCACACCTCTTTCAGCCATCTAGCAACTTGCTATATAACCTATATATATTTTCTTGGTCAACTGTAAATATATGGCATGGCAATGAAATTTATTTACAGGATACGTTGACATGACTTACAGGATTACATCTACTACGGCAAAATGTATTGATAATATATATTGTAATTTTAGTATTTTAAATAAATCGATAATAAACAGGTTGCCATCAGACCATTGTGGCCAAATAGCAACATTAGTATGTAATGCAAAAAATGAGAGTATATATAAGTTCTACAGACCAACAACAGCATTTAAATTACAGAATTTTAAAAACAGATTAAATGGAAGTTTACCGTTTTTAATATTTGATAATATTGATCCAAATATATCATATAGTCGTTTTTTCAATATAATAAAAAATCATTTTGATAAAAATTTTACAGTAAAGAAATTTAAAGTCAATAATGCTAAGTACGCTGAATGGTCAACATTAGGTTTCAATATAAGTAGGGAAAATATGTATCAACTATATGATATTAGATCCTATTTGCATGATCCTATATTCGATGAATATGTGAAAAATTATTCGAAAAAGTATGTAAGGCCGCCAAGGCACTTCATTTAAAGAATAAAATTAAGTTTTCTAAAAATAAAATATAAACTACCTGGAATATAATAAATACAGAAACAGGTAACATTAAGTCGCGCCAGTCAGAATATGAGTTAAAAGCAGAAAATGGCGTTATTATTGATGAACTCACGGAAAATTTAAACTCATCACCTAGTTTAGCTGAAACATTATTAAAAAATACTATAAATCCTTGCGTTCATGACTTTCATTTTCATCATATCAGTTGCTCCTATGTAATAAAAACTTTCAACGCTCTCAATCTAAAAGAGAGGATATATCAAATTTTAGACCTATTTCTCAGGTATTTTTTTTACCAGTATTTAGAATATATCAAAAGATTTTTAAGAAAAAGATATTACTTACACAAATGTTAGCTCATTTTAATACACATGATTTATTTCATAAACAGCAATTCGGATTTACGAGTGGACGGTCTACCACTGATGAAGGCAGTAACTTAATACAAAGTATTTTCGGTGCCTGGGAAGATTCACAGGATGCCATTGGTGTCTTTTGTGATCTCTCTAAAGCGTTTGATTGCGTTGACCATAGGATATTATTACGCAAACTAGAACATTATGGAATTAGAAAAAAGTCTTCAGAACTCATTGGATCATATTTACGCGATAGAATTCAAGTAGTAGACATTAAAGGTAGCAAGTCCAAGGGGTCATTTAAAAAAATGGGTGTACCCCAGGGTTCAATACTTGGCCTATTTCTTTTTCTTGTTTACTTAAACGACTTACCATACCAGTTTCAAAACATACTTGACATAGTATTGTTCGCTGATGACACATCACTTATTTTCAAAGTGAAAAAAAATACAAAGGATTTTAATAATATAAACACAGTGGACCCGCGGTAATCCGGCCCCTGTCTAATCCGGCCCCCCTTGTAATCCGACATTGTCTGTTATTTGTTATTGAATATTACTTTGTCAATATACTTCAGAGTGCATATACATACATACATATATAACATAGAATCTTATCACTGGATCTGTAATTTGTCGGATTACAAGATACTCTTTTGTAAAAAATTCCGGACTATAAGCAGAGGACCCTTAAGCAGCACTCTATAATCCGACAAATACGATGGTCCGACACTGCCCTGCAAAACGTTTGTCGGATAACCGGGGTCAACTGTATATGTATATAATATGCTCTTGATCTATAATTTGGATGTTCTAAACTCTTTTTACATCTATAAGGGGTCTTAGGCAGTACTCTATAATCCGACTCTATAATGCAAAATGATTGTCGGACTACCGGGGGTCCGCTGTGTTGCTCTTGAGGATGTTCTAATCTAGCGCTTAATTCAATGAAAACGAAATGTGTTAAATTCTCTTTACCAAATGTAAAACAAGTAACGACAACTGTTAGTTTGAATCATCATGTTTTGGACTTTGTTGATGAGACTTCGTTTCTTGGTATTATAATAGATAATAAATTGCAGTGGGGACCACATATATTCACACTAGCCAAAAGACTAAGCTCGGCTGCTTTTGCTATCAGAAAAATTAGACAGTTGACTGATACTGCAACAGCGAAACTAGTGTATTTTAGTTACTTCCATAGTATAATGTCGTATGGTATTATATTGTGGGGAAGAGCGGCTGATGTAGAATCAATTTTTATATTACAAAAAAGAGCAATTCGTTCAATATATAATTTGCCGTATCGCGAATCTCTTAGAGAAAGTTTTAAAGAAACAGGTATCCTTACTGTTCCCTCTCAGTATATATATATGAAAATATTATGTACGTACGCAAACACTTAAATTTATTTCCAAAAAATAGTCACTTACACGCTTTTAATACAAGGAATAAAAATAAATTAAATATGCCTAGTTTTCGTCTCAAAATAGTAAGTACATGTTTCATGGGACATTGTTTACGTGTACGTTTTTATAATAAATTGCCAGATAGTGTTTTAAATTTAAGATACATGTAAAAAATACACTTTGCTCTAAAGCTTATTATAAAATAAACGACTACTTAAATGACTACAATGTGTGGAATTAATTACAATTTTAACTTTTGTTATGAGGTATAAAATTTTCCCATTGACATGGATAATGTAATAACATTAAAGAAACTTATTATAAATTTTGTAATGACATATTGTAAATTAAATAATGTAAATTTTATATTGTAATGGGTGAAAACTGTGATCGGTACAGCCTATGCTGTAAATAATATAATTGACGTAGTGGAGTAACCTGAAACAATCATGCTCGCTATAAAGTTCAAACTTGTGGCGGCGTGGTGGGCCGGGTCGATGTGCTCCCTAAAATATGGTTGAGTGCATCAGCGTGGCTCATCCGTCATACTCGTGAACGGGTGCTGCTTGTGGGGACTGGTCTGTTCAGGTTGTGAACACTGATTAAATTTTTTGTTCTTTGCGATAGCATATGCTGGAGGTCACTCTATTTTCCCAAATTTGAATTTTAATGACTATGTATTATTATAAACATGTCCCACTATTACTTGAAAAAAATACGAGCTGAGTTTCTTGTCAGTTCTTCTCATCTCGATATCATTCCGAACTGACGGTAGATTTGACATATCATAAGATTCTATAATAGATCTACATGAATAAAGATATTTTGAATTTGAATTTGAATTTGACACTTTACTGCTCTAAAATTGATGGTACTGTTCTTAATCCTATATAAGCCACAGTTTCCATTCACGATCACTGTTAACTTGTTTCCCGCTTGGTTTTTTAATTAGGTAAACTGAGCCCAACAAATATATCAAAAATTGTGCTATTGTGCTTGATTCAATCTTACTGATAATGGAAAAAAACAACGGTTTTCGTACATAAAAGTCTTAAGAAGTAGTTATCTACGTGGTGAAATTGTTCTATAAGTAGGCATGATAAAAGAAGATTAATATGTAGCAAACATTCTGTGAAGTGCATTCTATCAAGATTCTTGTTTACTTCATAGTGGGTGCGACGGGTCATGCGAGGTGCGAGGAGTGCGGTTGCGATGACGGCGCACCGCCGCGCCGCCGCGCCGCGCCGGCGCGCGGCAGCGGAGCACCATGACATCATCCTGCTTCAGTCTCACCAGTTACGTGGCACAGAGATTGACAACATTTCACAATTGTAATCATCTACTTCTTAATTACATGTTGTGTGATTACATATTGATACAAAACCTAAATCTTATTTAGGTAGACAAAAACAATCGTTTGAAATTTTTCATTTAACTATGAATTTTGGAATTCGAACTGAATTACAATAAAATTTTTGTTATTAATGGCATTTATATATTTTTTGTTTTTTTATGGTCCAAATTATATTAATATTATTAGTAATCAGTACTTACCTTTAACCCACGAGAAGTTTTAATTTACAGGTAAGTAAGTAGGTAGGTTGAAAACTACAATATTAAGCCTAAGAATATTTCATCATTTTGACGGTTATTAGAATTTGTTCTGTCAAAATAAAATAATTTACACTATAATATTTTTTGACAACCAGAAATATAATATTTTCCTGTATATATTTCATTAAGCCGTAGTCGCCCTATTTGCGAATTTTTTTAAGCTGTTACGATAAATATATATTTAAATAAATCATAAGAATAGTGTAACACAAAAAATGTTTTTCATTTTAAAATATTATTCTTAATTAAAATGTATTCGTCATATGAATAGATACACCGAAGGTTGATGATCGCTAAGGTCGAGAGAGGGAGAACAAAACCACAGCGACCGGCCGCCGCACGAAGTTTCATTCTAGTGCGTTGATAATTTCGGAGTTTGCGCCATACTGGTTCTGTTGGGCGTGTCGCTGTATAAAACAAGTAGGTGTTATTATTCATATTTCGTTAAATTTAATAAATAATATTACTATAAATAGTAGTCGCAAATCCAGTCACAACTTAAAATATAACTGGTCAGGATACGTGTACTTTACGCAACATAATACCGGTATGCCGCGTCGGTGCATGTAAAAGCCGGTGGAATAAAATCTTATTTTTAGATATACCTACGAAAGCGTTTGTGTTCTACCATCAAATTGTTGTTTACTACAAAATTTGGTTGTTTCCAGGAATCTCAACATGAGTGGACAACAGTACTACCCCTACAAGGTAAGTTTTCCTCCTACATACCTACCCACCTCAGTAAAACGAAACATATTGATTCTCACGAGATGATGTCATCTTTTCGAGGCTAGGCTAACTTGATAAGTACCTATACACAAGTATGTTCGTACCTTCCTGTAAAATACAGCAGAACAAAGCTAACTAAAACATATTAACTGAAAAATGTCAATGGAAAGAATAGTGTAGGTAGGCACCTACCTACCTAATGTAAAAAACACGTAATAAATAAGTAACAATCAAATTCTGTGAAAACTATTAAAATTGTATTTGAATGATTTCTAATTTCGTTTACTACTTACTAATAATGTACCTGCCTATAAATAATATAATCTTAGCATTTATTATTCCTGCACCTAACAAATCTTTTGTACACTCATGGTATACTCTCAATCTAACAACTCATAGTCTACGTCTATGGTTTTATTAAAAATCATAGACGTTGTTATATCATTTGCTTGTATGTAATTATAAAATTACAAATGCATAAAATATAATTTTACCTACCAACATTATTGTGTACTCGCAAGCGTTAACTCGTCATCTTCCGTTAGCGTGGTTACTTCAGGAAATTCCTTATTAGTGGTTACAAAATGAACCTACATCCAAAATTTTAAGTTTCATACCCCTCTAATTTTAGATTGTATGTATATAGCGACGTCAAAGAAACATGTTAAAACAACGGTACATTTTTTATTAGTAGGTAGGTAGGTACTTTAATTGTTATACACTATGTTTGTGTGGAAATATGACATCTAATTAAACAAATATGAAAGTTGTCCACATTCAGTATCATTACGGTGTTATTATTTTTTCAGTGCACCCCTACCGTGTACCCCGCGGAGCCGTTCGAGCCTGCGGCAGATGCGGAAACCCTCCGTAAGGCTATGAAAGGATTTGGCACTGATGAGAAAGCCATCATTGATGTCCTCTGTCGCCGTGGTATCGTCCAGAGATTGGAAATTGCGGAAACTTTTAAGACGAGCTATGGAAAGGTCAGCTTACTTTTTAATTTATATCGGAACGCAATATCGGATTAGATACTATATCATTTAATCTACACCCAAAAACACGGTTTTTACAGTACATTTACAAAGGCATTAAATTAATAAATACAAATAGAAATATCACACAACGCCATTTAATCCCAAACCACAGATAAGCAGAGCTCGTAGATATTATCATAGATATCTACTTTACAACTGTAAATACTTAACTACTTTTAATCAAAATGAATCAAACATCATCATGAAAAAAACAATATTTATATTGTGCTGCCATCGAACCCATAAGTGTCATTGGAATGTGAGAAAGCGTGTTAAGTAACTACCTATAAATACTCTTCAAGTTGATTGATATTGTTTATTAACTATTGTACTATAACTGTGTATATAACTTACTGCTTGTTTATTAACTTCTTTGGAATTACTTCGTATACGTTTTTAGTATATTGTACGACCATAAAAATAAATTTATTATCTACACTCATTAAAAATAGATGGGAGTTCCCATAGCATTGCAGTGAAAGTTCGGATAGAGTACGGTTTTTTTTCATTTTTATGTTCATGTTTTTATAACTTTATAATAAAGCGATACTGTTATCGGCGCACACGAGTATTAGGAATGAAATAGGTGGTTTTCAGTTTTAAGTATAACGTTTTAATTATGACTAATGGTATATACTGTGGCTGGTGCCTTCCAGTGGAGGATTATAGAATGAGCATGAAATCGGGTCAGTTAACTAATCGTGGTAAATTAACGTACGAATTAACCACGACCATTGAGGCGGTCAAGGTGATGCCACGCTAACATTGTAATAGTACTACACACCCTATAAGGGGTGTGTCACCCTCGCCCTCTTTATATTCCCTGTATATATTATATATTACATGTACATTGTAAGCAAGTATATGAAAGAAAAGTTGAGGTAAAATGAGAAATGTTGAGAAATAAAGTCCATTTTCAAATTGCCCTCTATGGGGCGTGGGCTCCACGTTGGGAAACACTGCCTTCAGATCATACAAGTAATGCTTTTATTATTTTGAAGATGTTGTATAGATTACAATACATATGCCATCGTAATTAGTATGTATAATTTGGATCTCAGAAATGTACAATGTAACTAGAGGCGTACTATGTCCAGCTTGTATGGCCAAGCTGTTAGAATATAAGATAAAAATGTTGAAATATAGCAATGAATATTTTCCGTGAATGATTTTAACAATGTTTTTCAATGAGTCAAGTCATTAAAAAAATTATACTTATAATGTAGGTACTATCCCTATAAATCGACTACATAAATAAATGAATCATATTCATAGTTATGATTCATTTATAGGGATAGTATCAACATGTATGAATTATACGTTTACTAGCTACCCACCCCGGCTTCGCACGAATGTACATGTATTATACATATAAACTTTCCCCTTGAATCACTCTGTCTATTAAAAAAACCGCTTCAAAATCCGTTGCGTAGTTTTAATGATTTAAGCATACATAGGGACGGACAGACAGCGACAGCGACTTTGTTTTATACTATGTAATGATAACTTAAGGCAAACAGTCGCATATCGTATAAGATTCTAATAATAAATATGTAGCACATATGACATTAGAGAAAATATTAGAATGGAAGACACCAACCAATCATACACCTTTAGTTATTTTTTCCTTACAATTGAACAGAAATGGCATTCAATTGCATACAATTCCTGTTGCGTTAGACAGAATAGACTAGCCTTCAATTCAAATAAACGTCTTCAGCTTGACAATCAAACGAGGACATCTTTACAATCTTAATCAGGAAAACGTAAAATTGCATCCATAAGTGACCATATAGTTAGTCTCCAAACTTATTCGGAGGCGAAAATAGTCCCATTTTCAGCACAGTCGGGCAGGTCGTTTACTGTTCGTAATTATTAACATGTTTTAATTTGTTATAATTAAATATAATAAATGTATTTTGTTTTAGGCTTGCATTCAAAGTTAAATTTTCTTTATAAAACGGATTTCCTATTATACCTATTTAATTGAGATCTAAAAAACCAATAGGTATCACGTTTTTAGTGAAACAACGGGCGCGTGATGCCTATACTAGACTACTTTGAAAAGAGTCAGTGTGAGTCTGATTTATATGTCACTGGAGGATATGAAAAATTCGTTCACGATTTTGAATGACCGTTACTTATTAGATGGATGAGAAATACCTACCAACAACAAAAATGGCTGCCGATAGATACCATAATATTTTTATTCTCCAGACGTGCATACTATTACAGCATAGTATATAATATTTTTTAATCTATTTTTGTTAAATCACCGCTACTGGTAGATACTTTAAACCTTGAGTTGATAACATCAGCGAATGGGCCAAATTCTCTCACGGCGATGACCTTGATTATAACCTTACAGGTTCTTAGTCATCGTTGATTCACAGCGTTTACTACATCAAGCTCAAAGAGGAACTCTGTTTCATCACACGAGTTATAACAGTACGTTGAAGGTTGTTGATGATTAAGTGTTTGATTATCATTACTTACCTAGAATCTGTCCGCCATATTCAGCAGTATTTTTTGCTGTTGCTTCTGTGACAGCGTCTAGCATAAACAATTCTTATATTTAATACGTAAAATAACTTAATAATATTACCATAACAATGAAGATACATAACATTTAGAAACATTTAGATATTTTGACAGAGAAACCTAATATTCTGAGTACCTATATACCTACATGGAGGTAACAAGAAAATTATAAGGATATCTAGTACTACTACTACTACTACTACTACTATATACTAGAGAAGTTACAGTACAGTACAGAGAAGTCTGTTCAGTGGGAGTAGTCATTACATACATATTTGAGTGTCATACACAGTCAATAAATGAAATTTATTACATTAGATTCAGCAATTAGAAATCACAACAAACAAACTTACTTTGACCTTCATATTAAGTAGGATTATTATTTGCCTCAGCAACTCATTGAGCCAATATGCCCATATGTTGGTATAACAATAATTTATTCGCTCTATACTAATAAATTATAATTAACTTGACTATTGAATGCAACAACATACCAAACAGGGAAAAATGTGTATTTTATCAAAACCGTTAATTAAAGAAAATGATTATTGTAAACATTCAATTTATAATGGTAAAATTAAATGAACTAGTTGCTTGTCAGAGAAATACGCTAGTAATTTTAACCAGAGGGATCTCGGTAACCAATATGTAAAATATATACACAATAAGAACGTTAATAATAAATTGTTGTCAACACCGTAAGAGACGACTTCATACAGAATGTCTGAAGCAATTCAATTTCGTTTATACAAGTCCATGAAATGTAAATATCATGAACGTATTATGCACGATGAATATTATTTATTACATTACCTATGTAAAGGTATAATCGTGTGTGATATAGGTATTTGGTGACGTAAACTGCTAGGTTAATTGCCAGATCGCTTACTCAGAATCGGAAACTAGAACAATGACGATGTTAGTCATTGGCACTCATATTCAAAGCTATTTACTTTTTAAAAGCTGCCAATGTTACCAGAGATATCGATGTTATACCGACGCACCACTAGAATTGACGTTATTTAGGTTTATTTAATTAAATTGTGCAAAAATACAAGTTACAAGTAATTTAATACTCTAAACCTATTGCAGTTTTATTGAAGCTACTGCTTATGCTGATTGCATTAAGGCAATTTCACTTAAATTAATAATTACTGTCTCTAGGGAGGAACATGTGAAGGTCGGTTTGACCTGAGTAATGTAGACTATGCTAGCAATCTCATCATACTTACACATACAACATTACATTCTATATTGGGGGAGTGGATAATTAGCAGTGGCCCCACTGGTAGAATTATTACTTGTAAATTCTTTTCCTTTCAGTCAATTAAATTCCATGCAGTCCTCCCTGGAGATAATCGTATTTAATTCCTGATGAAAAACAGGTGTCCAAACTCACCTGATTTCGTAATCATCTTCAATCCGTTAACGTATATATAAACATATACTCGTATCGTTAGCGCAATGCACCATTCCATAGCCATCCAATAAAAATCATGTCTTCACACTTCATAAAAATATAACATTAGGAAAGTCATAGGAAACTCTACTATGACTTTATTATTGTCTGATTCAATTCCGGTCATATTAATTTAGAACATTATTTATTTTATCTGTTAAATTATACATCAAAGCATGACATTTTATTTGTCTCAACTTGACACAGATAATTCTAACACGTCCTGTGTTTACACACATGGTCTAAACATCTGTTAAAATCATATATGCATATTATGATATAATCCGTCTGTACAATTTACCAGGGTCTTAATTATGTAATATAATTGATAACAATTTCCATTTAAAACATATTAAAATGTTAAGTTCTACGATTATATGGAGACTATTAGTATTAGAGGGTATACGTATAGGTGTTACATAATGTATTTATGTGTGCAATAAAATAGTAGATATGCATTCGAAATATATTTAATTGGTTTGATTTTTATTGTATATTGTGTAGGTATGTAAGTAACAAAAAATATTAATCTAAAAACGTAGGTAATTCTATTTTTTTTTTTATTATGTCCACTACAAACTTGGGTTATATGTAATACATATAATGTTATCTGTGGTTTGGGACTAGATACCCACAGTGTGAGTTGTCCGGGGTTATCTTATTATTTTTACCTTCCTTTAACTTCTCAGTCCGTAATTATTATTATATTAATGTTACCTTCACCACGCCAAACACACTTGAGTTTACAATAGTTCTGACTATCCCATGCGGTAGTTACAGTATATATGAAGGTAAAAGTATATTTATTTTTTAACAAGATGTTTATTTATCTTGTCTAGGATCTGATCAGCGAACTGAAGAGCGAGCTGGGCGGTAACTTGGAGAATGTGATCATTGCGCTCATGACTCCTCTACCGCACTTCTATGCTAAGGAGTTGCATGATGCGGTCGCGGGGGTTGGAACCGATGAGGAAGCTATCATCGAGATCCTGTGCACACTGTCCAACTACGGCATCAGAACTATTTCGGCTTTCTATGAACAATGTGAGTAAATTCACTACTTTATAAAAATCGCAGATTTCCACAGGTGCAAACGTATTTACGTTACATAAAAAAATTTATACTAAGGTTACGTAAAAATACTTAAGTAGACAAACAGACGTGGATAATGACTTTGTTTATACTATTTGGTGAAACGAACGAATACCTTACTTAATGTAATCATGTAAAATGAATATAGTCTTTATTTTGCAATTTATATGTAGTTAGGTATCTATCACCACGATTATTTATCAAAGAAAGCCTCGTGTCAATGCGATTTATTCTATTAATGTTCTACTTGCGGTCATATTTGTGGTTTTACATTATTTCTATACTAGCAGATTCTGCAAACGTTGGTTTACCCTATTCTTATAAGTTACTCTAAAAATGGTGTTTTATACAAAATTTAATAAAATTAAGTAATTTTTGAGTTATCAGACAAACCCCAAAAATAATCTAAAAAAATATTAAATGCGATTATAAATTCCATAATGTTTAGTATGTTATAGCATTTTAGATAATATCTTTCGCCATCGAGTGTCCTGCTCGAAACACTAAAATGTTCTAAATTTCAAATGTATGAAATTAATCGACGTCTGTTTGTATAGATTCATAATAAGCAATTAAAACTACAACATGAACGGTGGATTTCAAAGAACACTTAATAAGTTTCTAGTAGAATCTTTTTTATAAATAACTCGCTAATAGCCTGTATAGATATATTATTTACTTACGATTCTCTGATATTTAGTGTAAAATCGATTGTTTTCAATAGTAGTACCTACATTGGTATGCTTTCTATTTCGACGCGATTGTGCGTGAGTGTACTTATAGGTTGGCAACTTTAGAACATGCGAATAGATGAAATCACTATTGCTGTAAATAACATTGTTAATTGTAGTAAATAGGCATAGATTATTTACTCTATCTATACGCATATATCTAATAAGTACTTGTATTAATGGAGCACCTGAGTGGGGTAAAATATAGACAATTGGGTCACGACTCAAGAATGGTTTTAATTAAACCTGCAAGTTTTAAAATATTAATTCTAAAACCTTTCGATCACTCGCAATATTTATTCGAAACTCTTTTCTTTTGAATATTAGTTACTCTGCTAAATTAATTTACATTACTGTGAAAAAAAAATTGGTCAATAAAGCTTACGGTTTTTTAATGTTGCGTCAATTGCGTCCTTGAACGACCCCTTCCCCCCGACGTTTAGTTTTCTAGTGGATATTAAATTTAATTCCCTCAATACTTTATTTTCAGTGTACAACAAGAGCCTAGAATCTGATCTGAAAGGCGACACCTCAGGACATTTCAAGAGATTATGCGTATCGCTGTGCATGGCCAACCGTGATGAGAACCAAGGTGTGGATGAAGCGGCCGCAAAGTCGGATGCGGAAGCATTAGCGGCCGCTGGCGAAGGCCAATGGGGCACCGATGAGTCGGTCTTCAATTCCATTCTCATTACACGGTCCTACCAACAATTAAGACAGGTAAGGACATACTCACGTACCTACATTAGCAATGTTAATTGTTCTTAAAACATTTAATATAATCTAAAAATGTAATAAAATTTATAAACAATTATAAATAACCAAAAAGACTTACCCCAATCAGTTTACCAATTGTTTTATGGATTATACAGAAAAAATATCGATTGAAGTTAGAAATTTTGGTACAGCGTAACAAATTGTTTAATAACTGTATGTATTTTATTATATGTAGGTTTTACCAACAAAGGAATTCATTCATTGCTTTTAAATCTACTTACATTTTTGAAACATTTATGTTTAAAAATGTAGATTGAAAAGCAGCAGTGTTAAACTGAGTACTTTTCGCGTGACTGAACTTCCTAGAATTTTAATTATCACGTTTTTCATAAAATCTGTTAATTGCAACTGATTTATTGGTGTACCGTGTCCAGATAAACACCGCGTTGATGGATCTAAAATAAACTGTAGCTACTTAATAGTCCACTACTTGTATTCCGCGGCGTGGCCTGTATGTGTTCTAGTTAAAAATATCACATGTGTTAATATAGAATGTCATCTATCTGTGTTTCATTACAATCCGTCCTGTAGTTTTTGCAGTAGAATTACAAACATCTCGGGTGATTCACTGCTGCCATTGGTAATTAATGATTAAAGTATGTCATTGCGCATAGTTAAAGCAAAATGTTAATGGCAGTTATGCATCCGTTGTGACGCAATTGATTTTTATTTTTGAATGAAATTAGGGTTCTACTTTTTTTAACCATTTAATGAGATTTCTAGGCCCTAGAATGTCTTACAATCCAATGTAAATGTATTCCTAGCTACTACTACTAATACTCCTAGCTAAAAACATTCGAAAAGTTAGCTATTGTTTTGACCTTGCTAATTCAATGAAGTCTTAACAGACTGTTCACTGAGGGTACCTACTCATGTTAATAGATACGTTGGTACTAAAGGCAAAAAATTCATAGTGCTGAATTGTAATTATAAACACATAATTGTGACTCATCAAACTCAATGACTTGTTTCATTTAAAGTGCACAGTAAAGTCCGACTCCTGCATTAATTATTCATGGTTTGTGTGCCTGTCATGTATTTAAATGATGGGTCAATGGTTACAGATCTTCGCCGAGTTCGAAGCGCTCACTGGAACGGACATCGAGGAATCTATTAAGAAAGAATTCTCTGGAAGTGTCGAGAAAGGCATGTTGGCTATTGGTAAGTTAAAATGATGTTGTATGACGCGATGTACTAATCACATCTATGCCGACCATTTTAAGTATTACTATCAAGTACCAACTTAGGTTCTAATCTTATTAATGAGGTATCTAAATATTAGATTTCTGCGTTTCGATCTGTTTATTGTAAGCGACTCAGCACTGTGTACTCTCTACCACGTCAACGCTTTTCCGTGAAGATAATATGGCATATTTTTTAAGATCGTACCTTTGTATTATTTCGTTAATATTAAAGTTGTAATCATATTTTATTTCGTACGGAAATGACCATGAATAGCGTAGTAAGCAAACAGAATGAATATGTAATTCTACCTATATAGTGAAGGTAGTATTTTTGATGGAATAAGGTTGCTGACGTAACTGGCCAATATATATGAGTAGTACGATAATTACTTTGTTATTTTAGGATAATATATCGGAACTAATAATAAACATTATAATAACAATTTAAGGGTATGATGACTGTTGTTTACAGCAAGGTCGTGGATCTAATCTGTTTCAAACAGGAAGTCGTGACGCGACCTCGCCACGAGCGTTCAACTTTTTTGTCTAGCCATTGTAACATTTTGTCACGAGTTTCATAATTATTTGACACAAATCTGGTATTGTTTGTTTATCTCCAACCTTCCCAATTCAGTAGTAGACATAAAATAATAACAAAAATTGTAGCACTTTCAAAAGTATTTAAATCAAATTTTGAATTATGATATACCTACATATTTTAAATACAAAATGTGTAAGCGTAGTGACTAAGTAATTTATTACTCGACCAAAAGATTGTGACTTTAAATCTAGTTAACACTATGTATTTGTATACAAAACATGTATATTTATTTGAAGCAAACAGGAAAACGTAACTTTAATTCGGGGGAGAGTTACCTACAGGCTTGCTCAATTCCAGCGTTGGATTCAAATATAGATACCTGTATTTCATAGTGTTAAGGTTACCACGATAAGTGGCGTCGACAATTGACAATGCTTACTCATTTGCAGTACAGTTCAGGATTCGGTACTTACCTAACATTATGTAATACAGCCTATAATAATATTAATCTCCATTGCTTTTTACTTGTCTAAAATACAAAGTCCAGTCCGGTTGGCTATTTTCATAGTAGAATTGAATTAATTACTATACCAGAACATACCCTATAACAATTTGACCTATATCAAAATGTTAATTATATTTTTTTATTAATTATCATAATTTTAATTTAACCCGACTACTGTTAAAATATTCGTAGACGAGGGTAAACTCTTCATATATTCAAATCTCATACATTTGTCGGCTAACATTATAATATGTTTGTTTTTAGTCAAGTGTGTGAAAAGCAAAGTGGGCTTCTTTGCTGAGCGTCTTTACTACTCCATGAAAGGTCTAGGAACAAACGACAAGACCCTCATAAGAATCATCGTGAGCCGTTCTGAAATCGACCTCGGTGACATTAAACAGGCTTTCCTTGATAAATACGGCAAGCCCCTGGAGACCTGGATTGCTGTAAGTACTTTTCATTTAAAAACTGGTTCGATTTTCTTTTTAGAAAGCTTTACTTAATATAAATACAAATTTGCACTCATATTAGTTATGTTCTGAATTCCATGGTACACTATATCAGATACTTCCATAGTGTTTATATATTTATGTATTATGCTAACACATGTAACCAAATCAACTAATTATTTATTGTTTGTTTTATTTGTGGCTTTTATAATCATAATGTGAGCAGTACCTCTGAATTATCAAAGTCTTATCCCCTCTCATTTCATTATTGAAAAATTAAGCCAGTGAGATGAGTATCTTTGCGATTTGCTGAAAATATCACATATACATAATCACAATACATTTAATGTAATGGGAATAGCAAACAGGCTGATGATCCGCCAGATGGTAAGCGGTAACATCGTCATCTATACATATACAAACAGCACTACGCATATCGCATCATCACATGATACCATTCATGCGTTGCCATTCCGGAAGATTAAGATGTCATGCCTCATGTTAAAAGATATAATTTCACTGCCTTATCTCTACTACTGCCTTCAGCAAAAACATTTTCCAAAGCTGAAGATTAATAATGTTAGCATCTCACTAGCACTATTAACGTACCCCAGTTTTAAATCATATTTAAATGTATATACACCACATATACCTATTTAATGTACAATATATATCAATAATGAGCATATATATCATCGCATGGATATCCCTAAAACACTTCAAGCATTAGATCAAGAAACTGACCCATAATTACGCATTTAAATAGAAAATAATCAGCATGAAAAAATAGTTGATACTCCGTTCATCTATTCTTTTCATTGTCATATTAAAAATATAACACTAACGGTATCTTTATACAGATCTATTTATGTATACAAAAAATAGGGACCGGTGTGATCATGTGATAATGAACGGTTTTGCTTAAAATTGTGACGTTTTTAACGTTGATAACAAAAAATATATGTTAATCCTTTACGGAACAAAGGTGTTGCTAACCGCAAGTTTGAGCAACGAATTAAAACAAAATTTGGATCGCTTTGGAAATAAAGAAATATCGAAAGACAGGTACAGAATCGTCATACATTTTGATTACAGGATGACACGTCCGGAGATTACAAGAAGGCTTTATTGACCCTTGTCGAATAAATTAACGGGCTGGACTTGATCAGGACCGCATCGTTTGCCATAACCACCTATCTGATTATTTAAGTTCATTATCCGTCAATTGTTAGGATGTTAAGAGATCTGCTAGGGCCGCACTGAAGACAAGCCATTTTGAGTCTCAACAAATCTGCTATATACATAGTTTTGCCTTCAGTGCACCCTTACCGTAGGTTACCCAATTATAAGTTGTAAATGTCTCAATCGATCTGTATATTTTGCTTTCTAATCACGTTCATGTAACTTTCGTTGCACAGTAGCTAACATATTTTCGTGCATGAGGACATGGTCGAGCTGCATTCACTTGTTTTTGTTTTAGTTTTACAAGTAGTTGTTGCGATTTTTCAGGAGGACATAGGAGGTCCGATCGGCCAACTACTCTCGACAATGTGTTACTAAATACCTACTACATACAGAGTTAAATAACACTCAGTATTACGAGCGCCATTTCGCTGTGCACCTTTCTAGTGTTTAAAGTAATATATTTTTGTAAACGAGTATAATGTCACTTAATATTGCATTTTCCATTTAAAGACATTTATTTTTTTATTCTATCTACTTTTTAAGCTACTTAAATATAGTGTATTGATTATATTCTTATCGAATGCTTACCTCGAATGCACGTGTGTGAGTCTTAAGTAATATATGGGCCAGTTTCTTTTTACTTTTGTACGCTAACGTTTGTTCAGTATTGGTTTTCAATATTGGTTACAGGAAGACCTAACTGGTGACTTCAGGAATGTGTTAGTCACACTATGTGCTTAATCCTGCAAAATAAACATTTATTAAGTAGTCGTTAGCTTTGCATTTGCATGATATATTTATAACTTAGAACCATGTTGCGAAGTACAGTGTAATATTTTGCAGGATGATACAAAGGGGGACTACAAACGCGTGTTACTCACTATCGTTTCGTAAGAAATAGCATAATAATACTATAAAGAATTTGTGAATGTTCGCCTTGTTGTTAAAAGCACTAAGCACTCAGTTCCGACCGGAAACTGCCTTTAAATTTTATGATTGTTGAGATATAGAAATGAAGCTTGATATTTGTGAAAATGATATATTTATTGGTGCTGTAGTTTTGTTTATATAATATACACATTAACTACAAATTAAACTATGTACGATTAAATGTTTACGTTTGTTTCATTCCACGTCCCTAATCCCTTCTTGCGTTATCTGGAAATTAAGAATTAATGATTACATATACAGGTGGTTCAGTAAATAAGGAGCAGGTAAGTGTTTAATTAATTGGTATTCAACATGAGTAATTTTTTTGTGCAACGAGTATTTTTGTGTAGATAATAAAATAATCCCAAACAGCCGGTTTAATCTGGAAACTAATTCAGATCCAATGACAGTGTATTGCGATTTATGCTTCTTTTTATTCACTTGAATTTCGTAATTAATAGAAAGGAGTAAGCATCGATTTTTTGGTTTAATCTTATTTACATTTCCATTGAAATCTATTACTCCAGAATAGACTTCCTGGTGCATACTTCAGGCTAAATTTCTTCATAAAAATACAGTCTTGTAAACTTATTTTAGATATTATAACTCTTTCGACGTTGTTTCGTATTATAAAATAACAAAACAGTCATACTTTATATTATAAAACATCGAACCATTAAATAAATTATAAATCTTTATATGTATATAATTCAGTTACTAACGTGCACAACAAAGTAGGAATAGTTGTAGATAGAAAAAGCTAAAACAAATCATATTGAAAAATGTATTGTAGTTTAGTTTGTCAATCAACTGGCAGGGAACCAAAATATTTTTACATGCATACTACCATAATACTAGGAATATCCCATATAAATTTGGCATTGGTCCAATAAGTCAATCACTCCGGTTAAATAACATGTATTATACAAATAACAATGAATGACATGATATAGTTAAATATAGCTTATAATTATGTAGATCGGCATATATCGGCATAACATCCTATTTACCACATAAATAACATTCTTTTCCTCCAATTATTCATTGGTAACTTGTACCTACAAGGAATATTAAAAAGCCTTTAATGTAATATTGTACATTATCTGCTGCATATATCTATATCTGTTTACTAACAAGCCTATGCTTGTTAGTAAACATAGGTATATCTCTCAACATATAGCTCCTCCAACTACCACCAATGATTTCTATTATTAGTATTCCTTGTCCAAATACCACATGCCAGCGCTTATCATCTATCAGTCATCTGAATGATAGAAAAATTAATATTGAACCATACTTATATTCTAAAGATCATATTTTATTTAACTGTCCTGTATTTGATATGATCATGTACACTTGCCGTAAACGTATTTAATATTATTATTCGAAAAAAGCTTTAAGTCACATTTTATATTAAATGATATACATACAACTTAATTATACAATAAAGAACCTAAAATTAAAAACCTTAAAAAATATAATATAATATCAAATTGTGGCTGTCTGTTTGTCTGTAACCTATTCTCGATTAAATAGGTGAACGGATCTTAATTACATTTGACGCGAAGATAGTATGCATCACGAGGCCGTCCTCGTACATAAAAAATAGCATATTTCCGTAATATGCTATTTTTTATGTAAAAAAAGCCGAAGAAGTTATCTATAAATATATTTACCTTAAATCTTGCCACATTGTTATAAGCAGTATTACTTTTGAGTGACAACGCCAGTCGCTCACTCGAGTGACTAGCCACTGAAAGAAGCACGCGCTTGTTGCAGCGATGCGCCCAAGCATCACCTAAAGAACCCACGACGGACCCCGTCGATAGGCCCACTCTTGTACTCATTTCATTCGTTAACACTACCTGTCAAATGATACAAGCAAAAGTGCCATGATTGAGATTACGTGGTTTTTGCATTATTTTGTTTACATCATGAAGTTGGTGGAAAAATATGTATACAATCTTACTTTAGAACTATTATTATTACATTATATTCAATACAGCGGTTACACTGTCAGTATACGGTCGCTACTTTTAGGAGTGAATAGTTTTGGAATAATTATAGAGATGTTGACTCGGCTTTATTTGCCGGTTGATAATAAAGGTGAGTACGGAGGGCACTCCAAACCCGCGAAGAACATTTGTTGTAGAGCGACTGAAGGTCAACTCCTATTTAACGTATGCATATTTATTCTGAAGGCATGTACCAAGGTTCGAAATATCGACCGTAATATGGAATGGGGCGAGAGATCGAATGCAGAGGGCAAGTGTTTAATATCCAAGATCAGTTTGCGGTCAGTCAGTATGTGGTGAGTGTCTTAATAAATGTTGAGAGTGGGCAGTGTGAATCAATCAGACGCAAGATTATAATGTTTATTAGAAGGAAGCCGAATGAGAAGTCAGTATATAATATATAAATAGACAATATATAATATATGACATACCGCTTTACGTTCGATGGACGCGGATTCGATTCCTGGCACGGTACAAACATTTGTATTCATGAGAATAATTGTTCGTATCGATCTGGGTGTTTCCGATATATATTAAGAATATATTTACAAAGAAAAAAATATATATGTATTTATAGACAACAGACAACTGGTCTATTAACCATAACACAAGCTCTGCTTAGCGTTGGACTAGATTTTTTCATGATTCAGGAAAATTCACGCTGTGTGAATTATCCTGAAAAAAAAAATTACTTTTTTTAACTATACTAATACTGTTATCTGCAGCTAACCTTTACAGCCTTCACCGACCAATATGCGGGCGGAAGAACATGATGGATACAACTTCAGTCTGAAACTACCACTAAGGGTTCGAATCACGGCCTAGGCCTTCGTAATTTAGAACTCTTAAATGGGGCGGGCGGGTCAGTCTAAGGGGAAGGTATTACAATGGTGTGCGTTCACACCATTGTATTTATTATTTATTTCTATCGAAATAGCGTTCTATTTCTATAGAAACCCGGAGGCGCTGTGAGTTGTACATGTCTCTTCGTGCAGATGATATTCAAAGTGACACTTAGTGTTATGTCTTTTCTATATGCTGCCTTGTTTGATGAAAATCCCTTTTTATCATTATAAAGATATTTTCCGCAAACATTCATAGCTTTTATCTATGTTTTTAGTAGTTAGCGCTGCAATTTAAGGGGATAACAGATGTAAATTTCCTTATGTAATAAAAATATTATTTCATAATTATTTATGACCCAGTCAACGCAGCGGTAGGCGATCCACAAGTCACATATCTATCAAAACGCGTGACTCGCCACGGGCATTTTGTATGAATAACTTGAACCATAATAGGTACACTATATATTTACTGCCATATGTCATATGCCATCAATACTTTAAACCGCAAAAATCCAGTTACGGCAAAATAATTCTGCTTAACCATATAAGTGGTGATAGAGTCCATATGAGTGGTGATAGATATGTGACTTGTGGATCGCCTACCGCTGCGTTGACTGGGTCATAAATAATTATGAAATAATATTTTTATTTGCAGATCAAAATTATTAAAAAGCCTTTTTTTTTCAATTATGAGTAATAAATACAAGCCTGTAAGGAGGATTACTAACAAATTCTCGTTACTCCATCTCCGTCGCTTATTTCAATAGCGAAGGGGCTTGCTTTGTGGCTGTTTCGATTGTAGGCAGTTGCTTAGGCAGTAAAATTACAAAATAAGAATCATGACATCTCAGTCCATGGGAATTGCAAAGCATGAATGGTATCACGGAAATCATATCATAACTGTGATGCTGTTCATGTCAATAGGCCATGGTTGTCGCTTACTGGGCCGTCAGCTCATTTGCCATTCCAAATATATGAAAAAGTTGTAATATACCATCTGTAGTAATGTCTATTTACAATTAGTTACTAGTATAAAATATTTTTTGTGAACACAATGCATTATAATCCAGAGTATCTTCTGTAAAAACAAAAACCATTTTCTTCTACCTGTTTACTTACAGCTATTTGTTTTTCCATGGCCAACCTCTGCAAATCAGCCATTAGTCTGAACAATAAACCTGTTCTTTGTCCAGGTGATATACCTTCTTTGAATGGAAAGGCTATTGAATCTATCACTATCAGTCGTATCTGGAACAGATAAATCAAATTTTCACTTTTAAGCAATTATAAATATTAATCATATTTTTTTTGTCGAGTGAAGAAATATTTCAAAAATGTCAAGGTTTTCTATTAAATGTTATCTCAATGGGTATTCACTGGGGTTATTCAATGTCGCTAAGCAGATTATTAGCATGCTATATTCTGGATTGATGGTTGAAATGTAGCAGTACTATGAGTCAGTGTTAGAATTCTAGATTCCAATTTGATATCAAATTCCAGACTCCAATCGCGCAAGTGATGGTTGTAGTGTTACAAGTGTTTATTGGCTCTTCATTATACATCCTACCTGACAATTAATGTTTGTTAGCCTTATTCTACTAAACAGACTTAAAATAAGTTGAAAATATAGTAAATAGATTACATTAGAATGCTCCTCTACAAATCTTCTAAGGCCATAAATAAAAGCACAGAACTTTTCAATACCAAATGCATTGACATAATGCAATTTTTTTAGTGCATCCTCTTCATTTATTACTGTTGGAAAACTCAGGACAGATTGACATTTAAGCAAACTGGCAACCACTATATCTGTAAAAATAAATATTTTATTTTATTTACTAATGAATTATTTATTAAATTTATATGAATTATAAAGATGCAATCATTGTAGAAGTTACTTTTCATGAAAAAAGTTATTTCATTTGTTACCATGTGTATTATATATTACAGTCACTGAATTCCTTTGAAAAAATCTTCAATATCAATCAGAAATCAAAACATACCTTTAAATCTACATGGTGTAAAATGTGTGTTGGTGTCTATATATAATGCTTCAGCTTCTAAACCGCCAAGAGAGTTTGGAATTTGAACAGATGCACATAGTTGAATACTAAAAATATAATTTGTTATTATCAATAAATATCTGTAAATACTTGCATTTATATCATAGACTAACTGTTCCCGCAACTTCATATGCATGGAATTTAACTTTATTTTTCTAAAATAAAAGTAGCCTAAGTTACTCCTTATTACATCAGCAACCTGCCAATGTCCAAAGTCATGTCAAAATCGGTCCAGCCATTTCAGAAATTAAGCCCGAACAAACAGACAGAAATTGTAAAAAGTGTTTTTTGGTATACATACTGTATTTATGCATATAGTAAAAATTGGTTATTTTAAAATTACAGACAGTCCAATTTTATTTATATGTATGGATTACAAGAATGATAATTTAGGTAACTCAGACAGCAAGAGGCAATTATTATCTACAGACTTGTATAGCAAGCTTACTGCAGCCAGTGGCTAATATTACATATAAACATGAACAGTAACTTCAATGAATATATATTGACACACATGTATGTCATACACATTAATATTGCTATAATGTTTTTATTCAGGTGTTCAATTTAAGTTTCTTATAATTGTTTTGTGAAAATTACTTTCTACTAAAATCTCACAGCATAGTCCTTCAAAGTGTCTGCAGTCTTATTGAGCTATAAAACACCATGCCCAAACCGCTTATTATGACAATAATACAAATATTAATGAAACATATGATAAATTATATGTCTACGCACCATATCTGAGTTTTACCTGAGCCAGGTAAACCTAATAATTCAGTAACTGTACATAGCTGAACGCCATCATGCCCCAATATCTTGTCCAGGCTTTGACTGAAAGTAGGTATAGACGGAAGACTGGTCTCACGCTATCAAAAAATATATATTATTTAATTCCTTACTATCACAATTACTTCCATGTCTTATATTTTTGATACTTACATGCCACAGTTCGACACAATTATATATTTTAAATGATGAATTCATCTATTTTCTGGTATCATTTACATTACATTTATAATACATTTTTTCCTCTGTATAGAGGAGACAGTTTAAAATGAAGAAGTTACTATTTTATTACTTAAAAAGTAAAAATATGTATAAATGGTTTAAAAATATGAGGGAAAATAATATTGAGACCTCCGAAAAACTGACAGCTTAACTGCTCTTACGGCTATTCTCATAAATAGTCTGTGGTTTCTCAATTTAACTGACAGTCTAACTGACTTCAGCCCCTGATTTCTATGATTATTTCACAAACTATATAGCATTTCTTGTTATTGTTTTATTACTCTGTATAGAATTCGTATATTCATACTGATTCATATATTATTATATTTACTTATATATTTGAAATTTTTCGTTTTAATGGAATCGTTTCTAATTAGAAACGTCTTAGTTAAATCATAATATTTGCAGAACTACTTCAATTTATACCACACATCGACATCAACTAAAAGTTTTCATTATTGAATAAATATGAACCACAACCAAATGAATATGCATGTTCCCATGAATCCTGTTGGAGCTGCACCCAATGTTGGGATGCAGATGCAAGTTCCAGGTCCCATTATGCAACAGCCGTCTCCACAACAAATGCCACCAGCTATACCCCAACAGACATCTCAAGATAAAATGGACAACATATCTAAAGTTAAAACTTTAATGGGATCTCTTCGAGACTCTATCCCTGTGAGTATATTAAGATTTACTTGTTGTATTGATATGAATAATTTCATATCAATCATTTGTAGAAGTATTATTAAAAGTAGTCTCACTCTCAAAGAATGTTGATCCCATTGTCACTGTATATTAGCACTTTCAGTATTCAGATAAACAAAAGAATGCACAATAAGCTAAATTTAGAACAATTATTCATTTATGCCTATGGGTTCTCAATAAGCATTTAAATATTTTATACACCAAACATTACATATTCAGGGAGTATCATAGCTTAGTTACTTACTTCTCCACTCACACACATGAGGTTACAATTTCAAATTTGGTTAACATAAAAAACTGTCAATTTATATTTCTCACTGACTCTCTGCTGAATGAAACACTGATAACAAACCCAAAAGTTAATTGGAGAGATTGTAACCTGACATCCTGCCACATTCAATTCAAATATATCCAGTAAATGTTGCCCTCATTGACACAAGCGCCAATTTGCCACATTGTTGACTATCCATCCATACTGACAAACTTTCACATTTATAATAATAATAAGATTTATTTATTAATATATTTATATATTCAGGTTTGAACACTTTGATATTCATACTCGAAGACTTGTATAAAATATTGTATATATGCATAGATTTGTCTTTAGTGCATTCTCTAGAATAAGTCTGTTTTCAACTTCAATTTACATTTATTCTGTTTTATTTACAGATGACACTAAAATCAGCAGCCCAAGTATTGCACCAAAATCACAATATGGATTCAAATTCGCAGTAAGTAGTTGTTCCTGGTAGTAGATATTGACTGTCACTGAATGACATATTGAATCTTAAAAGACAATATAATTATACACAAATAAATGTGAAACATTGAATATAGATGGTATTTTATTATTACTTCCCATTCTAGCTTCAATGTAGCAATTTATGTTATTATTTATTATAAGATTATTGTTATTGCAAACATTGTCTGTCCAAATATCTGTTCATTATATTAGTCTAGTGGAATAACTTATCAGGATAGTTTGGTTTTGGAGTAAGTGTTTATTTGTTATGCTTTCATGTTGTTCATGCTTAGTTTATTGTTTTTTTTTTAGGAAAGGAATTGATAACCCTGTGCCAAGATTTGATAAAAACTTAGAAGACTTTTTTTCACTTTGTGATCAAATGGAATTACACCTGGTAAGTTTATTATGAATTCTTGGTTCTTAAATATAAGGAAAGGATTAAGGTATAATCATTCTTTTTGAAGTTGATTAATGGACTGTGTTATCTGATTGTACCTTTATATTTTCATTCATCACAACCATGACTAACAAATTCGGGTGAGAATGTTTTCTTGATTCATATTGTTTTAGATTTTAATTAATTTTAAACGTTTAATATTTTGGATTTAGTAATAAAAAAATTTTTCGATATTTGCTGCTACGACTACTGGGCGAATCATAGAATTGCTAATTTGCCACATGCCACATTTTCGGCGATAGTCGCACGATTCGTGCCGACGAAGACATTTGACTACGTACAACTCTTTGGAGATGCGCCAATGGTTAGTAGGACTGGAACCTAATAATGTCTAGTTTAAAAAATAAAAATAAACAGGGTTAGTCGGAAAGAGTATACCAAGCCGCTAGCTAACTTTACTAGTAACTAATTAATCCCGCGTAACATTAATTCTACAATTTTTTTCTTACAAACATTGTTATTTATTGCAAAGATTGGCAACCCTATTCCTTGGTATTCAATCAAAATCAGCTAACGTTCTCGCATAGTGGAATTGAAGTAGAGCAGTAGCAGCAGTAGTAGCATAACAAAAAAAAACTTGCATCGATGTCCATTCGTAAAAACTATCAATGTCCTTACATGTCTTACTTTTACGATAGGGCTTATGACAGCTGATGTTAGGGCTGTCTTTTGTTATTGAATTTTTATATAACAACTTTGAACCCAAATTTGGTGGAAAAATTGTGCGGTTTCAGCAAAAGTTGTAGTTTATTACTAAGGGTCATTTCCGACACAGTCTGTACATTATTAACAAACAAAACGAAATGCTAAATAAGTGCTATTAACTTATCGACTTAGTAACCATCACTAATCACTGTACTATGCTATGTACGTTGTTAATTACAGATGTTCATATGTGACTTGTTATCACTAGTTGCCAACTGGTATATACTTCTAACTCCCGGTGTCACTTTCAGTAGGATACTGTTACACCATTATAATATCCATTAAATACGAATACTTTTACTTTTGGATAGCGTCGTTGCCTAGTGGTTTATTATCCTAAATCCTCACGGTGGTTCATATCTACCCGATACAAAAGAAAACTTTTCTGTGTCAATTTTTCTCCCTGAATCTGCTGTGAAGGAAACACAGAAAACAAACAAAAAATGAATCCGAGAATTAACGTTGGTAGATGCGAATAATGTCACGTTGGATTACAAATAAGTATACAAATATACACAATGTGGGAATGTCGAGTGTTTACTGTGACGTAAGCAATTGTCATTGTCTCTGGCTACCTCTACCTGGTATAATCGTTGTGACGCTAAGTATATTTAATTATTTTAAACTATACTGTGTTATGGATGATAATACTGTTGCGCTGGTAGGGACAGCAGTGATAGATAAAATAATAAGGATGAAATCAGGACTAGGATGAATTTAGTCCCTTGTACTATTATAATGAATAGTTAACGAAAACGTTGTTTTAACTGAAAAATAGAACTCAAAAATAATAGAAGGATAGAATTGCTTTGCCACTAACAGTTAATATGAGAACTGTTGATTATTTTATGATTCTCCAGCAAAGTTTATGGATCATGTAGGAGTCCTTTAAAATTACAATTTTAATCAATTTTCCGATGACGCCTGAACCTGACGTCATTAAGCCTATGCTAGCTTAATGATGTCAGGTTCAGTTTGAATTACTCAATTACTGTGTATACACTAGCAACATATTAATTCTATATTTTGTAGTCATTTTGAATTATAATTTAAGAGTAAAGTAGAAGCAAAATAGAGTACCGTATATAGTTCAATATCATTGGATTGGAATTATTTTATAATTTGTTTGTAGAGCAGACCTATCAGATATTAAATATGTGACCCATAAATCATATCTTGTTTTCTCGTCTTTAAATAATTCTAGAGTTAAGGTACAAAAACAAACAATATTTATAAGTATAACTAGATTATATCCGAGGTTTTGTCCAGTGGAAATGTTTCATTACGTCGATCGATAACTTTATCACAAAATTGCCAAAATATTATTGAGCTTTATTATTACCTACTTTGTATTATCTTAATTAATAAGTAAAAATATTATTCCTTCCTTGAACCTAAAACTGTCACTTTATATCATTCTACTACCTACATTGATATTGAAAAGTAACAAATGTACAGAACCACAAGGGACACGTTCTTTTTCAAATGTATAATTAAATTTACTCTAATTATTGCAAGTATTTATAAATAAATACATAAAATATAATTGTAACAGCTGATGTAACATTATACGTATTAAGAAACGAATATGGGAAGAAATAAGTAGTAAGAAACCAGACCACATATCGTAATTGTATCTAATATTTTCACGACTATAATAACAAATAGGCGTAGTCAGAGGCTTTGACAAGTTTTGATGTTATGTGTAACAAGTGGCATGCCCACATTTCACTGAAACTATTTGTATCCAACATAGCAACGACTGATACTCCCAACTTCCGGTATCGATATTTTCTATAACCTGAAGGATAGTCGAAAAAGTATTTTTTATTGAATCTCACGAGCTTTGAGGTCTTAAGTCCGTGTAGACTTAGTAGCTAGTAGATCACTAGGTCACGACGCTCACTAAGCTTCGTAATCTTAACATAAATACTATGTAAAAACATTTTGATAACATACCGTGATGTGTCCATAATAAACATTATTGTGATCTACAGACGCTTATCACTTCCACAACTCGTTCACCATAGTTCAGGCCAATGTCAATAAATAATAATAAATACCTAGTGTTTCATATCATACGTATGCATTCCTATCCTATTGATACATCTGGAAGGAATCTAATTCCAGTAGGATAAGGTCAACATTGTATTTTGAAACATATTCATGTATTTTGTATCATATAAATAAATAAAATAATCGCGTATAAGCCGTGTATAGACACGGCTTATACGCATATATTTTTTTATATAAATAAAAAAATATATGTTTTTGAACGAAGTCGCGGTCATAGCTTCCATAAATGTTTTGTTACTAACTCAAGAATATAAAATTTGAATGTGTAGGTATATGTAAAAATATATAGATTTGAATGTATTCAAGAGAATATAGATTTGACTAAAACCACAGAGAGATAGAAATATTGGTGTCGTATACTATGCTAAAAAATAGTATGTTTAGATAAATTATGTTAATTAGGCATGAGTAATATTAATATTATATTTTGTTATTGTTCTAGCGGACAGCTATAACTTGTATACAGCAGGCACAATCAGCAGCTCACTATTTACCACTCACCGTAATACCGTCTAGACTTGACTCGGGTCCCACCACACAGGTGAGTAATTTATGTTCTAATAATATTATCTTTATAAGAGTTATCAAAGGATATTGTTAGAAATGTAAGCAAATAACTACATAGCTAGCAATGTACCATGTCAGATTCACTTCCACGTGGTTCCCTCTGGAAATCTTAATAATAAATTTCTGATGAATTTCTCCCGATGGACGAATGGATATATGGATGATATTATGAGGCATGAAGGGATGATAATATGAGGCATGAAGTCAGGTCATTTAACCTGACTTCATGCCTCATATTATGATTCTCCACTGGTGCAATTAACACAATTCCATTATCGGCAATAAAAAAAATAGAACATCCGTGACTCAAATGCCTGCCTACCGAGATATACAACAACATATTAAAATAGTTTCATTGAATTGGTTCTATTCAATCAATGAATTAGTAATTATTTAGTACCTACTGTTCGTTACATTGAAAGCTGTAGGTATAATAATGTCAAGTTTTTGACCCAACAAGTAAAGATATAAAAACAAAAACAAGTCGCGTGCCATGATATCATTATCATTTTGTCACTATAATTACTATAATTTGCTATTTATATATAGTTTATAACTGATCGACGTCGTGTAAAGAAAGAGGATAAAAAATAGACCGCGTGAAGACGATGTGCTAAAAGAGTAAGGTCAGATAGGACTGCCTATAGCATATAAAAATGAAAGAAGGGAAGAGAATGACATACTACGCCAACCTGTAAATAATGATAACAACAAAGCAATGATGATATCTCTTTAGTTCTACTTTTATAAAAGATAGCCTATGTTTGTTCTCGTTATACGTACATTTAGGCGTTTGGTCGTAAAAAAGTCATAAATAGTCATACACCTATGCACGTAGAACATTCGGTGTTACCCTCGATTTTGTCTACTTCTTTGAGATAAGACGTGTCTGTCGTCGTGATACGATCTGTATTCACATCACATTTTGTTAATATCTGTTTGATAGTTATATAGAAATGTTCTTTTTTCTATTTAATTGACCACCACATAAAATATACATTTTCGCATTTATAATATAATTATGAATTTATTATTATCTTTTTTATCGTTAACATATATATTTGTTAAACTCCTTTTAAAGTATAGTATTAGTATTAGGTACTCATGAATCTATTTTTTTTTTTTCAGGAAACTACTCTAAGTTATCCACAATATCTGAATACGGTGAGACTTCAAATAGCTTATGCTAAGGATATACACGACACACTGGTTGCCGCTGCCCAAAATATATCGCCGACGGAGTGATAGTTAGTACATGTATATAATTTATTGTAATTTAACTGATAAGCTAGTACTGCTAGTATCTATGTTGAAATAAATTTTAATCAAAACGAATTTCATTTTATTCTCTTATCGATGCAAATTGAAAATCGAACAATATTGAATTGAAATTTTAATTTCATGGAATAATTAATGCACCAGTCTTCCCTCCTAAAACAAAATTTAGAGAAGACCGGTGGATTAGAAGAAAATGTTAGAATATTATTAGAAGTGAATATACCTACACGTTGCTCACATTTTGTACAGGTTTTAATTAGAGGCTATTCATCATTTTCACTAAAAATCCCAATTTTGACAGTATTATCCATTCATATACCGTCAAATACGTCATCTTATACATAAAATTAATCGGAGAGTCGTCATTTTACCCATCCCCTTCCACCTTGTATTATGTTTTATATAAATAAAACAAATTTCACTATATCTTCATAAGTATAATTGTTGTATTACAGTATAATGCAAACACAAAATATATATTTAAAAAAAAAACACCACTCTTTCGATTCTATGAGATCATGTATAACTGTATTCACATAACCAAATTAATATTGCACATTTTAATTTCATTATATGTATCAACTTTTGAGAATTAAATATAAATTTTTAATAGAAACATCATTTGATAGTTACTATTCCTAAAACATTGCCGGTTTAAAAAATATATTTTTTAGACCAATACAAATTAAGTTTTTGTTACTATAAGGCACAATACTCCTAGAAGTTACGGCAAAATCGCGTTGTTAAAAATGGATAAATTTTCTTTTGTCATTCTTAAAAATCAATATTTATAAATGGATCGATGGATAATAATAGCAAACTAAATCATTACAACTACATCATTTCTTACTCGATTCAAGCTGTAACTCCATTTAATAGAAAAGATTTAACCGAAATAACGTTAACTAGAATTAAACTTAAAAACTTTCCACGAGAGGTTACGACTTATGGCAATAAAATAAACAAAAAATGTTAATTCTTTGGTTTCTTCATATGAAAAATTTTAATCGACAGATAGGCTTAATTAATGTCAATCACTTCCTTCAAGCCATTCGTAGGGGTATTAATTTAAATTTATAATATGCTATATCTACATCTCCGTCTACGAGTATCGTCGTTGAAGCATGACAAAGTTTGCAAGTTTGTTTTAGAGGTTGATAAAATATGCTAGGGTGCAACCACCATGAACACCGACACCGACCTATAGTAGGTAACTACGTGAATCAAATACATATATAAAATGACATAATTATCTCAAATAATCGGGCCATATATGTTTTAGTAGGAATTTTATACATATTTGAAAGGACCAGCCCTTATTAAAACAGTTAATGCGCCTTTGGTGCCTGAAAACTTGATTCTCACCGTAACTATCACAAAATTGAAAAATAAAATACTATCAGTCTTTAAATAAGAAGACAATTTTCAGGAACATCAGATATCACGCCAATCCAATGTGTACCTGGAACAAAAATCATATCGTTATGTTGAAAATTTCATATATACTTTTGTAGCGAATTATTTCTATATTACCGTTATAAATATGTTCCCATGACATATAATTACAAACATAGGGTTACATACCTACAAGTCAAACTATGCTATCCTTCCTATCCTTCCGACACTACGAAAAAAAAAACGTTCATAAGGGGCTAAATTGTCTTACATGAATAAATGATTTTTGATTTGATTTGCTTTGCTTTGATAGATACATATATAATAATGCACTCGACTGCCGTAAACGGTATGTAGTGGCGGGGCACCAGCGGAGGAGGATCGTAAAGAATTTCAAAATTTTTTATCACAAGATTTTATTATTTTATTTCCGAGAAATTACGCCACTGGATACACATACTGGATATGGGTACTATATAACTGATACAAATACATGGACTATTTTTTTTCTCGTAAATACATACATATTATACACAGAAAACACCCATCTTATACATAGAAAACATCCACCCTTTATACCGTGCGAGGAATCGAACCCGCGACCATCGGAAGTAAGACAGTGTGTGGTGTGTAAACCACTAGACCATCAAAAGAGGCCTTAAAAAGCATTAAGTTAATATTAAAAATAGAAATATTCTCTCAACAACAGCCTTTGGGGGTGTCGCTGATAGCAATAAAAAGGATCATAACTCTTACTTATCTGAGAGGAATACAGTCCTCGCTTATAACGTATGTTTGTGCTGTATCGACCCTTGATAAACTTATTATTATGACATAAATAACGTCGCGAGAATGAACTGGTGTGGAATAATACAGGTCTCTGTATCGATTCTTGTATATAACAAAATAAAACACTTTCTAGATAGTTCTATGTAAATACTGAGTATTTATATACCCATGTAATAAAAATGTAACTAATCGCTGTCTGTACTTGGAAGATATATAATAAAAAACTATTATTGGGTACTTTATATAACGTAATAAATCCCAAAACAATGATTGTATTTGTCTGTGCGTTTATGAACGCTACTATCAGAAAAGGCTTAATTTATTTCGATACGGTTTCCAATTAAAAATAGTGAATAACCTTATACAATTAGGTATGAATACACAAAAAAATATATTAGAGATATTATACTGATTCTATTTTACAAGTAAATAACATTTATACGACCAAAACAAAAAAAATCACTGTTTTTTAGTGAAACTGTTTCTATTTTACGATCATTTTACCTGACTTTTTCTATGCTTTATATATATGTAAGTAGCAACAAGATAACATTTTTACAAAGTTAATTTAACATATTTTTATTGATAAACAGGAAGAGTGGTGATAATGGTCTCTGGTACATTTTATAATGACTGATCTATTTATACATTTTTAAATGTGGATATCGATATGGCTGCTCCAATCTATTAAAAGCCTAACTACACTGTCCGCACATAGCAACACTATGATAATATTAGTTTTATCATCTACCTATACATTTATACATATAAATAAAATTGGAATGCCTGTTTGTAATATTGAAATAACCGGTTTTTACTACATGCATATGAATATAAATACGGTACATACACCAAAATAACGTTTTTTATCATTTTTGTCTGTCTGTTTGTTCCGGCTAATCTCTGAAATGGCAGGACTGATTTTGACGGGACTTTTTTTGGCAGGTAGCTGATGTAATAAGGAGTAACTTAGGCTACTTTTATTTTAGAAACATTCTTTATTTTAGTCAAATAAAGTTATGTTCCACGCGGGCAAATTCGCCGGTACAGCTAGTCATTAAATGGTATCAATTACAAGTACGATTATAGTATTTTCCAAATCATTATCCAAAGGACTGTTTACTTTTTATACTACGGTGGTGGCAAACAAGCTTATGCCCCATCTGTTTTTACCCGACTTCAAAAATTAAGATATTTTCAATTGTAAATAATAGTCCTATATGTATATACGTTTGATATGTCCTATATTTGCCAAATCGGTAGTCCTCATCTTATCCGTGTTGTTTCAAATTTGCCATGAATAAAGACTTATTAATTTGATTTAAATTCATTCAATTATTTATTTTATAGTCTAATCCGTTTTTAGACAGTGCAAACCGTATATTGGTGTGGTGTAAGGTTGGTGGTGAGTTCAATATCTACAGTAGAAATTTATATAATAGTAGTTTAACCCCCCCCCCCCCTACCACCCTCCTGACCTCACCCGGATAGTTCTAAACACGAGAATTTCGAAGAACTTCTGCCGTCTTACTAATAAAAATATTCGTATACTTATGTAATAGCTGATCTGATAACCGGCACCTTATCTACGACCATGTCTGTTCACACTTTCATCACTTAATTCACCCCTCCCAGATTATTTTTAAGATAAAAGATTAAGGTCATGCTATTAATATACTATATTTTCAGAGCAAATTTCATTATGATCCGTTCGGCCGTTTAGTGAAAAGGATACAATCAGACAGGACAAACAGATATACTTTTGCAATTACAACATTATGTGTGATATTAGTATATAAGTATGGATATAGTTAATAAGTACTTGTTTTATTAAATGTTTTAATAGTGGTAATAAGATCATATTATATATTATTAATTGCAATTGTAAAATATTACTGTGTTTTTTATTCATTGATATCATAAATTGACGGCTGATAATAAAAAAAGTAACGGTCGAGTGCGAAACAACGTTCAGCGAGGGTTCTGTTTTATAGTAGATATTTATTTATCTTATTACTGGCTGACTACCTATGAAACCTATTCATTACTGTGATTGTGAAACTTTATTGAAAGGTTGTTGTTATAAATGCTACGAGTTTACCAGTAGATATATATGCAGTATTTCATAAATAATGATATAAAATAGGGCAAAGGTAATAAATAGTATTTAATTTAATAGCTTTTTCCCTTTTTTTATATTATAACCTAACCTAAACCGAAGCAGTATATGAATTGTAAATAATTTAAATAAATATTCTTATGATATATAACATTTTAACATGTTAAAAAATATTTCGTGATCACTGAGGTTGCATAATCGGAAAATAAAAATTATAAAAATCTAATGTATTAAGAGTTACTGAAATATATACAGAATAATACAGACAGACCTACACATAAATACAGAATACGTAAGGGTTTTTCATGTACTGTTCAACAAACATACGGAACTCGATATATTACATTAGAATAGAATAGAATAGAAAATCATTTATTCAAATAAACTTACATTGAAGCACTTTTGAATAGTCATTACATTTTTTAATCTACCGCTTGTTCGGAAAGCTGTCTCATCACAAGAAGAACGAGCAAGAAACTTGCGTGTTGCTCTTTTAAATAATTTATTATTACTTTACATTTTTAAGTTTAAGTGTGTGAATACAAACCACCAATTAGCACTAATTCTATTAAATACTCAAATAGAAATAATATTGAATATATAACCAACTGGTTAAACAATTAATAAGAGGAAATCAGTCATAGTGATTAGAGCAGACCAGTCCCTACAAGCAGCACCCGTTCACGAGTATGACGGATATTTTAGGGAGCCCAATGACCCGGCCCACCACGCCGCCACAAGTCTGGACATTTTAGTGAGCATGACTACTCAAAACACTAGACTACGTCAAAGCTACTTACAATTGCTATCTGATAGTTATAGTATTCACATTTTACATAAGAATGCATGCGGCAATCAATACAAAAACCGCTACGCTTTCATATTTCTAAAATCAATCAATTAAATCAAGAAAGCAATGAGAAAATTAAATTATAACGTTGTATGCTAATAAACTAGTTATTTACTTGATATGTTGTCGTCTATGAATTCGTCTATCCTATAATAGGCTTCTTTTCTTACACAAAAATTGTTTAATATAAGATTTGAATTGCCTCTCTGTCAGATTTAGTGCAGATTCTGGCAGTTTATTATAAAATCTTACGCAATTACCATAGAATGAATTACTGACTTTGTGCAGGTGGCATTTAGGTAAAATTAGCTTATTTTTATTGCGTAAGTTTCTATTTGTACAGTCTTTAAGTTTTCTAAAACGGTCTAAATTCTTCCGTCTATACATGATATTCTCATAAATGTATTGTGAAGTAACGGTGAGGATATTTGAAACTTTAAAACACTGACGTAATGACTCTCTTGAACCCATACCATAAATAGAACGTATGGCTCTCTTTTGTAAAATAAATATAGTATTTATATCGGCTGCTTTACCCCACAGTAGTATACCATATGACATAATGCTATGGAAATAACTAAAGTATACAAGTTTAGCCGTCGCCACGTCTGTTAATTGCCTAATTCTTCTAATTGCATATGCAGCTGAACTGAGTCTATTGGCCAATTTTGAAATATGGGGCCCCCATTGTAATTTCGAGTCCACTGTTATACCTAAAAAAACTGTATCATTAACAAAATTTACTATTTCGTCATTAAGCAATAACTGTGTATTTATTGGTCTTACATTAGGAAGTGTAAATTTTATACACTTTGTTTTGCTGGAATTTAATAATAGGTTATTACATGTAAACCAATTTAATATAGCAGACATAGCACAATTTACATCGTCTAATTGATTAGTTTGACGTCCAATTTTAAACACTAACGAAGTATCATCCGCAAACAGCACTATATCTGCAATTTTCTCTACCATAAAGGGAAGGTCATTTATGTAAATTAAAAAGAGAAAGGGGCCTAAGATTGACCCTTGTGGAACGCCCATCCCAATATTAGCTCCCTTAGATTTTATACCGTCAATATCTACAGTTTGGACCCTATCCTCTAAATAAGTTTTCATTAATTATTTTAGATCATTATCTTTTATACCATAATGTTCGAGCTTGTACAAAAGTGTTTTATGATCCACGCAATCAAATGCCTTTGATAGGTCACAAAAAATTGTGAAAAACATTTTAACACATGTTAAAAAATATTTAGTGATCACTGAGGTTGCATAATCGGAAATTAAAAATGATAAAAATCTAATGTATTAAGAGTTACTGAAATATATACAGAATAATACAGACAGACCTACACATAAATACAGAATACGTAAGGGTTTTTCATGTACTGTTCAACAAACATACGGAACTCGAAAATATGAGTTTGTAAGTGCCTACCATACATACAATGTACTGTGCTCTGCAAAGTGATAAAAGTAACAGCAAACAACAAGCGTGAATATAAATCAAAGGACCCATTCAATGACAATACCGGCTGATAGTAAAGAAATTAATTACCTACCAGTTAATCAAATTATCTAAAAGTGTACGTAAGTATACTATTAAATAATATTTACTAGTTTCAATAATGTTGTATTTACAAATGGAGAGATATATGTGGTCATTCAGTAGATACTAAAAAATACCGCGAGTTTGTTTGCTATAGGACAAAAAATAGTCAGAAGGCATTACTAAGAAAAAGTTTAAATTTTAGACAGGAAGTATCTATTTGAGGATAAAATTCGGTACAAAACCTTTATGCTCACAAACTATACAAAATATACTGAATAAAGCTGGTTGGAGTATGATGATATACCTACTAGCGACCCGGCCTTGTTTCGCAAATAATAAAAAAAATCCTGCGGTAAAATGGAGCCCATGTTTTGAATTACACCTTTAAAATAGAATTATCGGAGAAAACTGAAATTCTATTTCATGCAGTTGTGGTATGACTTCTGTTGCATTAAGAAATATCAATAACGTATAGACATCGGCCTATTACAATTTTATTATATACCAAGGTTGTACTGTACTTAAATATTAATTTCAATAAACAGTATGCTCACATTATACATTTATTTTGGCGGTTCTTGCCTTTTCACTTTATCGTCTCCTACTGTAAATTACAAAGAATACGTTATAACCATTTACCACAAACGTTACAGACAAACTTGATCATAAACAATACTGTAATCATAGACTGAAATCTGTATTGTATGGTATGTAAAAAAATTATGACTCACAATGTTCATCCGAAGACTTGCTGGGCTGCGTAAGTGATATGTAAGTATCCGTCGTGTCCGCGAAACTGCTCGTACGCCTGCGCCATCGTCATGCTGTGACTGACCAACACTTTGTCGTTTACTAGCAAATACAAAGCCTGTTAACAATACATATCTCTATATTAACAATATATTTACGAACCTTTTTTTTTAACTTATAGATAGATAAAAAAGAAACGAAGAAGTACTACAAAGGGTTAAAGTAAAAAGGCAGATATTATTGGGAATAGGCAGGAAAAAATATTGGGGCACTTGATACGATACGATGAACGTATGAATAATATTATCGAAGGGGAAGAACAAGTCAAAGTTATCTCAAGCAAAAAGTTGGAGTCATGTCTTATCAATAACTAAAATAGATTGATGGAAAATGGCAAGCCTCAACGACAAAAAAAAAATTTAAATGAAAATAAATAAATCCTCATGGAGCCCGCCCCAGGGAGGCAAACGGGTACTGTGAGACTCTTGCTCACGAAAAACTCCCAAGATGTCCCTCATTCATATGCTAGATATATTTATGAACCTAGTTGTTTACCAATATTTTTTCGTAATATTACCTACATGTTACATTTTTTAACTATTTTTAAGGGGAAAGAGTCGTTTACCCCATGTGAAAGAAGCCAAAGAAGAGGTTTTCTTCTTACACACACAGTTTACAAAGAAACCTTTTTGGCGGTTGAAATAAGTAATGTCAAGCAAATACAAGTCCATACAAGTCTTTTCACACAGGCGTATGCGTGATGCTGTTCATGTTTATGCTGCTGTTAATGATTCATTTACCGTCAGATGAGCCGACAATTGCTTTGCCTATCCAATAAAACAAAATAACGCAGAATATATTACTAGATTACAATATATTACTAGAACCAACCTGAGATTCCTTCAATTTTATTTTCGATCTAATTATATACAAAAACTGGGACATGGTTAGCTCTTGAGGTACGAGGAATTTACGCCTTCCTAATGCTGGAACTTCTCTCTCGCGTTCATATCTTTCCACGTACAACTGAAACAAAATATCTATATGATAAAGAATACACAGAGATATTCAAATACTATGGATATAATGAGGGTTCTTGTCAACGAAGCTTCCTATATTCTGGTTATTCTGTTATTACAATAATAGGTCAAAAAACATATTATTTATTTATTTATTTAATTAGTTGCATTACACAATTATGATATAGTAATTTACAGAGTAAAAGTACACACAATATGCACTTTGTTAGGACTACCAAATGGAAAGACATGATGATGATGATGATGTGTGATATCTTGCAATTTACGAGTATATGTGAAATAGGTTAGTACTTACTGGCACTTTGTTTGGAAACCTATCTCGTATAGCTTGAACTTCCTTATTTGAGCCCTGCATATCTGTAACAATGACAAAAAGGTTAACTTTAATTACTAAACAATAATAATACGAAATAATAAGTAATTGTAATATACCTACTTAAGATATAAAACTAGAATTGGCAAACAATAAAATTAAAAAACAAATTCTGTGCCAACTTTCTAACTTATGAAGAAACCAAGAATTCAAACATGTCGTATAGTCTTTTTTATATAGGTACGTTAGAAAACTGTGTGAATTACATACGGATAAACAATTTTGTTGCCTATCTGTTTAAGATGACATTTATATATTTACAGATTACAAAGCAAATAAGATAAAAATTATACCAACGTGCAAAATAATTGAATAGTATTTTTTCTTCACAAACTACATATTTTGTTTTTATTTTAAGTTAAATATAATAGCTTAATATAATATAAAAGCTACTATAATATATATACTATAATATTACATACCGATTGTAACACACCGACACCGATTGTGTTGTACAGCTGGGAATATTTATTTAACTACACTTCTAAGCATGCCTACTTATAAAGATAAACAAAAGTAATTGGTAATGAAATAATATACTTAAATATTATTTTCCAAGGTCACTTCCACTAACCTTACTACCCAATTATGATATTTTATTTGTTTGCAAACAATTAAATTGACGAATGCTCTAACTTCTAAAATGTACCTACATATATACAAATAATTGCATCGTTTAAGAAAAATACTAGGATTATTTTTTATAATATAAGGTAGATGAAAATATTCACATACCTACCTACTCATAATTATCTGAATTTGTTTATCTTATATAAAAATATAAAAAAGAAAATATTTAAATTTCTTCTTAAAAATACTAGGGGTTCAAATTAAATGTGGATATTGAATATAATAAATATTGAATACCTACTTACCATCTTTGTATCCGAAAACTTCTTGTGAGGCATAGGTTATGTAGAGAAACCCGTCTTCATCTCCATAGTTTTCGTATGCCTGTGCCATTGTCAGACTCATGCTTAGCATAGATCTGTTATTGATTATTAGATATAGTGCCTGTTGAATGGAAGAAATAACTATTTTGTTATATTTCATTACATTTACTATTTCAATACACGTGTGAAATGAAATATTTTCGTCAATTAGAGTCGCTAGTTATGAGATATTTTTGCGAAATCGACTTTATGGGAGTACCTAATGTTTACTGACTTTAAAGTAAATTAAAGGTTTCTTCTGAGTTTTATGTTTACTCATGTACAATAAAGAAATACTGTTTGCCATAGGTATCTAAATAATTAGATGAAAAATTACTTACTTGGTTTGCTTTTATTCTTATTCTATTCCGAATTATTACAAGGAATTGCGACATAGTGATGTCTTCGGGAACTAAGAATTTTGTTTTGTCCAATGTTGGCAAATTTCTTTCCTTATGATACCTTTCTACTATAAGCTGTGGATAAAAATTTTATTTTCAATACTGGAGGAACACCATAGACTTCAAAAACGAGGAGGAAATTAAAAAGCATCTTTCTTTTCAAATGTAAATGCTACACTTTCTGATTTTACTTACAGGAATTTTTGTTGGAAATTTACTTTTGATAGCCATTACTTCTTCTTTTCTGCTAACTGAAAAGAATTAAAATTAAATTAGCTATATATAGGTACTTTGGCTAATGATTGTAGCCTTATGAAGAAAAATCGTGAGGTTGAATCTGAGCGATGGTACAAAAATTAATATTTCTCACTTACTCGCCGGTGACATAAACACTGAAAAGCTCAGCATGTAAATGACATTTTTGCTCTGGGTATAGATATAAGATCACTTGAAAAGGATATTTAAATTTTTTTCTCGTTAGCTTTATCTTTATACGATTTATTTTCAATTCCCATAGGCAAAAGAATGGTTTTATAAGTTTCTCTTGTCTGTGTAAATGTGTGTGTTTAATTTTGGTTATTTTTTTATTTGAGCGTTCTAGTAGTCACAGGTTTAATCTTCTATGCAATAAACAATTGGAGTCGATTTACCTGATTGTCTTTTTCTGTTTTTTCATATGCATAGTTATATTATGTTTTATAAAAAGAGAATAAGCATTTCAAACAGATATTTATATAGTAACTATTCATAGAACATAATTTGTATTAGTTTGGCATTAGATAACACTTTGTGCATTAGATAGCATTTTGTCCAGGTTATTTATTTATTCATTCACGATACAACAAAATATTAAGTAAATACCGTTTAATATATATATGCCAAATGTCACGTATACTCGTATATAACAACAAATAATTTGAACTTATTAATTGGGTAATTTGATGCACACTGATAATAATGATGCATAAACACGACGAAATAGATACAAATTCTAGAGTTCGTTGAGCTTTAATAAGTCGTTTATTGGTGTAGGCTAGGAATGCGTTTTATCAAAGCTAGGTATACGTAGCAGTGTTGCATAAATTGCTAATTATTCAGTAGTGTCTATTTAGACTAACAAAGTGTCTATCATCCTAATTAGTATACAATGTATATATGTTATGATTATATTATCTATATATATTACGACTTCTAATTGTTTTATTGATACTTTTTGTTTTCAGACAAGTATGTTGTTAGATATATAAATAGATACCTCTTATTTATTATTAGGTTAATTTATAACCATACGTAATAAATATTTAGGTAATTTGACAGAAACCTGACCCTTTTTTAGTTATTAGGAAAACAATACAAATCATATCTATCACAACAAACGATTTACATAAATTAATAAACATGTACATTGTTTTCGCATATATATTTCGCATTTCTACACTCTATACCAACACATTTTCTACATTATCTAATTTTATAAGAGCTAAAGAGGATTATGTTTGAGATATTATAAATAAACTCCGGAACCAATACTATGTAAGAACATTTTTCACTGTTGGATGACTGTATATTTAAAATACTAGGTACCTACTATTTCTTTTAGAAAGAGATGTTTACAATATTATCAAGTAGGTAAACTCCGGTGTCACTGCAACGACTTCAGAAATACTTTCACAGTTTGAAATTACACCAGAATGACATCCATAATTATGTATCCATTAATATTGTAAATGCGCATGTGTGTCTGTCTAATTATGAGATACCTAACTTCTTACGACTAAACGACTGAACGAATCTTAATTAAATTTAACGTGAAGAAGATTACAAGGTAGGGTACGGCCTACCTTTATAATATTAATGTGGATTATGAGAAATAGTATAAATTTATAATTTTAGCGTCAACTACTTAGGCGCTTGCTCATACGCACTGGCAGAACAATTTTAATATTGTTAATATTTAAATAATAGTTAGCGTATTTGTATTTTTATTGGATACTAATTAATAGCAATACCAATATACGACTTGGTGACAACTTCTACCAGTATATTATACACTAGCACATGAAATAACAATAACAAAAAATATATAATATTTTGTAACAATAAATATAATATAATTATAATATTTGATAACATTCAATAAAATATATCAGATAAATAAATATTTACCGAAGGGTTTCTTAGATTTAAAGCACTGTTTCACATTGTGATTTACATCGTGTTTTAGTAAAGTCGTTACAAAGTTTAACTCCATTTTTAATAAATAAAATATAAATTCACTCGTAGAACGGAATATATTTATTTATACACGATTTTATACAGTCCGCATTAAACCAAGCACTCACTTCGCTGTGCTACGGTTGACTACAGCAGAGCAAACAACAATTTGTAGTTTTATCAAATTGAATGAGATCCCAGCTATATAGTAAACAACATTAGATAATGTTAAATTTCTGTAGTGTTTAATTATTGTTCATATGGCACAGGTGCTTATCAGTGTAGAAATTAAATGAAACTAACAGTACTGTTGATCAGAATTATTTACACATTGATTTACTATATAACATACTATTGAAAGTTTGGCATCTACCATCTACTGATACATCAATATCTACTTACTACCCGTTTTCGAGGTTTTAAGGATAGGGCAAGTGTGATTGCGTGTAACGTTTTCCAGGTTTTTTTCAGGCAAAGCGGAATTTAGCAAACGTTCGCGGGAGGAATTTATTTTTAGGGCATACATAAAATCACCAGTATTAAATAGGAGATCATCAGAGCTCTAAACATCTCAGACAGAGCTATCCAGCGCGGTATATTTAATTATGCTCTAAAAATCAGGACATCTGCCAACTCTGGTGTAGGGTAGAAAATTAATTATTTAGTTATATGATGTGTATTTATATTGTATTTACCTACTTATCTAGTTATAATATAGGGCAGTATATTTACTAAAATTATATAATATGTTTATAACAACTTAAACATTTTTTTTATTAAAATTGTAACCCATATAACGGATTACCGGTGTTACTACATATATATAGGTAGACATAAAATTGTACTGTGACGCCCAGAACCACGGGCAGACGCTGGTATAGAGCCGCACCAGAAATGTTGCTATTTGTTCAAAATATTGAAGAATATGTGGAATAAATGATAAAAAATATTTTAGAAACGTATGTTATGCTCGAAATATATTGCTACTAATATTATAAAGAGTAAGATTAAGAATAATTTTGGAGTCTGTGAGGTTGTAGGGGTAATCTCTGGATCTAATTAACGATTTTGAAAAATATTTTAGTGTTGGATTGCCCATTTATCGAGGAAGGCTACATGATATATGTAGCATCACGCTACGATCTACAGGAGCAGAGCTGCAATGAAAACGTTTGCTACATTTTCAAACAGTGGAAATACGACGCAGACGAAGTTGCGCGCGTTAGCTAGTCTATCTATAAAGTTAAAATTATTATTTTACCTAGGTAAACCTATTGAATATTCAAGGCATCTTTATCCAGCTCTGTCTATTTCTACCATTAAGCAGCTGGATTTGTGACATCCGGTTTGAACAGAATTTTATTAAACATTAACAGCCATTTTTAAGGAATGGGGGAGAAGGTTCTTAGTAACGTGGACTAATGAATACGCTAGCTAAAATTCTTCAGCAGATTGACCTGCATTGTTCTGCGTGTTTCTGTTTGTCTGTATCAAAATCGGTTCAATGATAATGAAGATATTCTGTAACATTACATTGGTAATGTTACAGAATATTTTCACTATCATTGAACCGATTTTGATGATCTTTTTGTAGTGGACAACTTTCAATTATTTTGACATAAAAGAATGCATATGTCCGTCCTCGTGATATAAATTATCTTTACGTCGAATTTGTAATAAAATTGCACAAACGTAATGATTCACAATTCTATGTATGTTACTATTTTTTGTACATAACTACACCCTAATACGTGCATCTTCCAGATACATAGCTTTTTTTTTTCCATATTCGTCCATCTCCTTTTCCCAGATACATAGCACTTTTGTTGCCGAGATCTCTGAAAGCAAATGTACGAATATAGGAAAAAAAAAAATCTCTGAAAGCAATGAATGACAGCTCTTTATCTTGGCATGACAGATCTATTGACAATTGTACTGTTGTTTGATTGAAATTTTAATGATTTGTAGATATATTTTGTCCACCAAATATTTAAAATTATTCTTTAGAAAATAATAGCTTTATATTTTTGTGTCATTTTATATGTTTTAGGGTCTAGTGACTCACTATGTACTATAAATAAATTATCTGTTTTCGTTAAAATACGAAATAGTTAATACTTACATCGATCTTACAGTGGACTTTAGAATCGATATTTAGCCCAGTTTAGTTTATTGCGTTTTTCGTCCATATATAGTTATGCGCTAAGTAATTTGTGTTGTGTATGTTATACGAGGGGTAGTTATAATGCTATTCACACCAATTTATATTGCAATGACTTTCATAAAAACTTGGAGAATTCGGTCCTTCAGAGCTCGACTGCTCGAATTCTTGAATGGTAACACAAGTGTTGCTTTTTGCAAAGTGCCCGAAAATGCCGCAGGTAAACTTTAAAATGTCGTAGATATAAACCGGCGGTTTATTCGCATTAAATAGGTGCAAAATATGTTTGAGCCTTCACTGACAATCTCACCTTCATTTGATCTATATTTAATTTATTATTAATATTTATTTATACGGATAACATGTTTATATATAAAAATAATTGCATAATTTGCAAATTATGTTGTTTTAATATTTTTTTGTATTGTATTATTTATTATTCTATATGTATTGCTACAGTTTAATTATTTAATATTAATAATCTATAAAAATGTTTCATAAAACTTTTCTATATTAAATTTGAATATGGCCTATCTATGCACCAAATATGTTTAAAATCTGTTTAAAAATGATTAAGTATATAACATAACATCTAAACACTTAAATGTATACTATTAGTATAGAAAAATATATTAAACAAAGAGATTACTTTGTATAGATGCTTGTATTTTATAATTATATAATTTTTTTTATGAACTATACATTAAGAGAAAACTATTTGTTTATATTATTTTCCAGAAACTCCAACCTTAAGTTCAAAACTGTGTACGAACCCAAAGAATGCTTATCTCTGTGACTTGCTGGATTATACAAACGCTACCAGAATCTGCAGCATGAAACCAACTCAGTGTATAGAGATCAGTGACTGGGTTGCATGTGCGGGCGGACTGCCGCTGGGGTCTAGTGAACTGTCTCCTGTTATAGACTTGGATGTGGATGTGCTATTTGAATGTGAGATGGAGCCGAATGAAGCTAGCTCCTACCAGAATATTGCGCATGTATATTTCTTTGTTATACTAAATACAATCATGTTTTATAATATAACATTTAATTTGCCTGCATACTCATATTTTTCATTATTTATTTCATCTCATAATAATACTGCTTTTTTTGAGGAATAATAGTAATATGTTAGCTTAGTTTAAAAATTTATTAAAGTTAAGAATGACAGGTTCATAGACAAAAGGAATAAATTTTAATTCTGTGTTTATAAGAATATAATATGGAATATGATATAGTAATTCTGATAGTGTACATAAAATTTAATGCAAACAGGGCCCAAGCCATATTTGTTACACTGGACAAGAAATATCCTATAAAATATTTCTAATTTGACCATTTATGACTCCAATGCAAATAACACTGATTACACAGTTATATAAGCAATTACATATTTTTTTCTTTATTTATAGCTGGACACTATGGGTCAGCCAGTAGCATGGAAAGCAGGCTCTCATCTCGCCATAATATTAAAAACAAATATGGAGAACCTTAGTGTCATTGGCTTCAACTTTGTTGGTGGAGAATTTGTTATAGATCATAAATTACCTGTGGTCAGGGTACAAAGTTAGTAACATTTAATTTTTTCTTAATACATATTAAGCAGATAATATATGTGCTTACAGAGATAGAGTATAAAGTGTTACCACAACATTTCAATACAAATGAATTGATGGAAACTGTAGGAAACTAAACCAATCCATCTAACTGACATGATAATTGCTAACTCATTCTCATGTGCAATGAGTAATGGTAAAACTATTGGTATTAGTATTAATAAATAGTACTAGTGGGATGCTAATAGGTTTATATGATGTAAAATGCATGTATATTTTGTGTCACAACAATAATTAATAACTATATATTTCAGCTGTGCAGTTATCAGGGGAACCAAATAAAGCCACAGACTCCTCAATGAGGACTTTACGTAGTGAAATACAACATAGTCTTAGAGTACCGTATGATGAATTTAGGTGGCCAGTTCATGCTGCTCTATTAAGAAAATTGTCAAAAGTAGTAGATATTAAGTCTGATACAAAAAATACATTTGTAGAAATGAATGGAAGTAGTGAAATGATAATTGACACAATGACTATCAACAGAAAAAATATAACATTAGCTGATGTTAGTGTGAACACATCCAAATCTCTTAATGCTGAGGATGAAGTTGATAAACCTGCAGAAATCAAAATAAACAGTATAGAACCACCACAGAAAACCTCTGAAAAAACCATAGAACACACTATAGAAAGAGTTCTTGAGAAGACTATAGAAAAATCGCCAGAAAGGAAAATTGTGAAAGCACAGCAACAACCTAGTGATAGTGAATTAGTGCTTGAAAATGTAACTGTTGAAATCCAACACAACATAACTCCAAAGAAATCGAGCTTAAAACTAGATTTGAAGAAGGGTACTAGTCAGTTATCAACATCTTTGCTCAATATATCAAGTCAAATCAAATCAGTGACAACACATAAGAGAGTAGTTAGTACAACAGGTCCGAGAAAATCACAACCACCTATAGCATCAAGTCCACAAATCAAAGATTGTACAAAGGCTTCTACATCTCAACAGTGTACACCAAAATCTACTAAATGTTCCCGTCCATTAATAAATACTAAATCACCAAATGTGTTGATTTATTCGGATAGTGTAGCCGCTAGAGATAATTTGGAGGCATCCCTTAGGAAAGTTTTGGATTGTGACAGGTTCGTAAACTTAGAAATAATTTAATATATATAAAGCAACATATTTATATATAAATAATTGATATTTGTTATGAAATTTACCAAAAATTTTGCCAAAGTTATTACATTATTATTCATTTCTCTTGCACCTCAACTTGCGATTTTTTTTTAGAATTAAGGATAGCACTGTCCTTCATATTTTGGAATTATTTTTTAATGGATAATTACGGAATGTTATGGAGCACTAGTTATAAGTATTATTATTACACAGGTCTTAATAGCTTGGATCTCGGTCCCGGTATCGACTTGGGCGTCAAGGTTAACGCCTTCTTAGAGTGGTTACCTAAATTAACTTATTTTTAGTAACGGTTACGGTGCTACGGTAACCGTTTACCACAATGTGGATATACTTTGCCACCATCGTGGTATAATAAAAGTAACCCTCCAAGGCCGTAGTATAGCGAGGCGGGATGTGTGCAGGTACACCGTGTACGCGGTGTCCCGCGCGGCGCTGGAGGCGGGCGCGTGGCGCGGGCGGGCGGCGCTGGTGGCGGCCGCGGGGTGCGTGGGTCGCGCCGGCCCCCTGCTGCTCGCGCACCTGCTCGACGGCGGCCGCCTGCTCGCGCTCTGCTCAGACCTACTGCACGCAGTGCTGCCCTATTACAAGACAGCAGAGGTACACGACCGCCGCTACTATATTCATATATTTTACGAAGATTTTGTATGTTGTATTTTTTTTTAAAGTTTGACGGCCTCGATGGTCTAGCGGTTTAGCACTCCGCTTTACATCCAATGGTCACGGGTTCGTTCCTCGCACGATGCAAACGTTTGTATTCATGAGTATGATTGTTTGTATCGGTCTGGGTGTTTTCTTCGTATGTTATCTATGTATTTAAAAAAAATGTTTTTATTGAAATGAGTTTTCTAGTACCCATAAAACAAGCTCTGATGACCGAGACAGTTGATGGTGCAGTGTGAACAGGGTCCAGGTTAGTTATTATTATTTATTAATAATGGTATGCCATTATTATTAATAAATGCAAATGACTTAACGATTACCACTTACTTTATTGTTAGTAGTAACTGTCGCCTATACATACGTACATGACGTCATGACGTAACAACCGTGGTACCTGAAAATCCAATACCATAAATGGTATTGAATTTTAAGATGAGCGAGATTAAGCTTCAGCCTAATCTCCCACTTTAACTGAAACATGCGTAATGATTTCTCGCCTTTTGTCCCATGTTTTATACTTAATACATTGAAAAAAAGGAAAACAATTGAAATTCTAAAATAGTTTATTGTCTAATACATACATGTAGTATTTTTTTTTTATTTTAGGTTCGTGAGAATGAAATTGTGCAGTTTTCGTACGACAAGTGGAAGTCTGTGAAGATGAAACATCACATATTTTGTTACCAAGCATCACCAGCTAAAAAACAATTTTCAACTGAAAGTGACAGACAGTAAGTACCTTTTTGTTTGTACGTACATAATAACTAAACTAACCATGTTATTGTAGGCTTTATAATATAATGTAACTAATAATGCAACGAAGTTTAAATTTTCAGAGCAAGTCAGGATAATAATATTTGCTGGTATGCAAAATCTTAATACTATATCAATAATAAATTTATTAAAGTTTTCTATGTTGCATTTTGATTTATCATAATGCTTAAAATAATTGTTTATGCTAATATTATAGTACACGCGCGATTTTGTTCAGTAGAAACAATATTTTGAAAATAATTCTGATCTTATCAATAAAAACAAGTCAACAAAGTCACAATTTTGCGCGTGAACATTTTATTATACTTACAAATATGTTTTGCAACATCTACAATTAAACCCCTCATTCCTGCATGTTGCAAAATAGATGCATCATTTAATTTGTAATAATATATTAATTTCTGAAAATTTAAATAATTAGAAATGTTAATGTTTATTTTTTTATTTTACTATTTTTGTATACTACATCCGTGGTACAGATTCGTCCTACATTATCAAGAAATAGTGACGCCGTAAGAATGCAATGTCTTCCTATTTACCTACTGATTATCCTCAGGAATTCAGAATGTCGTTAAAGCGTAACAAAGCACAAATTGCTAGAAATCTAGTTGCTTGTGCTGGTGTAGTTCCTAATGTTGGTCCAAGTTTCACAATGATTGCCTATTCAGTGTTTGATTTTTTAGTTTCTGTCGCTATGAACACGCTTTTAGTTTTGCATGTGTATACATACTATATAACATAATTGTAAAAAGAAAACATTATTTAATTATTATAAATATTAACTCATATTTGTATATCAATAGTTTTTATAATCCTTTAGTATTAAAACAGAAGGCATCGTTAATAGAACTTGACTGTTTTTGTTTTTTTTATTTATTTGTATTTTGTTTTTACGCTTTAGGCCGTCCAAGTATACAGGACATCCAGGACATGAGCTCGACATCCAGGTACTTGCGTCCGAGGAGACATGGCGAACACCATCGCTGTTACAGGCCACCGACCTCACGAACAACGGAATTGCTATTTTTTCACAGGTGACATTTTACGTGAAATTTAATATATCAGTATATATATATATATATATATATACCTCTTTGGGCACTTTGTTGATCACGCCACAACCTACACACTTGCTGATTCCACCTTTTGCACTGAATAACTTGACTCCTATCGCGTATATCTCAGGCGGTATGGCAACGTCGCATTCTATTTTATTCATATATATTCGTCGATAGTACGATATACTCGACACTTTTTTTACTAATAATTCGTGACTGAATCCGAACGGCTAAATTTTTGGTATACACAAAGACTTTTTGGCTCTGAATATATTCCAAAAATCAATTAATTATGTTGATCACTTTATATACTCGTCCTTACTGCGATCAAATATTTCAGAGATTAGCCGGAACAAACAGGTTCCGGCTAATCTCTGAAATAGCTGGACCGATTTTGACGGGACTTTTTTTGGCAAGTAGCTAATGTAATAAGGAGTAACTTACGCTACTGTTATTTTAGAAAAATAAAATAAAATTTCACGCGGACAAAGTCGCTGGGGCCAGCTAATCTATAGACCGAGATGATTAAGTTACTATTATGTTGTTGACAAAATTTTACTGTAATGTTACTATTACATTATCCTACACAATTTGTATTATTTTGGATGAATAAATAAATAAATAAATCATATTAGGCATACGACTAGCCTTATGACTGTTACTTTTTTTAAATCTATACATATAAATTAAATTGGAGTGTCTGTTTGTAATATTGAAATAACCGATTTTTACTACATGCATATGAATATATATAAGGTACATATACCAAATTAACAATTTTTATAATTTTTGTCTGTCTGTCTGTCGGTCTGTTTGTTCCGGCTAATATCTGAAATGGCTGGACCGATTTTGACGGTACTTTTTTTGGCAGGTAGCTGATTTATAAGGAGTAACTTAGCCTACTTTTATTTTAGAAAAATAAAGTTAAATTCCACGCGGACGAAGTCGCGGGAACAGCTTGTTTTTAATAAAAACGGTTTATTCGATAGAAAAAACATCTTTTTTGTGGTACTTGAGAATGTTGAAGCCTGTTGTTCTTAATATTGAAATAATAGTTTTTGTCTACGAGCATATGAATATAAATACGGTACATATACTAAAATTTATTTTTATACAATTTTTGTCTGTCTGTCTGTCTGTTTGTTCCGGCTAATCTCTGAAATGGCTGGACCGATTTTGACGGGACTTTTTTTGGCAGGTAGCTGATGTAATAAGGAGTAACTTAGGCTACTTTTATTTTAGAAAAATAAAGTTAAAAACACGAGGACGAAGTCGCGGGAACAGCTAGTGTATAATATATTAGAGATACCTACGTGTTTTTTTTATTGATAGTAGCTGTACACGGGATTTAGTTCGTGTGGAATTTAACTTTATTTTTCTAAAATATAAGAAGTTACATTCCACGCGAACGAAGTCGCGTGTACAGCTAGTTGTCGGTAGTCTAGCGATTTAGCTAGCACACCGCTTTGATTCCTGCTTGGTGGTCGAGGGTTCGATTCCTCGCACGCTGCAAACATTTGTATTCATGAGTATGATTGTTTGTAACGGTCTGGGTGTTGTCTATGTATAGATAATATGTATTTACGAAAAAAATCTTTGTATTTGTATCAGTTGTCTGGTACCCATAACACAATGTTCAGCTAGCTTAACTTGGGTCTAGATGAAGCTGTGTGAATTGTGCTGAGATTACTATTATTACTATAATAAATCTTTTCAAATCAGCCGATGTTTATTTTTGCCATAATACGTGCTGTTACCATGTGATAATATTACGTACTTACTGTTTGATAATGTGATAATATTACGTACTTATTACTGTTTTAAATGTGATGCGTTCATTATTTATATTTCCTTTGAATTAAAGACAAGTGTATATATATATATATACGCGCACTTTTTTGCACATTTATGTTGATCCAGCCACGACCCGTAGATACATTTGCTGACTCCACTGTCTCTCTCTTTCTACCACTATAACGGTATCGTGGCGGAACGGCAACATGTTGCCGTTCCGCGTTCCCGCGTGTTCCCTAGATAAAGTATTCGTCGATAGTACCTGTACTCGATATATATGTTTTCAACAATTTCCTGCATTAGTGATCCGTATCAGCAAAATTTTTTAAATGCACAAAAACTTTTTGGCTCTGAATATATTTAAAAAATCATTTACTTGTGTGTTGATGAATTTATATTGATTCGAATAGGTAGCGATATTATGAATTTATTATACGTAATCTAAAGATTTTGACGAAATAAGAGTAATTAGTTATCTGTTAACCTTGACTTCATACTGGCACCAGTATTATCAGATGATGAACATACTCTTCGAAAACTTACAGCAGAAATATCGTGTTTGGACTCATTAGATTGGTCTCGATGAATAGAGTTTAAAAAACTTAAAATAAATGGTAAATTAGAAATAACGTATAAAAACACTACGCAAAATTCAACCACTTTAAAACTTAATAATAATAATTAGGAAAAGATCAAAGCTATAAGTGCACTGAAAGTAATTGATTTCCAACAATAAGTACTAAACAACTCTGTTTGTTCAGTAAAAGTGTAAATACACTGGTAACCTTTAATCATATTTTATATGCAAACATTACATATACAAACCCTAAAGTTTTATTTCAGAATAGCCAGTAGTTTTGAAGAAATAAGTCTTTGAAATTGTACGTGTAACTTATATATATACTAGTTTTTTCACCATAACAAACAACACCAATATGGCCTAGTTAGTAGTGTACCTGTGTACCAATTTACCACACAGATACTCTGAGTTCCAATCCTACACTTTTTTTTTATTATTTATTTTTTTGTTTTTTTTTTAATTTAATATTTTAATAATTAATTTAATTTATACGATTATTAATTTGTAATAAAAACGTAGTTAAGTATTAAATTAATTTGACTAGTTAGGAGTGTACCTGTGTACCAACTTACCACACAGACACCCCGGGTTCGATTCCCACCATTGACTATTGTTATTTACTTCTTTTTGTTTTTTTTTAATTTAATATTTTAATAATTAAATTAATTTATACGAGAAAAACGTAGTTAAGTATTAAATTAATTTTACTAGTTAGGAGTGTACCTGTGTACCAACTTACTACACAGACATCCCGGGTTCGATTCCCACCATTGACTATTGTTATTTACTTCTTTTTGTTTATTTTTAATTTAATATTTTAATAATTAAATTAATTTATACGAGAAAAACGTAGTTAAGTATTAAATTAATTTTACTAGTTAGGAGTGTACCTGTGTACCAACTTACCACACAGACACCCCGGGTTCGATTCCCACCATTGACTTTTTTTTGTTTTTTTTTTAAAGTAATATTTAAAAATAACTATTTTAATAATTAAATGAATTTAATCGATAAAAATAAGTTGTTAAATATTAAATAAATTTTAAGTGACATTAACTATTATAGCATGCACAAACAATATTTTGTAATAATAAAGAAAATACATTTGAAATGTTGTTGTGTTAATTATTTATAAGATCTTACTATAATTGTTAGCTGCTTTACAATTTAGAAAGTATAATAGTTAATGTAAATTAAAATTTATTTAATACTTGACAACTTTTTGTTCGATTAAATTCATTTAATTATTAAAATAGTTAATTTAAAATATAAAATAAAGTCAAAACAAAAAAAAATAATAAAAAAAATTCTATGGCGGGAATCGAACCTTGAGCGTCCGTTTGGTAAGTTGATTTGAAATTCAAAGGCTTATTTCTTCGAAATTACTGGCCATTTTGAAATAATACTTAGGGTTCGCATACCCTTATCGGATACTACACGGAGTTTCGTCAAAATAAAATATCTAGGTTAGGTATAATAAATTCATAATTAATAGACCATTACGGTATCTGTATATATTCGGATCAAAACAAGTACTATGAAATAAGAACGAGTATATAAATTGATTAACAAAAGTAATTGATTTTTGAAATATATTCAGAGCCAAAAAGTCTTCTTTCTTTATTTATGTACTTGTTAGATGCGACAGCGACTTTGTTTTATACTATACTATACTATGTAATGATTGATATACCTAAAATAAATAAAATATCTGAGGTTTGGACAAAAACTCAAAAAGTAATTTTTTTTTGTAAAGGTATTTTGAAAATACTTATTTTGCTTTTAGTGTTATAGTACTTTAATACCACTGCACCAACACTCCGATCGTGCAAAAAATTTAGCTGTTTCATTATTTTTTAGTTCAATTAGTAGTCTATTAAATCCTAATGGGGAGGAGAGTTATGACCCCCCATGACTCCCAAGACCTCCATGACGCTACCCCCTGGATCCGCCGTTACGTCTTCTCTTCATTCGCTCAGTAACGTTGTTACAAAAGAAAAGATTCCCGTCCAAAAAATAACAAGTATTGAGGTTTGATCTGGAGTCACGTTACTCCAGACTGATTTCTATAAATATTTAGATTAGATAGACTATTATTCTTGAAATACTAGCTAGACATTATTAAGTTATGGTAGCCATAATGTAGTAGCCCAAACGTGCCAATGAGGAAGCCCTTGGCAAATGCTGCACCCTGATTGGCCCGTTTGAATTGGATCAAGAAGTGGTCGTATGCCAAAAAGGTGGATTTGTATAAAATCGTGTATAAATCGCTTAATTATTATTATTACTCGTCGTGACAGTTGTGGCTCAAAACGGAGCAACATTTACATATGGTCATCTGGCATTAGATCAACAAAAGGCCTCCGGATCAACAAGTGAAAAAGGATCAACAAAAAACTACCTATACGGCACGTCTGAGCCACAAAGTGCCCAAGGGGATATTTATATATATATATATATATATATATATATATATATATATATATATATATCAGTTTGATACCCTAAGTACAGCTCTAACAGAACATGTATTAGCTACAAAATATAGAGATCACAAAATAGCAATAGTCCTCATAAATATCCAGTAATATATTATAAATGATAAAATTATCAATTTTTAGATTCATCTAGAAGCCGATCCAAGTGACTATCTAGGTGAAGAGGGTATTAAAAGCAATGAGGCGCGATTGGAAATTATTCACAAGATCTTGGGTGACATTCTTGGACTTCATGTTGTGAATCCTCGGGAGATCGCTCCGGTCGAATATACAAAGGGTTTTTTTCTTGGCAACCATGTGGTAAGTTATATATATAAGAATATAATTATATTATTTTCGCATCTCCATTACAGTAGTGATTGCTGAACATTGATTTTTATATTTCAATATTTGTGTAAAATTTCTCTATACAATATTTTAAATAATTCTACAAAAGTTCTGTATTGTACGAATGTTTGTGTTTATTGTAAATGTAAAATGTATGTCATTTTCGATATTATCGAAATTTGCTTCCCAAATTCCGCCTAAAAGAACCGTAGCTTCCAGGTATCTTCACTGACTCAACAAAGATGCCCATTGATACGTAACGAGTACAGATATTACAGGATTACTACTTACTATTTCATCAGAATCAAACTACTTCGACAAACAGGGCTAATGCACTATTAAAAAACAAATAGGATGCAATCTATATAATGGAATTGCTATAATTAAGAAAATTTTGGAATCTAAAAGAGACAAAATTTTATGCAAATGTTTTATTACAATGTTGGTATTACTTTTTGAAATATAAAAATCATTGTAAATACGATAACTATTAGGTACTAAATTATAGGATTTCTGTGATATGAAATATGCATATTTAGAAGTACGACTTATTGAATTGGCAAATGAAAGAGACATACTAATAGTCTGACCAGGCATTATTGTTACTTACTACAATACAAACCTTATATTAGAGAATATATTCCTTAATATATGGTGAAAATCAATCGACTATTTTTATTTTATGAAATAGAATTGTTTACGTGCCTTTGGTCAGACTATGAATTGATAATGTAGCCGAGCTTCTTAGAAACGCCGTCATTTGGTTTCACCATTTGTATCGATATTTTGTTAAAATTCATATATCATATTTCACATTCTAAAATAATAGCACTATGTATTCTCTAGACACGTTGTTTCTATACACACATACACATTAATTTAGTTCAATAGAACGCAACTACACATCATGTAATTAATACATACAATTTATGCTTTAATATTCATTAAACAGTTTATTATAACAGGAATTATGTAAGAATAAAACAATGAAAAAAATACGTCATAAGAAATAATTGTAAGAAAATATGAATAAAGTTTTTACTTGGACTAGTAAACTAATTATACACATACATTACATACATATATTTATAATATTTTTTTATTGAACATTTTTAACCAAATAGGTGATGTTAAAAATATATATTTAACGAAACAATGAAACGTAATAAGTTAAGGTTTATCTCTATGTTTACAGGATAAGTGATAAATCCTTACTCTGTTATTATTTAATGGAACAGAACACATAGTGCTGTGTCATTTTAAATTCATCCATATTGTATAGTACTATGAGTCACGTATAGGATATTGTCCGCTAGGCGGCGTGGCCGTCGTCGGCGGTCGCGGGCCCTGGCCACGTGACGGTGTGATCCTCGGTGAGACGCACCTGGCTTCATGCTATTAACGTTTTTCTCGTATATTCTACTTACCTACTTCAGTTTATGCCGGCCTAGTATTTCAATAATGAGCCGTTTCAATATTCTTAATTCTTATTCTCAATATTCTAAATATATGAATAATATGTTCCTTTATTTACTAGAACATAATATGATTTTACACATTTACACAGGTGAATGTGTAAAATCATTTGTTGTAATTTTAATAACTACTCATTATTGAAATGGTGTTTGGTGTTCTAACACTTTCTGTATTATTGCTATAATGTATATAACAATGCAGTTTTAGTACGTACTTTGGATCCTCTATTACTTTATGCTGCACTGTTTAACATATTTTTTGCGTATTTCTTTATATAATGCTTTGGTATTTGCTTACTTTCTGATGTATTCTAGTCCTAGCCTATACATAAGCAAGCTATACTTATCTATGCCAGATATACTCTCTACTCTACACAATGACTAGTAGGCGTTCCTATAGTGAGATTTCGTTTTTGTCTATATATAACTATCGTTTATCTGAGTAACTAATATTTGCTACCTTGTTTCACAGTAGTATGACTAATCCTACTAGTAGTTTTGCGACTAATTGCCCCTCATTTAAATTATATTTATTAAATTAAGATTTTACTTATTGAAATCTAGTGTTTTGTACATTAATAAAAAAGTCTATTCTGTACTAAGTGTAACATTATAAACAGGTTTTGTTTAGGCGAAAAAAATAACAAAGTGCAATATTTTTTCTAACACTTTAGAACGATAATTTTTATGTACACATTTCTTAAATATTTATTGTTCCCTAAACTTTTCTTTTAAGAAAAAGTTATAAACTTGCTAAAACTTCTTAAATTTGGTTTTATAAATATTTACATATATCATATATTATTATTTTCTATTATTTCGTTGGTAGTATTTATATCTATTATTAACTATTTAAACCAACTATCAAATAAAAAACAACGCTTATTCTGTTAATATCTGTGCCTTTTTTAATTTAAGTAAAAAGGGTAATTGATGATGCATTGCCAACGAATGTACTGTTTAGATATTGTGTATTAGTAATATAGTTATAAAACAACATTGTTCTTAAGACATTAAGGAATGGTTCCAAGTAGATTATTATTTTGCAGCATAAGTTGTCACTTGTAGAGCAGTGGTGTACGCCTACGTCTGAAGGCAAACGCTTGCAGAAACTTGGTGACTTGACTATACAATGGTGTTTGCGAGGCGAGACTCCCGTAGAGGCGCCTTCTGAGAATTTTCTGCCGGTTTACGTGTACGAGTGCCCGGAACACTTCTCTACCGTCGAATATTTTGATGTAAGAAATACTAATGTGTTTATTTGTTGTTGATTGATGAGTTATTTAAAATGTATGTGAATGTGATGAGAATTAAATAATATACTAAACCTAATATTATACCTTGAGACAGGATTTTGTAATTATAAATGTGATGGTGATGATTTAAGGATTGATGTTTGTTACTGAGTGAAAGACTCAAAAACTACTGAACAATGATGCAAGTGGTACATACTTGTATAGTATAGTGTTTATTATCTGAATTCATCCAGAAACTTCCGCGGGATATAATTTTTTTTAACGGTTTACGCTGACGGAATACCAGTTGAATATGATGGGATGAATATTAAATCGGATCAGTTAACGGATGATGGCGAAATTTTTAAGAATTAACGACGTCGGTTTCCAGAGCAGGACGCATAGGGACATGTAGGTTTACCTGTAAAGTTCCCATTCCTAACAATGCGTGGCACGCGGTGAGCTACAGTGAACGTGGTGTCGCAGAACCTGACGTCGTCGCACATGGGGCGGCTGGTGGTGTACTCGGACGTGGTGGGGAGCACGACGCGCGTGGTGGGCGGCGCCGCGCTGGCGCCGGGCGTGGCGGCGGTGGCCCGGCGCCAGGCCGCCGCGCAGGGCCGCGTGCAGAACAAGTGGCTCTCGCCGCCCGGGCAGGCCGCCATCTCGCTGCAGGTGCCCTACTCTGTTTATATTATAATTTGCCATATAGACCGTTATCTCGCTGCAGGTGCTTTATCTACTTATATTATAACTAGCTGTCTCGGCAAACTATGTTTTCGTCCGCAGTCATTGCCCAGGCGGCGACTCGATAGGTTGTCCTAATTTATGCAATACAACAAAAACAGCCTTTCATTCCACACCGTCCGTCCGTCTGACCAGGGATCCCTATCAAAAATAGTCCTATCGTCTACAAACATTTTATCACAGCCGTGTATAATATTGACAGGTGTGGCAGAAGATGTCCCCGTCGCTGCCGCTGCTGCAGCACGCTGCCGCAATGGCCGCAGTTCGCGCGATTCGCTCTCGACCAGCTTACGAGCACCTCAACATTAGGTGATACAAAGAATAGTAATCATGAATACAAATGTTGCAACGTACTAGGAATTGAACCCGTGACCATCGGAAATTATGCGGTGTACCGCTATACCAGCATGGTGTAAAATAATTATGTTAAGGATATAACTGACTTATAAATGTATATTTATTTTATTTTTAATTGATACGTATACTTAAATAGGATAAAATGGCCGAACGACGTATATTACGGGCGCGAAGTTAAAATCGGAGGAACAATCACCACGGCCAATTGTATTGGAGACGATGTTATTGTCAATATAGGTATGTATCATTTGTTTTTTGCAGAATTAGAATTACATTGAATTACTTTTAACATTAACCAACAATATCATTCAATCGAAATAGAAATTCTTATGGTATAACAATAACACATTTTTTTTATATAGGTATAAATATGTTATGGGATATCTGTTACGAAACTATATGTATCTCAAAAATATTGAATTGTTTAATAGAATTAATTTTCACATTAGTACCATATAAATAATGATTTTGTGTAATATATGTGTTTATATATGTTACTATATTAAATAATTTATTTTTCATATACAGGAACCGGCGTCAATATCTCTAACAGCGTGCCAACAACGTGCTTGAACGACATAATCTCGGAGTACAACAAGCGGCATGACGCCTCACTCGCTCCGTTCACAGTGGAGAGTTTCCTCGCCCGGTACTGCTCTCAACTGGAGATCATACTAGAGGAGATGGCCAGTCCCCGTGGAATCAAGGCCTTCATCGAACAGTACTACCAGTATTGGCTACACACGTAAGTTACATCCAGAAAACGAAAGTTCAGGTTTTTTAAGGGATGATAATGGAATGGTGCACTTTCTTGCGCTAACGGTATACGTTGGCGGGGTACCAGTGGAGGATGATAAGATGAGTGATTAAGATGACTGTGGTAAGAGAGGTCAGTTCAGTTAGCCCATCGTGACAAATTCACCAGGAATTTGTCCTGATTTCCAGGGCGAACCGTATGGAGGTCAACCAGATAGCAACGTACCCTACATTGCTAGCAGCATTGCTATCACCCTATATCATCATAGACCCCATCGTCATCAGTCCAATTTGTTAACAATTCCCTTTCCGCCCGCATTATTAATATTAGCTTGGCTTATTAACAGTGGTGAAGAGATCCGCCTGCAGAGAGAAGGCACATCGACGCCAGTGACAGGCTGCATCTCAGGCGTGGACGAGGCCGGCTGGCTATTAGTTAACACGCCCACCGGCGAACTGCGGGTCGCGCCCGATGGCAACACATTCGACATCATGAGCGGACTCATCGCACCCAAGTTGTAATGGATTTGATTGTCACTAGGTAATAATTTAGATTCTGTTCCATTACAATATCGTTTTTGCAAACGAAAACAATGAATATCATGCTCTATATTGATTTGAAAGGTTCAAAACCGGCAATTTGGAGATACAAAGCAGTAGTTACGCAATACATTCTTACTCTCTCACATTGACTGTTGATAATGTAACATTATTTTGCACAACTTTGACGGATTTTTTTGCAATGTGTTGTAGATTATAAATATTTAAAAAAAACTGTAAATACCAGGTTCTGTGTTGCATGCCAAGTGGAGTGAAACTTAAAAAATAGAACTACTCTAACATATTTCTCTAAAATGAAATATTTTTACCCCAGGTGAAATATTCCAACCTGGTTTGTGGTATAAGGTTATTTAAAACTATCACAGAAAGGCGATTTATAAGTTATTCTGGATCTCATATGATAATATGAAGTAAGTAGAGTTCCGACATATTTGTTAACTTTATATACTGGAGATAAATGGGAATAATTTTCCACAATAATAAATAATACCGATTTTATTAAGTGGTAGTGTGCTGTGCAATATGTTCTAGAGTATTAACTCTTCAACATGTAGTCATAATAGTGTTATTAGAGTGATATACACTTTAAAATTTCGTTGTGATACTTATATATATACATATTTAATTTTTAATTTATTTTACATTCACATTATATGTAGAAACTATTTTAATTATATCATTATAAATACATTGTATGTATATCTGTGATTTCAAAGTAATGTCACGGCAAATCCCTGGCATTAGCAGAAGATTTTATTTATATTAAAAGAATTAAATTATTTTTGTTACGAGTAATAGCCGTTACAATTGTAGTAAGTTTGAAACGGATTTTAGAAAATAAAGTAGTTTAAGCATAAATCCTATGAATACTGGCGATGTTGCGGTGGAACTATAGCCAAATAATAATTGTATTATCGTTATCATATAATTATTTTGTTAACTCACTGTTATAGATACCGAGAACAAAATACTTCCTGTTTACTTAAAAAAACGAACTGACTGTATAATTCGTTGCAATAACCATTATTTTATAGGTAAAACTTTGTTCTTTAGGAAGTTTTTTATTGACGAATGTATCTACATAGTCTATATATATTATATACGTTCTCAATCACTGTGCCATTTTTAAACGAAATATTCTTAACTTAATTATGAATATTCTTTATGTAACATTTAAAACTTGAACACCAAATCTCAATTAACGTAGTAGTTGTTTAATATATCGTAGAGTTTATGCATATAGTATTTTTTTTACAAATATTTGTTGTCTGCTAGATAAATAAGACGACTCATTGATTGATTTCATATAATTTTCATATTATTTGAACTACGCGAAGTTAGGATAAGAGTGAAACAAACATTTGAAATGTCTATTCTAAAAAGATAGATCTTTTATCTAGTCTTTTCTAGATATTTCATTGCTTAGTTATTATTTTTACTTTCACAGCATTATATTATAGAAGTGTCAAAGTGTATTGAAATATACTAAATGTCGTGCATTCACTATTAAGAAAATTTAATATTAAGTTATCTTATTATATTCATATTTGAAAATATTAATCAACTCTCAAAACTTGCTAAAGTTATTGGTAAATTAAGGATTTTATTTTACTAGACACATTTTCATAATATTAATACAAATCATTATCTATTGCTAAAACAAAATTATATAGACTGGGCAATAATATTATTGATGACTAATGGAATTGGCATTACATATTGGATATTATAATATATAATAACTACTAACACTTAATTATTCAGCGATAGTATGAATATAGATGGATATATAATATGGATTTTTTAGAAATCACACAAATGACTTCTAAAAAATCCATACTAAAGTATGGATTTCAAATGTATTAATTTTAAACTTAATTTTTTTTTTAATTAATATAATCCGTATAAGTAATTTGATCATATATGGCGTTTTTTGAAAAGTTATGACTATGTACGTCCATCGTTGAATAAACTTATTTTAATTATTTACAGATTCAATAAACGTATAACGCGCGATTATAAACTTTTATAAGTAATTTGCAATAATAAAATCTTTATAAAAATCATACATGAAACGCCTACTGCGTTTTGTCTAAATGAATAATGATTTAAATTATTCTGATATGTGTTAAAATTTCATAAACATATATCAAACGGTTATTTACGATGTCCAAAAAATCGTCATTTTTATCACTGACCGACTGACTATGTACGTCCATCGTTGAATAAACTTATTTTAATTATTTACAAATTCAATAAACAGATTATCAAACCGCGCGATTATCAAACAATTTTTTTTAATTGACGTTTTAGCTGAAAACGTCGAAGATTGACATTGTGGCGAAAAATTTCATCTTGTACACTTGATCATTACCAATTTAATATATTATAGATTCAAATATTGCATTGATGCTATAATTTAGATTCTGTCTAAAATATATACTTAAGTATTCGAATTTCGTATTTATTATGTTATTCGTGTATTAATTATTATTTCAATATTTCCATCGATAGTGTAAAATCATTATTTTTATAAATAATTATTAAATGTAATAATTGAATGTTCAACCGAGCTAATTGTAATGTTTTGTTTCTGATCTAACCTGCGATTTATTCAATCTGTTATATTATTATTACATTATTTTAACGTATGGTATAGACAATAGTTTAAACCAAAAATTAATAAAAATTTTAGTATAGTTATAAGTAGGAATGTATAGTTTCGAGAATGAGAACTCATTGGTAACAAATTGTTTTCTTGAGAATTCAATAGATAACAGTCAATTTGTTACATAATCGTCTTTACGAACTATAACGTGTCAATACGAAGTTTCAGATATTAAATGATGTATATGTTGATAGAGAACATATAATGCTATTACTATCCACAAATCACAAGGCCTTAGTTTTGGCAGTCCTCTTCTCAACATGCCCTATATTTAATAAAGGGCAGGTTTATAATAATACAAGTAAAATAATGCTTAATATCTTAAGCCGATATTATATTACAGCGGACCTAATAGACCGCAAAATTTAATGGCGCAGGAAACATATATAAGGGTGAGAATAAAATGAAATAAGCATTACATAATTAGTAATAAAAATATTAAAAACATGATCGTAGTACACTAATTAAAAAGAACGAAGCTTTACAAAAGTAAAGCGAATAACCAGGGTGGTTCTTAGTGAAGGTTGTACGTAGATGTTATAAACTATATCATGTAGATTACTCAGCGACGACACTGCCAGTGCTCTTATATCGAATATCGTTAGATTCAACGTTAAATATCTGTCCGGGTATATCGACATGTTATATAAAAATTAGAGGCTTTGAGGTATTTTAAACTCAAAGGTTAGAGGTAGTTTTAACTAATATTACCCCGTTATATGACGTGGTAACAGATTAGCATACTAGGGATAGGGATTTCATGTTTCAGTAATATTGTCTATAATGTCAATTGTGTTATAAAAGCGATTCATTAAACATCTTAAATGTTCTTATTAGTATTTTATACTACCTCTGTTTTCAAAATAAGATTGCTGATAGTCTGTCGGTCGTTAGGTTGTCAGAATGCAAGTAAAGTTCAAATAGAATGACATTAGGGCATATTCGGAGATAAGTCGCTACTCTTGCCGCACATTTCTGGTAAGATGCCGGTGTTGTTTTAATACATCAAAACAACACAGGCACATGGTGCAACACCCAGTGATAGAAACAAATAATTAAAGATTTAAAAATATTAATTTAATGTAAACTAGATTGCTCTCTTAAAACTTAAGTACAATTGTCTAGCATATATATATAAAACTAACACTGGCATATACTTATAGGTTAACCTGAATTCTGTTCCTATTTTTTTTTTTACTTACTTTATTACATGTAGTATATAAGTTTATTTTAGTTTATACAAATCAACATTATTATGTATCTATCAACAAGTAATGAAATATTGACAACAAATACTACTATAAAATAAAACATGACATTCCTAAAATCGATTAGCTTTTAAGTATATGGGTAGGAGTGAATTATGTTCCCTGCAATTCTGTAATGGTTCAGGAGAAATAAGTGCAGTAGGTAAAATTATATTATATAATTTTAGATGTTTATGATAACATGTTGTTAGGCGACCCACACACGCCATTATGATCAGAGACAATAACGTAGCAACGTGGGAGTCGCCGAGCCGATTTTGGATCGTCGGCCACAGAAGAAATCGGCCCAGATTTCGCTACACGCGAGGCAATCTAGAAAGCACTGCAGATGGTTTTTTTCGGAGAAATCTAATGCTACTAAAATACTAATGGCCGCAAATGGTCTTTACAGTTTCACCGTAGTATAGGCAGCGAGTGCAGATGTCATTCCAAACCCTGGGGTAGACTATTAATGAAGCGGTTGAAGGCCAACTCTTGTCTGACGAATATGACTTTAGTCAGAGGGCACCGATAGGGGTTCGAGCCTTAGGCCGTCGTAATTTGGATACCCGTTTGAATTGGACGGGGGATCGATCGAAAGGGCAATGCATGGCGCTCCCTATCATTGCTCATATTGCCTCTGATTTTAGTATCGTGTGTAGGCTGTTTTAGTATTGACACATTACATAATAATGTTGGCCTCATTAATAGAAATAAAATGTACCTACTTGTGTAGTGAGTGAATAATGCAATTTAATAGTTATCACGTTTAGCAATTATGCGTAATACTAATAAACGTAAGTGATGTTATTAAAATATACGCGAATGTTATCATAAAATTTGCTTCTTTTCATTGTTTATGTACTCGTTTATATTCTTGATATTTATTGTATAAGAAAAATGTGCCTAAAATGTGTTGATGCACTTTAATACATTTAATTGTAATGTTAATAATTTCATTAATTATTTTAAGTAGGATATTATAATATTTATATTGAACATTAAATTATTATAAATCATAATATTCTACTCAGATATAATTATTGAAATATAGTAAATTTTACAATTTATTCTAGACAGTTCTTATCGTTACGTCGAATATTAAAATTTAATAAGTAAATGTTTGGTGAAGGAATTGTGGTAATGGTGGAGAGAAGTAGGTGGTGGAGGATAGGGGGGGGGGGGGGGGGTAAAAAGATTGTTTTCGTATTATTCGCAAGGATTATTGTCTCGCTGTTGTCGTGTGAAGTTTTGTTATTTCATAATGGAGTCTAAAATGTTATACATACTCTTGTTACATTGCTCTTGTTGTATCTATGTCGTCTAATAAATCACAATAACATGACGTATTCTGTTTTTATTTACTTGTTATTTTATCTTTCTACTGAGGTATATTTTGTACAAGTTGTATGCGTTTATACCTGTCTTAAATATTTCAACAGACAAGCAGCTTTAAAGTTTCATTTCGGTTGAAGGGTTGATGTAACGTGAATATCATGAAAAGTACCACAAACATTGGATATCGGACTTGATGCCGTAACGTTCGTGATGCTGTTCATGTATGTATATAGGCGATGGTTGCCACCTACCTTCTTATGGTCTGTAGACTTTATTACATTTCAATTCACAATATAATATAATAAGTTCATACTCAGCGAAGACTAATTTATTAACAAGAAATTAAGATTTATTTATTAAAACTATCATGCATAACAAAATAACATGTCCTAGTCCTACACAATAAAAGAATGGCGGTATCAATCACTATTTCAACCTCGTCTTCAGTGGGTGGCCAGACGAATAACATTTGTGAAGAGGTAAACTTTGTAAGGTTGTAACAATAGTTTATGTACGAAAAATAAGTTTTATTTATTGTAACTACATAATACGACACGCCAATCAGTCTTAATAATATCTTTTAGTACAGATCAGCATTTTCAAAAACGAACTTATACGCGGGTACTCCGCGTGTACCAGTTTGTTGTAATATAAATATAGCGCCTGATAGCGGTTCCCGGGCCAGTTCGTCAGGTGTAATGTTGCGTCTGGACGTGGTCACGATCAAGTGGTCCAGTTGCGGGCCCGCCCACGTCACCGACGTCGTCCGAGACACCGGCAGTTTGTACTTCTCTACTATAGTCCTTGAGTCTGGGTCGATACGGATAATCTATAATAATAATAATAATAATAACCATGGGTGATACACACAGCGCCATCTAGTCACGAAGTCCTCACTAGTTAGAAATACAAATTAAAAAGTATATGGTGTTCGCCATATTCGAACTTATCTTGAGTCTAATGTAGCTTTCTCCTAAACTTAACCTGCGCTTGTTTGCATGTCAGGGTAGTCAATCATTAGATTATCATATATACATTATGCATATACCTTCACGACTGCTAATGCAACTGGGATAGTCAGAATAATTATCAATTGTTAATGGCCTGGTGAACACAACTTGACATATTCACATTTCGCCTTACAAGTATATTTAATGCTTACCGATCCATCAAACATGAGGGCGACCCACAATAGGCCGTCAGCATCGATCGTCATACCGTCGGGGATGGCTTTATCATATCCATAATCTCTTATGTTTAAGATCGTGCGGCGGTTACCTGTACAATAAGAATACTGTTATAAATTAAGAATCTCCTCTTTTTAAAAGTTCATTAATGTCTTAAAAGATAAACCTAAAAAAGATAAGTTATGGGTAAGTTAGTGATTCTGAACCAGTAACGACAGTGTGTCTGTTATGGTTATTCATTATTTACTTACTTATATGTCCAGTTCTAACTTCAAAGTCAAATGCCTCAATTTTTCTGGTCGTGGAGTCAATGTAATACATAATGGTGTCGTTAAGGGACCAAACCAGTCCGTTGGAGATGCTGACCGGCTTTAATTTCACTCTGGCGGAGTACCACGGACCTTCTAAGCTGTACAAAGCCGCTTCGTCATGAGCTACTTTATCACCCCGTTGCGGTCCTTTGGTACCTATGAAATCAAGCAATAAATGTATTAAAGTTGACGCACGCAGTAATACATGAAGACTATTTTATTGTTTTTATCTTCGTTCACGGTTCTTTATAATGGTACTATATAAAAACGGGATATGTAACCTGATAATATTATGTATATGTATATACGCTCGGATTTCATCAGATTCCATGTTGTTACATAAGAAGTCAAAATAATTTTATCCTCAAACAGGACACTTTCGGCCCCTAATTCATGTTATAATTTTTTATCACTGTTTCTACCGTCCATTTCAGTTATTTTACCTATACTAGGGTGCTTGTCCTGGGCATTGTTACAATTTGTACATTAGATTTTATTATTTATTTCAACTTCTAGGTAGAGCGAGCACGATAAATCTATGTAGGTCGCAGTGCAACAGGTCCAATCACCTAATATCAAAAATATATAAAAAAAAGTCTGACCGCCCCAAAACCTTCCCATAGGATCCGCTTTCCCCTCGTTGACGACATTGTCCGGTTTGCCTTGGTCCAGGGCCGCGAGTAGTCTGATCGCAGCATCACCGCTTTTACTCCAATCTAACAGATACAGTTCCGCCCGGACGCCGACTAAAAGCCGATTACTATTCATTACTGGCACCACCACATTTACTTCACCATAACCTGTTGAATAATGAATGTCTTCGTCATAATCCAAACTAATATAAATACCAAAAGTTTGTCTATCTGTTCATTACTTTTTTACGACTAAACAACTAAACTATTATTAGAATTAAGCTTCTGATAATATTGCATGTTAATTAGGCTTCTAGTATACAATTAAATAAAATTGTAGTCTGTAATTTGAAATTAACAGATTTTCATTAAATTTATATGAAAGTATATACAGTATATACATATAAAATAGTTTAAGTTTGTCTATCTGTTTGTTAGTTGTTACTATTCTATGAAACAGGTGCACCAGTTTTGACGGGAATTTCACTCTTATAATGAGTAACCTATTGAAAAGGTTATTCCACGGATTACTATGCGGCTAACAGTTAGTTAGAAATACAACTGGATATTATTGTATTTTTACCAATATGTTTGTAGTTGTGACGCCATGTAAAATAGTCCAATTCGTGCACATTTTGATTGAGCACGTCCACCCAGTAGAGTTTGTTTGTCTCCGAGTCCCACACGGGACTTTCAGCGTGTGTGAACGTTAGGTTGGTATATGCAAACACGTTGTAGCTGATATCCTTAAACTGTTTCTGCACAGAAACAAAGAACAGGTTTAAAAATGCAGATATATGTAGCATTTAGTAATACAAATTGAATCACTAATTCTTACATTTGAATTGTATAATAAGCATAAAACTTGTTAACCGGTGTCGGATCCCCCAAGATCGGACCTAGTTTGGGTACTACTGATAAGAGAAATGAAACTCTATAGTAAATAAATGATAATGTATAAGAAAATATGTGGGTGATAGATACAGGTATACCTAGGGGGCATAAATACGTAATTTTTACCGCCACCGCCCCTTTCACAAGTGACGTCATTTAATGATGGCCCCTAGCTAAACCCACAACTTCGTATCGGTGTATTGTGCCATTCGAAATAACAAAAGTTGTCTTACCTAGAGGGTCTATACCCTCTGGAATAAAAACAGACACTTTGAAGTGACAAAGTGATCTGAAGTGATACAGATAATTTAAAGTATAGGTCATCACAACACATCAGTTAAATTCGCACCGAAATCGCTAAAGATGTTTCCATCATTAAGGCACACAGATAAGTAAAAATAAAAAAAAAATAAAGCCATAATAGGTCTGGGTTCTATACGTTAACCAAAACTTTTTTCTCATGTTTCTGCAATCAGTTACATATTTATTACATGTAGGATACATTAAATGACCATAAACACCTCAGCTCTATTGAATCCTATTTATTAATATTTATATTTAATAGTAGTTACTGGTACTTACTTTACATATACCACATTTGATATAAAATGCTGATATTATTAATATAGCGATTGTTCGATGAAACATTACCATTTCACAAGTTGGTGACGCATCGAAACCTTAGCATCAAAATGAGGATTCGTATATTTGCTGAAACCTGTAAGTTTATGTTGTTTATAACGTGGCATGTAGGTGTAATTAGTCTTAATTAGTAACTGTGGAAAGGTGAGACTAATTTTGATTTAGACCACGACGATACAGCAGTCTACACACGACACTAAAATCAGTGCCAATATTGAAGCAGTGGAGGAAAGGGGGATTGTCAGTAATGTGGATTCTTAACCACATTGCTAATAACGTGTCATGTCCTGTTCACTGCCACGCGGTTCCCACGAAACCATCGTAATAAATTCCTGGTAAATTTACAATGATGGTCTAACTGACCTGATCTTATGCTCATCTTATCATCCTTCATTGGTGGTACGTACGCCAGTGTAAATTAGCGTACGCCGTTAGTGCATGCGGGGACACCATTCTAGGTAAGGCCAAAATAGTCTCGGTGGGCACACTGTGGAGTACACAGTGTACCCACCGAGACATGTGTCGTGTGTAGCGAAATAATCTTATTTCGCTACACACGAGACCATCTAAATGACCCAAGACACTCCCTACTACTCCCACATTTCCTCTATTTATTGTAGTGTGTAGGCCGTTCACGTTAGCATTTTAATCGTTAATTAGAGAGGTAGAGACCACAATTACTTACCCATCGCTTGAAAAAATACTAATGTTCTATAGAATTAATACAATATAGCTATTTATTTCTTACATAACGCCTAACTTGTTATTATAATCAACATTAGTATCTATAGTTATACATACCGCAAAGAATTATAGTAAAATTTATTATACTATCTTTTAAAGAAACTTGTACCTATATAATCTTTTTAAAATACACAAGTAGTATAGTCTATAGTATAATATAGTCATAAAAAGAAAACAGTGTTATTTAATTAATGAATTATATATTATTAACTTTTTACCTTTGCTAGAGAAAACGCAACAGCGTCGCGTGTTCAATACCCTTAGAAAAATAGCACTGGGTGGTTGTAATTTTCACTAGTTCACTTGTGATATTATAAATAAGTAGTAAGTAGTATGAATAAATAGTAATTACATTAATATTTATCACTACGTGAATATAATATATCTTATACATCACGTTGTGATTACTATTACGCGTTTTGTGTTGCATTGCAAAACGTGCCGTGATTTTAGGTCATTTTATTCTAATACTTTAATTATTTAAGACGATTACGAGAAACAGATATAAGTACAGTTATTATGTCAATAAAATATAAGCAGTATTAAATAATGAAATCGATATATTGTTTAGCTACCCGCCCGGTTTCGCATGGGTGAAACCGTACTCTTGAATCACTATCAATTGCTAAATACATAGTAGTTTAAAAGATCTTAGCGAAGAGACAGTGGCACGATCGACGTCGACTCTTTGTCAATTTTTATTCCGAAAAACTTATTTTGAAAAGGTTTTTTTTAATGTAAGGTAATTTTTTATATTATTAATGAAAGTTGATACAGCGAGCAACGAATTTCCGGTTAGTCTCAAGCATTGAAAGACCACGCTAAACCACTGTTACCTGCTACTTATTTTATTCATTGTAATTATATTTAGGTATTTGATATCTAAATACAAAATCCTTAAATTAATAATATGGTCTTTGGAATTAACAAATTAGGACAATACACAATTATATTATAAATAATTGTGATATTAAAAAAAATAAACAACTGTAGATAATGTTAAAATGATATATTAATACGTATTTGCATTATCAAAACGGAAGTAGTTAGGTGGAACGCCACGTCTGCCTGTCCCTCTGATTGTAAATATGGCTCCCTGTAATGGCTCTGCATTTAATTCTACTTTGTCTTGACCTGTTGTGATGAAGAGCTCATCTAAATTGGGCCCGCCCCAAGCGACAGAAGTTACTCTTGAGGTTGGTAATTTGTAGCTGTAGATTATTTCCTTGGTATCTGGGTCTACATGTAGTACCTATAAGAAAGCATTATACTATTTATTCACATAAATTGATCCTAGTTTACTCTGTGAAGGTAGGATAAACAAATTAAAGTTTTTAAAATATAGTGCACACGCCAGCATTAGGCCCAACAAGCTTTAGTTTACTTTCTCGAAAAGATCTAAATACTCTGTTGTGATCAAACACTACAAATGATATGTATACGAGACAAGTTATGAAAGTAGATAGTTCTGGCAAACTATTCGCATTCTTTTTATTTAAAATTTTTGTAAGTTGTAGTTAGAAGCTAAGACTAATAAACAATTTAATCTAAAACAATAAAATTTAACTTTGTTTATATGAGATCTCTATTATTTGAAAATTGGCTTACTTACTATGTATCAGTATCCTAGTTAATCCAAGGTCTATTGTAACTGTCACTTTCAGCATAGGGTATTTCTAAATCTGTATCATCTGAAGTAACAATATACGTTACTTTTTTCTTTTATTTTTTCCTTAGATAGCGTTAATTTTGAAAAATCCTCTCTTATTTAAAGGCAAAGGGTCACTAATAGATTCCACAATAGAAGTTATATTGTACCATATTTTATCCGGTTTATCCGGCCACCGAAAAGAATTTCCCATTGACAATATCATGGTGCTAATTTCATATTGATTTGCATCAATAGCTTCTATTTTACCAGGGAAGTATTCTTCTTCGTATTTTACTATAACGAACTGTCCAGTTTTAAAGACAGGCTTAGATGATACTTTTAGGTGACTAATAGGTTTATTGTCGGATTCTGTATCACTTTCAATAGAACTCGGCATGGAACCTATACGGATTTCTTTTGTTATTCTTCCTCTTTGTGTCGATCTACAGCTTTTGCGTCGTCTAAACTGGTTAAGTATAGCTCTTTCTTCATTTTCTTCTGCACTATCATTATCTTGTAGTTACCTTTGAGTTCTCTATAGTGGCGTGTCATGCTGGGACATTTTATACTTCTATGGTTCCATCTCATAAATATACTTAAATAATAGAATTTAATTACAAATGCAGGAGGTTAAGGATCCAGTCTTTCACGGAACCAAATTTAAATAATGCTGAATTAAAAAAAAAGAAATGGGCTAATATCTTACTGTGCCACCAAACATAAGCGCCACCCATAAGTGACCTTGGTCATCGATGGTCATACCATCCGGTATTGCGTCTTCATATCCATAGTCCGATATATCTATAATCGTTCGTCGTCCACCTACCGAGTAGTGAAACATTATTCTTTTATTAGATTATTCTTTTATTGTTAAAAATTATTATTAAATTATTAAAGTATTATTAAGGCCGATATTTTATTATATAGTGTAACGTAGCAATCTTCTCCCTGTCTGACTGCTTAGCTTGCCCCATCTGCTCAGGTGTAATCTTTTTTGGCGCCATCTACGAAATCCAGTGGTACCAATTATGACACAAAATAAAAATCACGATTGTTTTTTTATTAAATTATTAAAGTATTATTAATTATGATGAAACTTTTTTTTAGGTTCGGATTATTATTATATAGTTCGGAATATGTACGAGAATATGAATAATAAATTAATAAATAATTTATTTTTCAACAAAATTTGTTCTCCAGATCAAATAAAGTAACCTTTTACTTTTTAATTTCGCCAATTGTTTTGTCTACGTAATATTTATAATTTTCGTTATTAAAAACATGTAACAATAGATAGAAATAGAAATAAATACATACTTATATCTCCTTGCTGAACGTCGAAGTCAAACGCCTCCACTTTCATAGTGGGCGAGTATAATAAATTAATAAATAATTTATTTTTCAACAAAATTCTCCAGATCAAATAAAGTAACCTTTTACTTTATAATTTCGCCAATTGTTTTCGATACTTATATCTCCTTGCTGAACGTCGAAGTCAAACGCCTCCACTTTCATAGTGAGCGAGTCGATGTAGTACATCACTGAGTTATTGAGCGCCCAAACTAATCCATTGGATATTGAAACCGGCCGAAGCTGAACTACTGGATTTCTAAAATTGTTCTGGTCAATGCTATATAGTGTAGCTTTATCAGAAAGTACGTCATCGTGTGTTTGGTAGCCTTTTGTACCTACAAAAATATTTTCTTTATAAGTAGGTATATACAAAACACCGAACTCGCCGCCATGCCAGCACAGCCCAATCCACACAGTCATGATAAATCATGCGGCCGCCACGAGGCTCCCGGGCGGTCCACATCAGTACCACCGGTCGTCCTCCGATCGGAAGGGATTATACGGAAAATATTGCGTTCATACCCATAATTGTCAAGGTCTCTACCCCATCTGGAGATGCAGTCGTGTTTTTATTTCATGTTAATATAATACTTAATATACATAATATAATACTTTCTCGAGGGTGACGATGAAGCGTGTCCCCGGCAAGATTCAGTTCAGTTTGTGATCTGAATATATTCAATCTTGAAACGTACCGACCCAAAATCTTCCCTCAACGTCGGATTTCCCTTCATTTATGACGTTATCTGGTAGTCCCTGATCCAGGGTGGTGATAAGTCGGATTGCTTCGTCGCCTGTTACTTCCCAGTCAAGTAGGTACAAAGCGGACCTCACCGCCACTAGTAGTCGCCGAGAGCCTGACACCAGTGACACTACGTTGACTGGACCATATCCTAAGAACATCAGAATATATTAGGAGTAATTTTATGATAATATATAGAGTAAAATATAATATGTAGAGTATTTTATATAAATGGTGAAAAGGAAACATACAGATAAACATATTTTCATTATTAAAATTGGTATGGATTGAAATACCGGCAACGTATGACAAGAAATTGATACGTCAAAGGAACAACACGAAGAATATATTTAGACTATGGCCTTCCATAGAGTTGACTTAATGGTGGTTACATTTGAAATGGTTGAATGAATTTGGATGATGCCATTAAAGAAAAAAACGCTCTTGTACTGAACTTCGCTTTTGAACTTCGAACGAGCTAACATGTGGCAGACGATAGTTATTTTAACACTAACCTATGTGTTTAGTGTAAATTTTGCCGGAAACATAATCAAGCCGGTGCACGTTCTGATTAGGCACGTCCACGAAATACAGGCTTTGCGAGAGCGGGTCCCATACCGGACTCTCTGCATGATTGTACAATGCTGGCTTTTCAGGATTGTCGTTTGAAGATACCTGTCAATATAGTACACGTTATATGTGGTAGCAGTATACAAGTACATAGGTATGTAGATTTTACTATTTAATTGTAAAATATTTCGAATTTTTGTTTTAATTGCATATAGCAGAATAATCAGTATGAAATAAATTTAAAACAGAGATTTTGTAGATAAAATCTGCGTAGGCGTATCTATCTCATCTAATTCCAACAACTCAAGTGTTTACAAATGTCAACGCATGAGATTCAACTGTTGTAGCGAAATTTAATGATGCCCGTAATTCTGTTCATGTATATAAAGAACTTTTACTATTTTTATATGGTGTGCCGTCGGCTTGATAGACATTCCAAATAAATATGTATTAAATTCATATTTAATTGGAGTTTGCTGCGTTACCCGCGACTTTGTACCCGTGGAAATTAACTTTTTTTAATAAAATAATAATTTCTACAATAAAAGTAGCATACTTTACTCCTTTCAACATTAAATATCTAAAAGTGTAAGTCACATCAAAATAAGTCCTGCTGTTTCAGTGATTAATAAGAACAGATATAAAGACAAAATTGTCTTTATTCATTATTTGATGAAAGTACCGTATATACTTTCATATGCATTAGGTACCTAAGTGAAAAGCTGTTAATTTTAAATTACAAATAAGTACTTTAATCGTATATAGGTATCTATACAGATGCTATTGTATTCCCAGATAACTTACCATTGATATTTTGTAATATTTTTTCGAATCATCGGTTTTAACATCACTAATCTGACTGAAGGTGAATAATAAAAATAATAAGTTTAACATTATTTTGTATCGCTAAGTGAGACATACGCCTAATGTCTACAACGTACATATATGTCTATTTCGTACTCCGACATTGGAGCGTAGTTTGCCGACAATATTAATGGATAACTAAAATCGTTACCATTCCAACAATGTTCCAATAATCAAATAGTACAATAAAAAATAAAGTAGCTAATAGCAAATAAAAAACGAAAAAGAATGATAACACCTGAATAATAGCTGATAAAGACATTGGTACGTAATAAAAGTGTATTTCAAAGAACACGCTCTTTTTTTAATAATGCCCATTTACCTTGTACGACAACGTTAAAACATGAAATTATAAATTCACTAATTGTGCCCGCGGTTTCACCCGCATTAAAATTCAATGTATAAATTTAAATATAAAATATAGCATATGCACCAAAATCCTTTCATTAGTTTTTGCGTGAAAGAGCAAGACAACAAACATCCATACTCACAAACTTTCACGTTCATAATATTAAGTTATAAACAACGAGTTGGTAATTTATATAAGTTACGAGATTCTTTATTTCATGCTTTGACGGAATAATTTAGGGAAGGCATTAAAATTTCATGTATACGCTTTCTACAGTAAATTTAAAAATGTAAGTAAACTAAACTAATAATACACCAGTGTGTATATTTTGTGTATACAAAAAAATATAAAGTGCCCACATCCACTCCACTTTTACAACGGTAAATGTATAAACACTAATTTAGCGTTAATTTGGGAACAAATACAAAAAGTTTATACATATGTAAGTTTATCATGCATGAAGTTTTACTATTGTTATATCTGAATAGGTAATGCTAATGTCATTGTTATTTTATATTATGTATACAGTCAACTTAATATAATACATATTTAACGATTTAAGGGTGATAAAATTATATTACTAACGTTAATTACATAAAATGTACCAATTTGGTATAAAACGTTTTTATGCGATTTATATTTGCGAAAAGACATACAAAAAATAGTCATAAATAAAACAGTGGTAGTATTTTATACATTTATTTCATAACTTGTCATTATGTGTAATTTATCTCCTATAAATATAATCATACAATAACTGCTAAGTACTTAAAACTATTAGAAATTATATACTTCGTTACACACACTACATTCAACAATCAGACAGATCTATTGAAATTATAAGGAATTATTTCAATATACAATCGAGTAAATTTTTAACGTTCACACATCCTCAAAAATTTATTAAACATAATAGCTTAGTTTAAATATTCCAGCCGGTTTTAAAAAAATCTATTTAGATTCGGAAATGCTTTATTTTGAAGAAGATTTTTGTCCTGATTTCGGAAATCTATATGTTAGTAAAACACATGTTGATGTCGATCGTGAGGAAAAATAATTAAAACCGCCCAGCAATTCTAAACCTAATATCTAGTTTAGATGGTAGTTGTCAACTGTTTACAACTCCTGGAATCGCCTAAGCGCAACAACCAGCGACGCACTGCGGGCACTCACGCCGTCGCCCCCGCTCGTGGCACAGGCCGTCTGAGTCGCCAGTTCGACGCGGTCGTTTTATGCGTGCTGTGGTTGCGGCTGAGGAACCTCAGTAGGAGGTTGTTCTGTGGCGGCGGGCGCGGGTCCCGCTACCGCTGCCGCGGCCGGCACTGGTGTCGCTCCGCTTTCCGCTTGCAGCCTAACACAGACACCATACATACATATTTTTTTTTTTTTTTTTCTTTTTGTTGATCCTTACCACTCAGTTAAAATTATATGAAATTATACTCTGAACTATTTACATTATTTTTATTATAATAATAATATTGCTCCTTTTTATTTTTTATTTATTTTAATTATTATTTTCACGTACCCTCAAATGGGTTAGCTGAAAATCAGTGTTTTGTTTGAACAATGTTCCACGCTGAGCTTCGACCTTTTTGTATTGCTACAGATCACACATAAAACACAATTTTATAAATCTTATGTTGTATTATGTATTTTTATATTCTTATGAACATGTTATGTGTGTGACTAGTAACAAACAAATAAACGATATATCTATCTATCTATCTATCTATCTATATTTTATTTATATAAATAAAAATATGAGATTTTACTTAATTTACTTTTCAAATTACATAAAACATTACTCTTCTCTCCTATTTTGACAAGCTAGCAGCATATAACTTTACCTCTGATGGGCCTGATGCCTCGCTCTAAACTCTGCTGCCTTTAACTGCTCAAGATGGAACTGTTGACGTTCTTGAATCAGCTGTTGACGTTGGTATTCCAAACCTGGGGACATGTTAGTAGTTCTTTGTACTTCCAATTGATATAAGGTGACTAACCTAGTATTACAAAATATACTTTATACTGCTAACAACATTGCCCATAGACACATAAATTATTACAATACATTAAATACAGTACATAAATTCAGAAACGATCGCTACTATATTTCTTTTCGTCCTCAGGTTAATGTGAAAAAAACATAAAGTACAGTGTTCTTCAGAACACCCCACATAATTTTTATTTTTCTAATCTGGCCCAACAAATGCGTAACTTAGATCTCAGTTTGAGAACAATTCTTTGCCACGAAACACTTCATATATAAGTGGCCGAAAATTCAATCATTTTGACTTCACTTAAACAATTAAACATATGTTCATAAGCACATTACCTTCTCTCTCCCGCTCCATGGTGGCCTCGAGCTCGTCGAAGTGTCGCAGTTTGATCTCCAACTTCTTCATCTGTGTCTCAACAAGCAGCGCGACCAACGACTTAATCTTCCGTTCCTCCACGCCAGCGAGATGTTTAGCCTTGACAGCAGCCGCAGCGAGTGCTGCTGCCGCCGCCGATTGCAGTTTAGCGTCAACTGTTGCCGGTCCCTCTGTTAACATAGAAATGTTTAAGAAACACAGTTTTTTGCAGTTAAGCGTCGGGTTATTTTTAAATTTATACATATGTACCTGGTTGTGGCGAGGGTGGATCTTTGCTACTGCTATCCTTGCTATCTTCGGCGGCCGCCGCTTCGCTTGGCTCATCTTTAATTTTTTGTTCGCCTCCTTCTTCTACTTCCATAGGTTCAGCTTTCACATCAGATGAACTTTCTTTTTTCTCTGCTGTTAAATTGAATACAAATTTAACATGAATACTTCAGCCTTATTGTTCTAGCGTTCAAATACAATAAGCATTGTAAAAATTTTCGATGTATGTTGCGTCCAAAAAAACTATTATATTTTACATTTATTGATATAAAAAAAATTTAAAAAGATATGTATGTCCAGGCTTTTCTAATGTTGCTACAAATTTTAGTTTCTTGTTCCTTGTTCTTTTTAAATATTGTCGAAAACAGACTAGTCAAGGTAGTGTAAAAACACTATACATGGCAAAAACTACTTCTAATTAGGTGATGGTACGCTGGAGTATCATATTTACTTGAAATTACCATTAGAATATCTAGCCATAACAATCGAAGTGCGACCTTGTTTTATACTATGTTAAAATTATCATATCTTTACATAGAATAACAAAGTGACCCTAAAGCTTTCCTACTTTTTAGCACTCAGTAACTAAATATTTATTACTATATATATATTACTTGCAAATATCGTTTATAATTAGTCCAAAATAAGTTATATATAGAAATAGCATGTAAGGATACCGTTGGGATCTGGCTCGGGCGCAGTGCCGGCGATGCCTGTGGCTGCGAGCGCGGCGGCGGGCCCGTGAGCTCCGGCCGCCTTCACGTGCACCTCCATCATCGCCGCCGGCACCTCGTCCTGCACAACAACATACGTCCTCTTCACACATCTCACACCTCATAAACACACGCATTCATTAAAAACAGAAACATTTTATGAAGGTAGTTTCTCCCTGTGACTTCGTCAGTGAGTATGATTGACAGGCAAGAAATGCCTTGTTCTTCAGCTCAAATTGTTGTGACGCATATCAATCGCTGTATATGTAATTTTATGAAAAACTGAAACATTTTATGATGGTGTTTCTCCCCTCGACTTCGTCAGAGTGACTATGATTGACGGGGAAAAAATACCGTTCTTTAGCTCAAATGCTATGATTTTTTATAGCTTGCCATCAGTTCCCCAAGCCCGTAGTAGATTTATTATGGGAAAAAGTTATGATTGGTTTACCCGGTCAAACCGTCACAAACAATTAGAAACATTCACAATTATGATATTATGCTGTTTCAATAGGACTTACAGGAAATGTAAATAAACATTTAATATCAAAAATTATTACATAAGCACATACTAAATGGAAATAGTAAATTATTTTATTGAATATTTGAGAGTTTCAAATCACCGCTTTTTGAGACAGTACTCACATTCTAAATTGTATAACATTTATGTTAGTCAAACCTTAATAGCAGCGAACTCGTCCATGGCTGCTCTGGTAGCTTTAGAAGCAATGCGTGGATCGACGACCGACGCGAGGAACGCTACTGTACTCATAACAGGATTTCCTTGTTTGCTGAATGGTATCGGCTGGTATGCCAGTGGACCCAGAACTCCGCCTGTATAATACCAGAGATACATCCTCAACAATTGCAATATTCAATCTTTGGCTAAATTTTGTTACATTAAAATGTAACAAAATACATTTATTTTAAAAAGTTTATAATAAAATCTAATTTTACATTATATTATTAAAACTAGAAGCCCATTAACTTACACACATATAAACAACTTGGCGGAAAAAACTAGCAAAAAAGCAATACTGTACTGTGTAGACAGTAGTCGATGGACTTTAGGAGGTTGATGTAAAAGCCTCTGAGTTGATATTCATATATTTACATATAAATATATCTTATATATTTAACAGGCACTTCTTACTGTTGTTGACATGGACAGTAACGTGCACAGTGTGAAACCACTACGCTCTCCATAATGTCGACCATAAACAGCAGAGGGGCTAGTGTAGAGTGTGGATCGGGGAGGTACAGACCGGCGGCGGAGTCGTGCAGGTAGGGCTCCTCGATGGGCAGCCGCAGGAAGTGCAGGATGCACTCGTCGTGTGTGCGCGTGCCCACGTGCGCGGCCACGCGGTTCCAGTCGTCGCGGTGCAGCTCCAGCGCCTCCAGCAGCAGCAGCGTCTCCTGCTCCGTCCACTCGCGCCCGCGGGCGCCGCCGCGGTACTGTGTATACCATACATTATATTATTATGTACTCAACATTGTATGAATGTAAGATTCCTGTGCCTAAACGAAATCGTTATCAACGGTTAAATAACCGTTTGAAGTGAAAACGGTAAATAATAGCTCCTCACGTTCAGCCTTATAAGAAGACATAAAAAGGTTTATATCAATGATTATATTTCTGTACAAATAGTTACATAATTTTACAGTGAGAACATTCATTTTGTACTACTATTTTTAGGGCGTATCTAATGTATGCGGACAAAAAATATTTTCCGATCCGTATTTATCTATGTACTTTGCACTGAAACAGAGATACAAAATCAGATCGCAAGTTTTTTTAAACTTTACTTTTTGTATGGAATACAGACCAGTACTATCTCAACTTTTCTTCTCGAGTAGGATGCACAGTTATATAGTATCGTAGTTGATATACCTGGTCGAGCTTGAGTCCCGGCGCGGTGCCGAGCTCGAGGGCGGGCTCGGGCTTGACGGCGGCGGCGGCGGCGGCGGCGGCGGCGGCGGCGGGCGGCGCCCCCGGGCCGGCCGCGAGCGCGGCGGGGCCCGCAGCGCCCGCGGCGCCCGCGTCCGTCCCGTTGGGGAGCCCCGCCTCCACCTTCGGTACGGCCGCGTTCTCCGCTGAAACGGACGTTACGCATAATATTGCCCTTCTCTTAAAATACTTATCCCGGAACATGTGCTTACGACACATGTAATGCGATTTCACGATTAACACGTAATACATTAATTACTTTTTGCATACAATATGGTGTAAATAACGCACATTTTTTTTAATGCTAATAAAAAATATATATATTGCATAACTAATATGTAGTTACTTTTGTCAACGAATTTAACGACAGGATGACATAGGATAACAAAAAAAACTCAACCTACCCCTGAGTAGATTGTTCAGTACATTTTTTAAATGGTTGCACTTACTATATATTCAATCACCGAACTGAGTTTAGCTCCCTGAGCTAGAATAGTATTCAATACAACAGTATTATATACCTTAGTACTGTCATATTGTTTGATATTTCTGCAATAATATGGAAGGTATATACTCACCGGGGCGTCGTGCGACAAGCGGCTGTAGACCGGACGGCGTGTCGGACAACACGTGGAAGTGTGACGTAGGCGGCGGTCCCATTGCGGTCGGTCGGGACTCTGCCTCTAACTGTTCGTACACAATAGAAATGTTTCATTTATACAAAGCAAAAAGCAAGTCAAGAAAAATAAGGCACATTTTGATAAGTGAATGCTAACATTTCTCGAAATTAGAATCTCTGACTTAATTTTATTACAAAAATACGTAAACAGAATAAAATTAATATGCCGTTATTTACTGGGAAAGATATATTTGAATAATTTGTATTTACTTTTTTTATTACTATGTCTTCATAGTAATAAAAAAACTAAGTACTAGTAATAAAAGAACTCTTTGTTAATATATAATAACTGGAAACAATTTTATTAAAACATTAGTTTCTCATTTCCCCAATAATTAAATACACAGTAGTCTATAGAATCAACAATTAGAGTTAGAACAACCTATCAGTAAATAAAATATCTCATTGTATTTATTACCATTTAACCACAGGTGCGAGTTGCAAAACATAACCCCTTTTCGTCCCGTGAAGCTGTAAAGGCCAGATACGGCTAATAGCTTTAGAATAGTACAATAAGAAAACCTGCATTTAACAATATCATTCACTCATATGTACATATATTATCAAAAGAGATTCACTTTTTTATTCACGTATAGAGAGTAGACCTACACATAGTTACACCTGCAAGCGAATGGATGAGTACGTGTATAAGTGGATGGTAGGACCTGGTAGTTGACGAGTCCCCACTGCTCGAGGAAGCCGTGTACACGCATGATGGCGCACACGTCGCCGGCCAGATTCCGACGACAAGCAGTACTTGTCAGATATTCCGTCGGATTCAGTCGATATGTGTCGATCATAAAGTTCCTGTAAATTCACAACATTAATATCATCTTCATCAGTGCCTTATGTCATCTTCTTCAATTTATCCCAATTGGCCGTATTTTCTGTGTTTACTCTCCTTTTATGCAAATATTTTACTCAGACTTTCCATATTTTTTTTACATCCATGCAGCAATATGCCACAGATTTAATCGATACACCATATTTAAATCGTACAAAATCTATTCAAGAATGTATATATTTGATCTAATCATTTTCAATTGTCATTAATTTTTTACTGTACATTTGGTAGAACTAAAAATTGCAAATGTTCGTCTGTTTAATTTTTTTTAGTAGTTTCAATAGCACTTGAATTATTTATAAGTGTATAACGTTACTAGCAAATTATTATAAACAAAAATACAATCAAGATTTCTAGTCAACAGTACTGTATAACAGGTATGTGTATATACTAACCTGTATGCAAGATATATTTCAGGTGTCTTGGATTTGTTTTTGCCGTTGAAGAATTCTGGCATTGCGCGTTTCTCAATCGTGTGTATAGAGTTGTAGTCGAACCATGCTGAATACGATGGCACTACGATATGATGCGTCTGATCGGTCACATTGTCTTCTAGTTCTTCTTTTATTAGCATTTCCTTTATAGACAGTTTTGAAAATAAATAAATTATATAATAAGAAATTAACTTTAGTTAAAATAAATTACTATATAAAAGTGCTTACATACATGTATCAAGTTTATTTGAATAAAGATAATTTCCATTTTGCGTAATTAGTATGACCTAAAGTTTATTGCATTAATTGAATAAATTAATTACTAACAGTAGTAATTATCGTTTATTTTGTACCAAATGAAAGTTGCAATATTTTCGTCAATTGAGATAAAAATACTATAAATTAATCTAGGATTAGACCATTCGTATATAAAACTTCACCCTAATAATCTTATGTCTGATCTATATAACGACCACGAGCGTCTGTCAAGAAGGTATGGTATGTAATGAGTAGAAGCACCTGCGTGTTGGAGTCGGAGTGCTTGCCCTGCGAGTCGTCGTGCGCGTCGTGGGCGTCGGGGGGCGGCGCGGGCGTGGCGGGCGCGTCGCCGGCCTGCGACGCCGCCGCCGCCGCCGCCGCCGCCGCCGCCGCCGTCGCCGCCTCGGACGCGGGGGCCGGGGTCGCCGCTGCGGCTGTGTACACATTATTCTCTTCCTTAGTAATCTCAGTAGCCAATATCGCTTACAGCACTTTAATGTTGTCGAATAACGGATTCTAAGTTGTACTGTATTGTAAGTTGGACTCTATTCACGGAACGACCCCACCGTTCCGAGGATATGTATGCGTCGTGTGGTCACTAGTAAATACTGCAATTATAGAGCATAAGCCCTGGCTTAACTGTATAATTATGCATATATATTTGTTTTGTTGATTCTGTTTTTCTTTTGAACTTAATGATATAATTTATTAGTAACATCTAAAGAAAAACTGCGAAAAATGTAGTGACCATCATTAAAAGGACAAACGTGATTGACAAACATTGCGTGCATGGTTTGAAAAGGTGTGACAATCTCTATGTATATATTTACATTTATTTGTAATTTTTGATTTTATAGTACTTAATAACCCTTTAAGGAAACTCCAAGTGCCTGAACAAGCTATGATATAATTATTGCAGTGTGCTCAACACTATATAATATGCAGATTATAATTTCTAGTATAGCAACTAATCATAGGAAACACTGATTCCTGCTAGATTATTATCTAAAATATGTCAAGAGATAACTAAAATCAAAAATTATCTTTTTTTTTCAATATATGTATACAGTAAAATGAAATAAAAATAAAGTGTAAATTATTATTAATTTTAAAAGTTCTATTACCGTCTAAGTATTAAAAAAACTTACATTCAGTAGCCCTTTCGCTGTCCGGTGTGGGTGCCGCGTCAGTATTGTCCCTGGATGCATTATCTTCCTCGTCGTCGGCGTCATTGTCGCGACGCTTAGCCGAGCGGCTGATAAACAATAATAATTAAAAAAAAATACAAAGATTATTGAAAAATGCATACCAAGCCAAAGAAACAAAGTGGTAAGAAAGTTTTTAAAACATTAAAATAAACTTCCATTCCTTTCTTTTTAAATTAATCACTTTTATTCTAATTCATTCATTTTTTGTTTTCCACTTTATGGTTTAGTTTAATATTTATCCTACTGGGCTTTTGGTTTGATATATCCTTTGTGTAACAATAAATGATGTTCTCATATATTAGCATATATTCATTATTTTTATTTACTGGGTAGCACCAGTAAATAAATATGTCAAAATAGTATGTACTTTCTTGAATTATTACTTGAATACTACTACTATTTGAATACTATACAAGTAAAAAAAAAATTACCTCTTCCTCTTGCCGTGTTTCTGCGGTGGTGGCGATGGGGACCGCTTCCTTTTGCCTTTCTTACCTTTGTTAGACGGTTCTGCGCCAGGCAACAGATCATCGACCGACAAACGTAGCTTGTGAACCTTGTAACATAAAACATCGTTTATAAATAACTCATCTTTTCAAATATTTCAAACTTTGCAACCAGTAAACAAAAATAATACCAATTTTACTCATTTATTCAAAAAGTTCATACCTTTTTCTTTCCATTCACGTCAACTTCATAGTCCTCCTCGTTCATCCACTCATTGTACTGTGGAAGATCGAGTACCCAAGATGCCGACACGCGCCATGGCTCTGCGCGGTTGCATTCCCAATTAGCTGTCTCCGGAACGTCCACCTACATGATTTTCGCAGATTAAACAACAAGTATATAGGCAAATAAAGAATATGATATGGAGCCTAGAGTTAAGATGAGTATTTATCATATAACATAAGAAAAATTTCGCTATATATAATACATGACTGAAATTATAATATATTACCGGCAAGTCTGCCTGCGACCACGTGTCGTGACTGTCGGGTAAGTAGTACCAGTGCACCAGCACATGGTTGCCACGGCGTATTATTGGCCGCGCGTACTCCTCCTCAAGCGGATCCACTGTCGGGTATATTATGTGCGTCGCCTCTTCTTCGTCCTCTGCATACATAAAATAAGTTCAAAAACTCCGAATACATGAGGACCAGCATGATAAAAGTCACCACAAACAACAAATGGTTGCTATACTAGAGACATAGTAAACTCAATACTTGACATGCTAAACTAATTTTTAGCTTTGTTATCGGTGTTTCATTCATTGGACAGTCAGTTAGAAATGCTAATTAAAAAACAAAGTATTTCCTTGTGACAACCAGAAAAACCTATATTAACTATTGCTCAAAACTATAAATTAATTTAGTACTAACCGCAAATATCACCATGATGTCCCACAATCTCTTTTATCTTATTAGCTGTAGCCTTATCCACGTCCGGTCGTATGTAGACACAAGGCGTGCGGATCACCTCAGCAGTACTAAGCGAGGACTCAATCTCCATCATCATTTGCACATTAAGGTCCTTGCGAGACGGATTCTGGAAATGGTCGTAGGGGGGACGGGACGGGACGAGAGGATTGAATGTTAGTCACACGTAATATTAATCGAATATTTAAATGTATTATTAGGAATTTTATTTACTTTAACTTAATAGCTCCTAAATAGGACGAAACCATCTAGTAATTAAAGACTTTAGTCCTTTGAAACTTCATTTTGTAAATTTATGTTTGTTCAATTTATGTTTTAATTATAATATACGAAACTATCAGCAATGAGTTCAAGACTATATTGATAAGAATATTTTTTTATGTGCCTTACAATAATTTCCAAAAATATATTGAAACCGGTGGAAGTCAAAGTTCAAGTCTCAATGTTTCAAATTCAAGTTTTTGCCTTTTAACATTAGTTGCTATAATGACCAGATTCTGGTCAAGTAGTTAAATTAGTGGAGTTGTGGAATAAAAAGTTAACATTAGTCTTAACAAATTATTTGTAAAGACATTGTGAAGTAAACAATCATGGTCTACACACATAACTTGTGAGAACACGATGACATTCTTAATATGTTAACAAAAATAGTATATGGTACATTGAGGAAATATCAGATCAAATAATGTTATACATTTTACTATAGTTTCAACTATACTTGTAAAAAAACTTGAACAATCTATTTATCCATTTACAAATGAACAGACAACAAAAACTGGCAATACTTGCCACTGTATTATTCATACACATGTATATTAAACATATTTCACACCCTTATAAAATCTTATTACAATTTCAGTAGTTTATCATTATTAAAGATAAAAAGGTAAAAAAGAAATGTAATAATAAAAGAATGCATGCAAACATAAATAAAAGTATTAGTCACATAAGGTCATTGATTAATTAAAAAACACACAATGCAACTTGAAGTGTCCCAGACAATTATTATTTACACATAACATAACCATTTGAACTCCCAAAACAAACACATAGGGGGAATATATGGATTGCATGAAATGAAAATAATGATGGGGAAAACTTGGAATTCCTTTTAAGCATACAATTCCTTGATAGACACCATAATAAAGAAATAGTATTTAATACTTAAGAACTCGTTACTGAGTTTCCAGAGCAAATAAGATAAGTTGTACTCATTAAGAATAAAAGAATGCATAAAATAATTTTTGTGACAATTACAGATTCAATTAGTAGAGGAAAAAAAATTATATGAGTATATTAAGTATGTATGAAAGTTATCACATTATGCAAGTGCAGCAAACCTGCATACTACATTGCCATAATATATAAGAAACTAGAGGAATAACAAAAACATACTAATTTTGTTAAGTTATTTATAATTTAAAAAAATCAGTACATCAGAATAAGACAATAAAACTGGGTTGTTTTGTAAGAAAAAATATGAACTTCTCCAATATCTGAAGCACTTGAAAATGATTTTAAAAAAAAAAGCCTTTAGAACATACTTAGGAGTATTTATATTTATTTTATATTATTCCAAAATTTATGCATGGGTCCTTAAGTATCAAATAAAAATTGTAAAGTAATAGTAAATTTTAAAGTAAGTAATTGTTACAGATCACTTCTGAATATTAAAGTGCACATATAGAATAAAATAAAAAAATCAAAAGGTATTGAATTAAGAAATGTGAATAAGAAACTAGTGCTATTCACACAAAAATTTAAATATATATTTACATAACCTTGTGACATATGTTTTAAACAAAACTGTGTAGATATCTCAACATTTAATTTAAATTGTATAGTTAATCATGTCATATAGTGTAGTGTGCATTATTAATTATTAATATCATACCCTTAAAACATTGTGCCATTGGAAAACATACATGAATGCAACATAATCTTTCTTCTCTCTCTCATCTTTTTAATTTAATTAGCAATTTGTTTAGTATTTTTCAACTAAGATTTTTTTTATTAAAATCCTAATAATAATATGTTTTACAATAGAAAATGTTACAAGCATGTCAAATGATGCATTGTTAGAGCCGCGCGGTGCGGGATCTGGCGAGATCTGGCAGGGTCGGGCGTGAGCGTAGCGGGGTGCGGGGGGGGAGTGCATACCTTACCGACCTGGAAGTCGAACTTGCGCCACCGTTGCTCCGATTTAAAGCGGAACATGGTGGCGAGCACCGTACACAGGGTCCCGCCTGGCTTCATGTCCATGAACACTTTCATCTATAAATATTAAAATTAATCAAATACATTATTCATGCTATTATTATAAACTCGTAAATGTGTCCTGTCTATTTGCCTGTTTGTTGCCTTTCATGTGTAAATAACTGAACAAATCATGAAGAAATTTTATGTGAAGATAGATAATATTGTATAGATAGACAACCTATTTTTTATCTCAAAAAAGGTGACAAAGTCAATAGAGCAACCAGTTTTCACTATTGTTATTGCAATAAAAAAGCCAGAGCAGATCATCACAGATAACATGAGAGTCACCAAGTAGCAGAGGATATTGCTTTCATAACATTGCAATCTAAACTGTTTGCATCAGTAATGTATTGGCAACACAACAGAATAGGAAAGAAAAGTTTACAATGCGGGTTGGTTAAGTGATGGAGGATTTTGAGATGATATAACAGAAGATGAGTGAGACTGTTAATTATTAAACTGTTAACCGAGTGGGACACATAAATATGTCAAACGTAAATACTTGTGTGTATGTGTGGGACATATGAATAGATAAATTTTTTAAATTTATGTTGCGCCCTGGAACCTGGAAAAGGTGGCATATATAGTTTCGTACCAATTAAAAATATATTATATGAAATTATGTTGTGTGTGACATAGTGAAACATCCTAGCCAGAGTCAGAGCCTGTTATATGCTGCACAATTAAAAAAGTAATTCCCTCGTTAACAAGTTAATATGCAAAAGTAAAGAACAAAACAGAGAAAGAGAAACAGCTAAAATAAGAATGTTCAGCTACTTCCATTAATGTGATGTTTTGTTGATTTTATTCATATCATATACAAGTCATTATGAATATGATATGAATAAAATTTTACATAAAGACAAAAAGTTTTGTAGTACAGCTTTTATAAACAAGTATTTTGTTCATAACAAGTAGATTAATTATATTATTCTACTTACTGGAAGCCGTATGAATGGTGGATCTGATGCATTTTTCCCAAGTTTATTCTCCTGGTACTGTATTAGTTGTATGACAAGTTGGGCCAAGCCCTCTTTTGTTGGTGGATCAGTCTGAACATGCTGTAAGAGAATAATATAACTTGAATTATACTTGTAATATTTTTTGATAATGAGATTATATTAAGTGTTATGTTCACCACAATATCAACATCAAGTTTATAGGAATAGGATATATGTTGCTTTTACTTAACAGTAGGTAACAAAATTAGTACCTTATTATGCATATATTTACAAAATGCTAAAAGGTTACTTAATAAGTTGTTTAATCAGTGTTCATTACATAAAAAAATACATTTTAACAAAGTATGCACATCATATAAATAAGATAATTTGTATTTTAAACTACCTTTTTGCAATTTTTTTGTAGCCAAACACGAATTTGATCGAATTGGGCTAATGATTCCGGCGCCTGGAAATAATCTACATTTGGCCCTCCATCCTTCTTAGGACATATATTACTCATATTGAATAATCACAACTTAATTGAATATCTATAATTTTTCGTCAAATTCAAGATAAAATGACTCAAAACTATTAGACTCAGAAAAAGGAATGTAAAAACACCAAACACCAAACGAAAGCGGCGGCGTCTACTTTTTGACTTGACATTTCAAGTTTTTACTGTCAACTAATGACAACGTGATCTGTCAGTCTGTCAGTTTTATTTTTTTATCGCTGTCACAGCTTCAGATACTATCCGTTTTAAATCAAATATAAAACCCTCTGAGCTAACGATGTATATAGGTAGAACGGCAGGGTAAGAAAATATTATCAGACTGCAGTCATTCTAGTTTAGCCTATTGTAAGGAATTGAAATTAACTACAAAAGTTTCCTCGTGGAGGTCGATATGATCATTACTAGCAATAAGGTGAAGAATCCTTATAATTAACAATTAGGGGTTCGAAAAATTATGCTAGACATTGGGTATGTCAAAAATAAATATATAACAAAACACAAATAGCGCTCACTTTTCGCACGTGTCCCTGCAATGCCAGAGTCACCGCAAGAGCGTGCTTTAAGTGCGCGCTTAGCAGGAAGGACGACCGTCCCAGCTAGGAAAAGGAGGCCTTATTTATTCATCATATGGAAAGACCTTTAAAAGTCGTCCCCTCGTCGGAGACATGACGAGCTTCTGTGTGAGATTTTTACCCACTAAAGACCACACGATGCACTAATGATCGCAATTGCCGAAGTCGCGAGTTCGCGCTAGCACTAGTAGCACCAGTATTCAGCCTTTTTCGGTTTAAAACCAATAGGAATAGCGCTATAACAGAAAATACCTAATCAAATTATTTTAAATAGCTTCTATCGCCATTCCGGCGACGTTGGTCGGCTTAATCCTTATTATATTATCATTCACCAGTCCCCGTCAGACAGTTAATTTGCATCTATCTCACAGAAAAAAATAAATTTTAGGCCACTTTGTATTAAAATTTACATTAATTAAGACTTTTGGCATTGTAATCAATGAAAAGTATCATGTTTTTCTTAAGAATTATTAAACTATACAGGGTCCCATTTTTATATACATTATCTAGTACTCAAACCCCTGGCTGACTACTGGTTTTAACGCTGTTTGTCTAATAGTCGGCCACTTAAATAGTTAGAGTTTGTTACATGGTATGAGTACTGGTGACAGTAGACCCAGAGTTCAACCGTCATATTTAAATTGTTTTTTTATACAGTTTTTTATACAAAAAAAAAAAAAAAGCAGATCTAGATTCTACCAAAAGTAAAGTGAAGGAGACTACAAAGAAGAAAAATTATGATTATGATAAGGAATTGAGCGTAAAATGCACAAAGACAGACTGTGATTTAGTGGAAATCAAAACAAAATAAAATTAAAATTCTCAGTAATATACTTCTATATCCTGAAACTCCTGACACAGAAACCTGTAAGGAAGATAAGCTCCTAAAAAAATTGTTAATCGGCGACTTTTACAAAGAAGAAGAACTTGAAATCTTTTCAAATACTGATGTTACTAAAGAAATTTCCGACTGATTTAAATATAAGTTAGATAGGTATTTGATTGTTGTGATTGTTAGGGCACAGTTAAGTCCTTTTAGGTTCCTTGACCGGACTAATTGTTTATTAATGTTCTTAATCTTTATTGAAACTATGGATCTTAAGAGAGGCTGACCACTGGTGGCATTTGAGCTAGTTTTTGGCGGCTGAGCACTGGTGAAAAGTGCCTTATTTTGTTAAAAAGTATTTTTCACTTTATTAAAGGATATTTGTATTTTTTGTTAATTTTGTAACAAAGTTTAATAAATGAGTAAGTTAAATTATGACTTTCAATTTACTCTTTCTAATATTTTCTTATATAAGTTTGAACCCAGATATATGAAAAACAATAAGTACTTTTATAACTATACAAATACAAATTATATCTATGGATAGGTATTAATATTTCTGATATATTAGCCCATATATGAAAAACAATAGTCAATATTTCTGATATATTAGGTGCATGATTAGAATCACATAAATTTCTGGGTTGATATATTAGTTCGATATATACATATAACCCTTGTTAATAACTCTTTAGTTTATATAAAGAAAATATAAATTTGAAAATTGTACATTTCTTGTCATCGTTAGAACAATAGAAAATAAAGATTGTAAATTTAGACTATATCGTGAAATATAACTGTGAATGTAACATATTTTACTTTCCTCTTTTATTGATGCCCTATCTACGAACCTAATTATAATTCAATATCTATTATTATATATACCTATATATTGGGTTTGTGTGTGCTGTACTGCCCAATATTAACCCTATAGTCAAGGGGTCTAAAAATACACTTATACTATAAAAAATCTTAACTATTATAACTATTTATCTAGTAAGTATAATTAACTCATAGATGAAATTATTACGTATATAGAAAAGTTACCTACCTTACTAATTAGTCAGGAAATTCTCAAAAATTTGTCGATAAATTCATATTTCATTTTTTTATCCTTTGTAGAGTCGACTGAATCACAAAAGGCAAAATTATTACCCTCCATTTCCTCCTATTTGTTTTTTAACTTAAATTAATTTACTTACTTAAGAAATTTAAATACTTACTATTCATAAAGTAGTACGCTGTTGCTCAAATTGACCACGAAAAATATTTCGTTATTAATATTTTAAAAGTGAGGAGCAGGTAATGTATTTTTTATGGATATTATCTGTGATAAATTTACTTCCATTGACCAAGGTAAGATACACACCTTGGTAATATAGATGTGAGTAGATATAATTAGAGGGTATTAGTTGCCTACTACCTACCTATGTTATGCAGGTAAAGTCAGTATGTAGACTATAACCTCATTTTAAACATCTATTGAAGGTTATCAGGTAAGATAAACATTAAAAACTTTAATAGATATATATAATATTACATATGATGACGATACACTAGATAGTAGATAAAAATAGTTATTTTTGCCTAAAGGGAAACTTAGACAAATATAATAGGTCAGTAATTCTACATTAACAAAATTATATCCAATCCTAAGCTATATCCAACCAACTACAACAGCTAACACGAAGTCTAGCAAACCATAATATTTCATACACAAATGCTTGGGAACAAGATAGATAACATGTAAATGACAATGGATTGGTGCACCAGCCCGTGCTAACGCTGGCACCAGTGAAGGATGATGCAGGATGAAGTTAGTCCTGCCCGTCGTGACGAATTCACCAATTAACTGACGTTATTTCCAGGTCGGATCTGCATGGAGGTGGACGGACTACAACATCTTCCGATCTATGCCTGTCACTGCTCCATTCCTGAAGGGGATTAAGGTTATTAGCCAACCTTTGAAACGTAGCGTTGTTTTCAAACCGAAGTCAACTGTCCGACAGAAGTTGGCTTTATGCGCTCTATATGTTCTTCCGCGGGCTTGGAGATCGGTACCTAACAAATCGGCACTGGAGGCCATAGTTACTATTTAGTCGGGCCAACAAGTTCATACAAGATATCGTACAGTATTCACCCGTATTCATGTCGGTGATTGTTGTAGACTATCATGGTTCTCCTTTAATAAATAAATGATGTGTCTATCGTTCCGGTCATGATTATAAATCGTATCAAAAACATATGAAGTAGAACTAATAGATATTATACATACATATTTAATAATAGGTAGGTACAGTTAATACAGCTTGTAAATTGAGTTTCGTGAATATTCTTGACTAAGTTATCATACTAAATAGGTCTTTAGAAAATAAAATAATAGTACAGTTGGTATAACAGACAAATAATGAAGAACAGCCTAAAGTATTGGGACTTAATTCCTAATGCTCGACAATTAGAAACCTTGATAAAGTTTATGTTTCCGCTTTGTGGCGCGTTGAACCGTAAACAGGCTTTACTTGTGCATGTGAAGCTATATATTATAGATAACGATAAGAATAAAACTAAAACTGTTTATGAAGACTTTTCTACAGTGAATTATGCGGTTGTCATAATAATTTTGGAAATACTGTTTTTTATTATCCTTACACTCGATTAAAAAAAAATTTGGTAATCTAAAAATCGGAACAGAAATAGAGCAATGTCTGGTCGTATAATATTAAACACGAAAATATAGTCGAATTGAAACATTTTACTACTTATTTGCAGTTGGGTAAATTATTCGATTTCGTTACTTTAGTATGTAATATTAACTTATAAGTGCTTTTTGGTACCTATTTTGTTGCCTAATTTCGGATTATTACGAAGAAAAGAACAGAAAGAATCTTATAGGTATACATAAGATTCTTTCTGTTTTTTTCTTCGTTTGCGTCCTGTGATGCCTGTGATTTCTCACATACGAAGCCTTTTTAAGTAATATCTTACACAATATGGTGCTGGCGGCAGAAATTGGTGAGACGGACACAGAGAGATAACCACGGAAATACGCGGACGACTTTACTAAAATTTATTAGAATTGGGTTGAAAGTGCCAAGACGTACGCTAAAAACAAACTCACTTTCTAATTACGTATAAATAATATTATTAAGTAGGCAGTATATATATTTTACATTTTCACATCAGTCACATCACATTTATATGAAGATATTGTTTGCTCTAATGTGTGCTAATGCTAATACATAATTACTTTTGCAAAAATAAACAATGGCGATGACGAAATCAGCGAAGGCTGTATTATTGATAGTGACACGATTGTTACGATCTCTGTTTCATTTGTACCTTGATATTACTCTACGGCGGACGTAATAGGGTCAACACAAAACCAGTTACACTCGATATATAAAGAAGTTAATTAATGAAAAAGACAGAATGAAAGTCATTTTTTTATTAGCGATATTGACTGTGTTGACTAATACAAATGCATACAGGTCGTCTGCTCCGCTTATAAAAAACGTAAGTGTTGGTATTTTATGAATAAAACTACCTTAATTTTTGATTATCGAAATATCTTAGGCAAATATTTTAAAGTCTATCGAGTAGTAGATTAAGCCCTTTCTCTTGAAACTAAAATAAGACGTCAATAGAAAAAAAATGTCATTGGATTAAGTATTGGTGTGGGTGGATCATTGGGTCAATTATCCAAGTTGACTAATCTTTGCCTTTTAGCCGTAATAATAATCTAGTCGTAGTTATTTTTTACAGATTTTAGATAGCAAACCATTGAAATGTTACAAAAGTAATAAAAATTGTATTTATAAAAAGTGACAAATGAAATTTTCATATTTTGTTTTGTACCTACATATTTTTATTTACACTTACTAAAAGTACTTTAAATAAAATTATCAAAACTAAAGTAGCGTAGGTACCTATAGGTAGGTGTATATAAATTTTATTTCATAATATTGATATATTGTGTCGCCCACAGAACAGAGAAGTAAATTACTCCTCTGTTCTGTGGTGCCGCATATGGCCATGGAAGATGCTGATGATGTTTTTTAAGAATATTTTTTTTTAGATATTTCGTGGTGATGGCCACTTGGAGGGTCCCCATTGGTCAATAGAGGAAAATGCTCTCTATTTTGTAGACATCACGGGGCAGAAGGTGCATAGACTGGATGGACAGACCGGCAACATTACTACTAAGTACATAGGTAAGTAGTAAACCATTGTAGGAAACACACTTATACTATATTATATATTTTATTATAATCTCTTTGTTATATATATATATATTCGCCAAACATAAAATTGTATATTAAACAACAGTCATTTATGTAATTGTGAACGCAAACCCGCGCGCTATAACATGTTTCGCGTGGAACGATGTATTGACTGCAACATAACCAGTAGACCGCCACACCATACCTAATTTCGATGTATTTACTTCGAAGCCTTGCAAAATGTTAGTTCTGTTGAGAGAGTTAAATCGTGATTTCCTACCCGACAACACTACAAGTCATCTTAACTTCGATATCTCAAATTCATTTTATGCACGTGAAAAAAAATCTAGTGCCATTAGAATCTTTTTTTCAATTGGAATAATCTCGTAATTCGCTGGTGTCGCAGCGTTAATAATTTCGAAGGTTGCCTGCCGTCTGGACGACTATATATTTATTGTAAAGTCTTATAAAGCGAATTATTTAATGTTTAATAACTAATACCACACTGAACAAATTATGAACTGAACGATTCAAATACGTCGTAATAATAAGTCACGGGTAGTCTGATGTATAGCAATGTCTTTGTAGGTACATATAGTTGTCAGTCAATGCTCCCTTCGACGAATGTCATTAGATAGTCCTATAAAAATTCGTTAATAAATTGTTCATTAACCTTGTCATAAAAAAACTACTCAGTTGAGTAGGTATTTTGATCTAAATTAACATTACGAGTATATAGAGTAAAAAATGTTACACTGTAATCGTAAATAAATAATATTGGAAGATCTCTAAACATGTATCTCTCATGTACATGATTGCACAAATGAATAAATAGATTTGATTGTTTATTTGTAATGAAAATGTTAACAAAAAACTTTTATGGTATGTTTTTATTGACAATAATGGAATGGAACAATACTCGCCTACGTTCACGGTTTATGCTGGCGATAATACCAGTGTAGGATGATAGGATGAGCATGAAGTCAGATCAGTTAGTCCATCGTGACAAATTCACTAGAACATTGTCGCGACAGTTTCCAGTGGAACCCAGTGGAAGTCAACCTGAAATGGCACATTACAATTAGACTTATTTATCGACATTACTAAGAATTCTCTTTGCCCTAATAATAATATCTTAGGTTGTGCCCCGGTATCAGCACCGACGGTATGGGTACGCTGCCAGGACACTAGTTTTAATAAGATAAGCAAGTCAATAGAAATTAACTACGATATTTTCCAAAAAAGGAACCACTTGGTTTTCAAGCTGACATGGTTAATGATAGCAATGGAGAACAGGAGCAGGACAGAAGGGATTGTCAGTAAATGGGGACTGCCTCATTTTCTAACAATCCCTCCTTTTCTCATAAAATTACATTAGGTTCTAAATAGAGAATAGAGCATATTCTATTTTATTTAATAAAAAAATGTGGGAAGTCTGGGTAAATGTAACAAACTTGAAATTTTGCTGCACGGATACAGCGCGTCATGTTATTTACATTTTATCTTTCAGGATATGGACCGGTTTCACTCGTCGTAACAGTAAAAAATAATCCTAAATTGATACTTGTATCATCCAGATCGGAGTTATACTTCTTGCCTTGGGATTCTGAATCAGGAGACCAGTCATTACGGCTTTTATCTGTTGTTGATTTAGGACTTCCAAATAATAGAATAAATGATGGTAAAGTGGATGCTAAAGGAAGGCTTTGGTTTGGTAAGTTTTTAGTAAAATCCATTTTTTTTTAACCGCAATAGGGATCTTGACAACATAGGTTTGTATAGATATGGGTGCTTTTTATGTACATTTACAAAAATAAATTTTTATGTACATATTTATAACTGTTGTCTAGTACCTACCCAAAATAAAAGTTCTGCTTAGCTTGGAACTCGATGGCGCTGTGTGAATTGTTCTGAGATATTATTATTATTAATTATAAATACGCAATTAATATGATACTAAACCATACTTAGTCGAAAACTGTATCAGCGAGATACAAAGCATTTTTGGTTTCACCCATTCCAAGTTATGAACACAATCTTTGATATTTGGTTGTTTGTTCGTTGGTAGTTGTATTTTTTAATAAATTATAATCGAATATTATCTCATGAAATCACCAGGAATTAATAATGGTGATTTCCATTCAGGGCGACCACGTGGAAGTCGTGGCATGAAATATTGATAGTAATAGCCCATTAGTTTGCATTACTAACAATCCCCTCTGTACTGTAGTTTCTGTACCATAGTTTATGACTATTTCAAAAGAATGTCAAGTATAAACTACTGTTTTATTCAGGAACTATTGGCAATGAGGTAGCAGGCGTAGTAGACCGAGATAAAGCGACTCTATACATGTTGGATGAGCATAATTACGCAAACCCAGAGAATAAAGTGCGACCAGTGAGTGTGTCTAACGGTATCGCTTGGACTTCAGATAATAAATACATGTTTTATATTGACTCCCCTACAAGAAACGTCGACGTCTTCGATTTTAACCTGAATACTGGAAACTTACGTAAGGATAATTATATATTGTCTCGTATACCTATATAGAATTCTTTTACTATATATTCTAGTTAAATTAAATGTACTGTAGCATATACAATATATCTGACAAAGATATTTTGTGTATTGTATTTTTTACCTATTTATAGATTATAAAATATATTTCAAGAAACAAAGATAAAAATTGTAACAGATTATATTACATAACAATGTTCTTAAGTATGTTAAGTATTAAGACATTTACACGTTCGCCTTTTTATGCACTAAAGAGATAATAGGTAGGTACGAAACTTAATTTTGAATTTTAGATGATATATTTTTCTTTAAGAATGTTATCTACTGTATAGGAATATTGAAATGTGTATTAAAAGAATACTTACCATAAAATACACATTTTCAGGTAATAGGCGAACATTGTTCAGTTTCAACGCCAACAATGTGACTGGAGTGCCAGATGGTATGACCATTGATACCGATGGTAATTTATGGGTGGCATGCTATAAGGGTGGAAAGGTAAAAAAACTATTGTAATAGAAACTAATATAATATTATAATCTTCACAGCCTTGATGGTCTAGTGGTTTAGCCCAACACTTTACCTTCAATTGTTACGAATTCTATTCTTACACGTTAGAAATATTTGTTGGCTTGAGTACACGATATTTTGTATTGGTCTGAGTCTTTTCTATGTGTATTATAAACCAATGGATTTACAAAAAAATATCTAATTTAAGTCTTTCTTAGTTGTTTAATTACACGCCCAAGCTTTGTTTAATTTGGGACTAGATGGCTCTGTGTTATGGATCGACAGTTGATTACAGACCATTACATTTGCAGGTAATTAAGATTGATTCTAGAGCGGGCAAGTTGCTAGAGCAGCATAAAATCGAAGCCAGTCAAGTGTCTTCAGTGATGTGGGGTGGGCCTGAACTATCAACTTTGTTTGTCACAACGAGTCGACGAGATCTAACTCCGGCGCAGTTGGCTCAAGAACCGGAGGCTGGGTCATTGTTCGCTATACAAGGAACTGGATCCCGTGGTTTCCCCGAAAACCAGTACCTTTTCGCAGACGCAGATAAATATTGATTCTATGAACATTTCTATCATGTTCATGTTATTGTAGATATTTAAATAAGTACCTATTTATTTTACCTTTCAACAACTGACAGTACATGTACACTTGTTTAAACACTTGTAATTGAGGTTAAACATTATACAATTGAATATATGACATTATTATAACATCAATTTTATTTGAATTTAGTTTACATTTTATGGTGTATCTTTTACACCGTTTATTTAATATAAGGAATTATTTTCTGATATATGAGTAGTCATCTGGTACAGAAAGTTCGGTTGTGTGTTTATTTGTTTGCGTTCATTCTAAGTACCACTAGTCGTAACCGTCAGAACTACACTTATTCCTACTTTCACTTTTTCTTTTAAAACATATTTAGCCCAAATAGCCATTTAAGGCTATATTGTCAGAAGAAATAATATATAAACATATCTACTTGTACTAGAACAACTGACTACATGTAAATTCATCTAAGCCTTGAGTGTAGTAGTAGTATACCTAGTGTAGGTACTTTTTATTACATATTTTGCTTCTGAGTAGGTATATGTTGCAGGAGCTCTTAAAAAGATGGATGTTAGTAACCAGTAGTTCTACAGTTCACTGAATCCTGACTATTCTATCTACAAACAACAGAGGTAGGTATCAACCTGGAATTTATAAAGATTGAAGATTTATTCCATATCTAAACTGGTACCGTCTAATTTGATGATGCTTAAAATTTTACAAAATACAAACCTGTGAAAAAAAATTGAAAATCGAACTACTATTTCTATAGGTAGGTAAAAAGGTTATTATTCATCTGGAGGCGCGTTTGGTTAATACAATTGTCAATGTCATGTAAAAGGTGACAAAAAACATGACAATTCAATAACAATTCATTAATACTACGGCAAACATTATAACAACGCAAATTTTGTTAAATCAATATATCAGCTATAGAATGGATTTGAATCAATTTTATTGATACAAGTAACAAAAGAGTTTCATTCATCGGATATGAAGTAATTATTGTTTTAATATGTTTCAGTATTTCCTACTACGTATGTTAGCCAAATAACTCCCACAGTCTGTCTAAAAGTTGTAAAATTTCGTGACTTTTCTCTAGGCGTCTGAGGATACTACTAATTCCAATGTTGTTGGCCATTGCTGGCCTTTACAGGTATAGCCGTTGAAAGGGGGGTCGTTAGGGGCGACGAAGAACTCTTTAGAACGCGTGTATATGGGGGACGTATAATGAAAGTCGAATATGCTAACACACATGGTTCTCTCTGCCTATACGTATAGGACCAGAACGTAACCAGAACGTTGTAGTCTAATTAACCAACTTACAATCCAAATGGTATTAGTTGGAATCTGACCAACCCAAAACAATACTTTTTGCACCAAATTAGATTTATGATCGACTCTCCAGTGATGGAAATACTTATAGCAAATCAAAATCAATTTAGGACACGCTCACCCCATTACATAATACTTTTCGCTGAGTATAGTTGAAACCAATGTTAAATAAAGCTAACATTTATGCAATTGTTAACTAATAAGCTAACTAGCTTTGATTATTATGTTAAATTTATGTAGTAAATGTGTAAGTATCTCACACTACATATTACTGTTATAAATTTAAACGTATTATCATCTAATATTTAAAAATAAAACTAAAAAATAACAGATCGCAGAGATCGTTGAATTGACATTTATTACAGTAAGTGATAACATTTAATTACAATGATAACTATATCTCATATTTTGCGTAATTATTGTCATTTTAGTAATTTCATAAAGCCGATTGTTTCAATCAAGTTTCCAGCATCCCAATTCGACGTGTTTTATTCCCATCGGATTATACTTGAATCGGGCAAAAATTACACATCACTATAAGCTCCTAATATAACAATACACACTGCGTAACCATGCGATTTATCATGTCGCCTCTTTTTATTACCTACACTATTATTAATAACATAGAATGTAACAATGAATGCATCAGTATATGCCATAATGAATTGAATAAATAAACCTTACATCGAATACACATTATAGACAATAACAACGTTACAAACGTATTGAGTATTAATCATTTTATACACATACTACTGTTATGTAATTGGAATGGCAAACAAACTGACAGCTACCTGATGGTGATGACCGTCGCATATATTTATATATATAAACAGCACTACGGACATCACGTTATATTGTGACGCCTAAGTGGCTCATGAGTTGCCATTCCCAATGACTACACCTTTTTTCACCTTACCACCGAAATGCACCTTACAAAACAAGTCATACTGTATTAATTTGATGTATAGGCATCTACAATCAGGAATAAACACGGGATCATACCACGTTTTATTAATTTTAAATGAGTTCCGGTACGTACGTGTACGGAGTACGGGTAAACAGTTTTTCCGTGATCATAGCGATAAAAATAAATAAAACGTGGTAAGATCCCGTGATTTTCAAGGTGAGGAAAAATCACGGGATCATACGGGATTTTTTCTATTCGTACGTAAAGTAAGTCATATTTCGGTTTTGTAATAGGCGAGTCTGTGGTACCAATTAAAATGACTTTTTACAAAGTCTGCATTAAAACATCTAATATCGAAATAAGGAGCAAGAGGAATAATGTTCCTTTTGCAGTGTTCCAACATCATTGTGTCATGGAAGTTCAGCAATATTTTGTATATCATGCACACACAATGTATATTATGCATTGCATATAATAAATGCATATGTTGTATTATAGGAAGACAGAATGAGATTGTAATCGGTACTAACATATGATTTTACTTCCACTATCCTATTATTTTTATGTAAACATTGTTCTGGAGGATACACGTCATAAACAAAATATTGCAAGTATAAAAATACAGTAATTGACACTATATGTAAATATATATCATAAACAATATTAAAAATAAATATTTAATATATAAAGAGCAATTTTCCATGTCACAAAGTCTATTTTATTAGTATAGTATCTCTAGTCTTGTGAATGTCTAAATAAGAATATAAAAAAAAATCTAAGCGTAATTGTATATTGTTTTAAATTTGTCATTATGTTCTTATAAAGAATGGCAATTTTGCTTGCTCTATGCAAAAACAATATTAAAATAATGTTAATTTTATTTAATTTAGGTAATAAATGTCTTTTCAATAAAAATAATTATATAATGGACGCAGTGCATTGAACAAGTATATATGTTACTGTTAATGGTAGAAACATGTAAATACTAATAAGACCGATACATACTGATTAAAAAGCTACATGAATAATTATAGGGAAACAGCTTATCCGGTGGTATCAATTATAGCCTGATTAGCCTAATTTAGAGTAAAGTATATTATGGTTACATATATATTTTTTAGTTTTACACTAATATTTTATAATTATGTATGGGAATTTAATTAACTGGCTTAATTGTTTCGCCTTAAAACCTGTTAAAAGTCTTCTACTTCAAAACAACTTCAACCAACCACTCACACACACGAATAAACTTGACTAGATAGTACACACTTTCAACTATTTCTGCATACCAACAGTAACATACATACATGTCGTTAATAATTGCAAAAATATAACAAATAAGCAATAACAAAATTTTGTATAAATCTACTAACAAGATTCAGTATGTATATAATATCACTTTGAATACTCACATTGACGATAATCATTTATAATGATTGCGCTACAACATTTTAATTTGGGTTATTGATAATGGAAATGTTGATCCTTATAATATATAAATATTACATATCATGTGCTAATGTATTCCCCCTCCCCTCGCCTTCTCCCATCGCAATCGGTATACTTAAGTTTTATCAAGTAGGTATTTATACAAGTCATTTCGCATTGAGACAAAGTAACACATACAGTTATTATTGCTTAAAGCACTTCATTTAGCTTGTATTCTTTTATTTACATTTTGTCTCAGAGCTAAATCAATTGTTGAGTATCAGTTAAGAGATGCCTGTTTTCAATAACAAAATAATTACATAATATTAGAAAAAGTCTATACCATAAATGTAGAATATATGAATCGACTTATCTATTACACAATATAAACATAACTCATATTTCTTTATACAGAAATAAATAATATATGGCAGACTTAATGAATGATAACTACTCTACCTAGAGCGCTTATGTAATTAATAATTAAAATTTAATTTAGAATGGAACACGCGTTTGTTAATAAATCAGATAAAAACTTATTGTTAAAGAAAATATTAATAGTTAAGAGCAACGACAGTTACATCTTCTATTAATTATATCTTCTTTTAAGTATAACTACGATTAGTTATTCATTGGTGAATAATAAGCCATCATTCTATTATTTTAGTGTTATCATTTTTTTACAACTTGTAAAAAATTAAATATAAATTAATTGCTCTAGATTAGATTACATATTCGTATAATACTTGAGATATAAAAGTTTAGGTATAAAGTTGAATAAATAAAAATATAATTTTGATAGTAAGCAAACTTAAAATTCTATCTTGGACTTTATTTATTTCATAATATTTTTAGAAGCTAAAATTGCACATTGGTTTTCGAAATTAGAGTGGCTCGGACTATGCACGATAATTTTTAAGATATCTAGTATCAATTATAAAATATAAATAAATTTTATCAAGTAAACATATTATTTAATCGCAAGAATTTTTGTATTTATTAATTCATATAATTATACTGAACAATGCAAAAATAAATTAGGGAAGAATCGTGATTGGCTTTAAATTGATATCTGTTACTTTCTATTTCAATAAACACTGACGACAGTTAGCGATTTTGTGTAAAATGTCATGAAAAATATAACATTAAAATTAATAATAAAAACATTTTTACTTAATAAAAATAAAATTCCTTACTAAAATAAAAATAAATTATTGTCACAGAATAAAATGACTATATATTAGATAAAAATGATTTATAAAATAGGTCACTCTACTTATATTCAAAAGAAATTATGCTAAGGCTCTTACTATGCAAGTCCTTCATAATAAGTTATCTATTAGTTATCTTGCCACCCAAAAGCGAAAGTTACTAATATTTAGTCAGTGACGCAGTTTGGGGATAATAGATACTAGAGGCATATTTAATAAATAACTTCTCACTTGTTAAGAATATACCAATGGGGACAACTTTAAAGGCATTATAAAAATTGGCTAAGGCTGCATACATCACATCATTGTGATTGAAATTAGAGAATTAAATATTATGTTCCATAGTTACGGGGCTTTAGTTCTCAATTTTAGACAGTTAATAAGTTCCACGTATTTCTCAGTGAATAAGCAGTGCTTTAAATTCGCTATTTGTAAATCAAATGTTATGATCTACTTTTGCGTAGTATTATAAATTATATAGCAGGCATTGTGGCCTTAAGATAGTAGTCTTCTCATATTCAATACTTGTGTGTGTTATCACAAATTATCATAATAATAAGTTCATAACAATGATTACGATTAAATCAATTTGCTACAAAATGTAAGGAGATAATTATAAAACACGATGATAATAGTTGTCAAATAGCGGCTGGGATTGATTTACTTGAGTCCTAACAACCGCTCGGCTATACCCAGATAATAGACAGTTTGCGCGATGCCGAATAGAGGTGCTATTACAATCATACGACACATGCCGCCCTTGAAGAACGCCGTGGGACCTTCATATTTCATCGTTTGTCTGTTGAAACAAAACATAAAGTACATTGTAGATCATTATATATATATTTAAAAATTAAAATTATTTAAAAGAATTGTTGTGTGAAACGTTTTAGCAGGTGAATATTAAACACATATTCTGGAATTTTGTACTACAGAATATAAAAGTCTAGGCGTCCGATTATGGTTCTTCCTCGTGGCCAGCGCTACTCTTGAAATCTTGTGTCTTTAACTGTTGTCCCCACAAAAAAAAATTGTTAAGATAGGTATTATCTTAATGAGAAAAACTTTCTTTTACAAAATAATCGCTGGCCACATGATGCCGCCGGTAATTATAAATACAGTTTATACGTTGTTAAATAAATCCTATCACCTGTCCCATTGAAACGGGCATTAAAATTACAACAGCCTGAGCCGAGAATTGAACTCCTAGTGGCGCAGTCAAGAGTAAAGTCATAGACGTCAGGCAGCAGTTGACCTTCAGCCGCTCCATAAGTCCTATCGCAGCTTTGGAGTGCCATTTGAACTCGTCCCTATTTTCGTTCAGTAAGGCTGTAAAGGCCAGCTGCGGTCAACAGCATTATTATTGTGAAGCAACTTTGAAACTTTGTATCCTTTATACGAAAATTGCGCGGTCTCCTTCATAGTATGAAATTTAGCACTCTTATAGTTAATATAGAGAAGTAGTACAGAATGCTAAATTATAATTTCTTACTTATGATCAATACATCACAAATCAATAAAAGAACACTATACCAAGTATTTGACACACACACACACAAATAAAGGTCTTTGACAATAGAACTTAAAAAATTAACAAACTTATAATTTAAATAAATTATGGTCGAATTTCGACCGTCTGGGGACCACTAATTAATAGTTGTAATGATTCGAGAAAAAAAATATCTTAGAGGAATGAAATAGTGTATAAATCTTTAGTCTATTATTACTTACACGATACAATCCACGATAGAGCTATACTGTCTCTCGCCGCTGCCTTTAGTGAGAGTCTGCATGCGTGTCTTGACTACGTCCATCGGGTTTACAGCCAGAGCCGCTGTCGACCCGGCCAAACATCCAGACAAGAAGGACCACCTAAAAAACATCAACATAATATGAAATTAATAAAGTAAAACATTATGTTGTTATTATTTTTGTTCTTATCTTATTAACTAACAAAATATATTAAGCTACTTCAAAAATGAGTAGATTCCCATTTCAGTTGTATTTATATAATGGAATGTCAAATAAACTGACGGCATACCTAATGGTAAGTGGTATCTGTCATCTATATACAACTTAGAATCCGCAGGACTAAAACTGAACTGAAATTATAGAGACTCATGCTTCAACCAAAACACAACTTACAAAGCTGTTTTGTGGCTGAAATAGGCGACAAAGGTGCCACACAATGTTGTACAAATTCCATGGAAATTAAAAAAAAAATAGTAATAATAATACCCTTGGACAATCACAACGTCACATACTCCTAAGGTAAGCAGAGCATGTGTTATGAGCAATAAACAATTAACATATTTTTTATTGTTACAAATATGTACATAATAGAATGCCTCCTTACACAACGTGGGGATAAACTGAACAAAAAAAAAGGTTACTTTATAACATAGTTACATACCAGAAGACGGTCGAGCCACCGGGCTTCTCTTTCGGGCCGAGATCGTTGAGTGTCGCGAACAGTGGGAAGTACACCACACTGAAGGACACGTCACGCGCCGCCGTGGCTGTCACGCCCTTGTAAAGCCCGAAAACGCCGCGCTCCCGCAACAGCTTCCGTGTCAATTCCAACGCAGTCGTCCGCTGAACTGTACGACCCTCTGCAACAATAGAAAAATCCCGTTGTTTAAATACTAATTATTATCATTATATTAATACGTGAAGCAAAAAGTTTGTACACCTTTTTAAGAAAATTGTGCGAACGAAGGAGTATAAAGTGCCGCACACTTTTTATATTGTACTTAGAAAAAATCATTATTACAATAAAAAAAATTATACACACACTAGCAAAAAGTTGTAATTATAAAAAGACAGGCTGGTTTACTGTAACTAGTCTTCAAAATTCAACCATAATAAAAATACAAAAAGATTGTGTGTCATCTTAATAATAACAATGACTATTTATTTATTTATTTAACTAATGTATATATTACAAAGCTTACAACACGAACCGGCTTTGGCCTGTGCTGCAATACGTCCAGCGTCTTGCATCTGAATTTTAAGCAGCTCCATGGGCGTCGTGATTATGATCTGACAGGCTCCTGCGCTTCCACCAGCTAACATTTGTCGAAACACAGGCAATGAACTGAAAATATATAGCTGAATGTATAATTTATGTATTATTTCTTATTTTTATATTTAAGAATCGCTGAAGTAACAAAACGTAATTATTATTAATACACATTCACAACTGTATTGCTATAAGGGATAGTCAACTGTCTACTTAACTTGTGGTGAAAACAAAACTTGATATGACCACATTTCCTACCGATGTCTCTCGGATTAGTTTATCGGTGATTCCATCACCGGAAAGTCTATAACACAATTTTAATTTTGTTATCGGTTAGAATTAAACTCACGCCTTTGATCGACCGATTAAGACTTTAATTAAGTCGAGGGTAGTAAACCACCAAGGCCAACATAAGTCGGAGGACGCACTTTATTAAAATAAAGAACTATTATATAATACTAGCTGTGCCAGTGGTTTCAGCCGCATTATATTTTAATATAAAATATAGCCTATGTGTTATTCTGATGTATAAGCTATATTACTGTAAAGTTTCATCAAAATCTGTCAGTGTAAATCTGTTCAGTAGTTTTTGCTTGAAAGAGTAAAAAACATCCATACTTAGAAACTTTCGCGTTCATAATATTATTAAGATATTTGCTTGCTATAATTGCTTGCTAGATAAAAATAATTGACATATGGAATGCTACATACATTATTAAGTTGGCACAAGGCATATATGAGGACGATATGCTTGTGGGAGCATATATCATAATTTATAAACGTATCTAGACATGTAGTGTAGATAAGGCCGATCCAATGTTAAACAGTAGTTTTCAACCTTCCAAAAGAAGGAGAATTCCATCGCGTAATAAATTTTATTTGTGTACATAGGGAATTCTATAATATTTTTATGTATTTAAGAATCCAACGATAAAATTTGTATGCTACACAAATATATTCTTACACATAAAACATACAATTTTATTTTGGAGTGTTGAAATTTTACTCAACTTACATGGTTTTTTACTCCGTTTTGCAATTATTTACTCCATATTTAGACATATATATTTTAGAGGTACAATAATTATGCTAATCTATCTAAAAATTGCGTTACACGGTATCAAAAATCAATATCAAATTTCGTGACATCAAATTTTTACCCCAATTAAAATTTGATCTAAGATAATCAAAACAATATTCCACATTATAAATTTTAATAAAATTGCAAAATATATGATGTCGCTATAAGGAAAGGGAGAGTCAAAAATGTTTGCTTTGGCCATGACGGGGAGGGAATTTATGTATGGCCCATAAGTTTTTTTTTCTTCAACATAATACATAACCTCTGACTTCGTAGTGAGTTTTAATTAAGAATATTAAAAATATATTTTCAGTCCACTTACAAAAAATAATTGTACCTATATTTTTGTTGTTTATTGATAATAAATACACAACCTACAGTTAAAACAGGAAACCTACTTATAGTCTTTGTAAAAATCTCTTTAGGATAGTATACACATCAGAAAGATATTAAAACATTGTAAAATAAACATAATTCATATGCATAAGCATATTACATAATACTTTACTCTATAAATATCGTAAGCACCGTGGTATAAGAACATGTCACTAACAATCGATTCGAAACCTTCTCGCTTCAGGCAAAATTCAAGGTTGGTCATTGTTGAGCATGGTTATTAGTTATTATATACTCGGAAATAGGCAAATATTGAACATATTTTGGGTCGAAACTAATACGTTGAATAAACTAATATAGATTTCTAGTTTATCTAACGCGAAATTATTTATAGACATATTAGTATTATACGGCAAACATTGTTTTGTTATATAAATTATTTCCAGATAAGGCCCTTATCACCTAGGGATATAAAAATATCCGATTTACTCTCAGGCATACGAAATATATAACAAAAATTTCACTACAATCGATCAAGCCGTTTCGGAGGAGTTCGATAACAAATACTGGGACACGACATTTTTATATATTAGATAAGCTGCATAATTATATGAACTAACTTGCTGTTTGGAAAAGTACCTTACACTTTTAATTATAAATAATATTATTATAACATTCATATTAGATACAAAATTTATGGGTTCAATTCTGACCAATATAAACACAAAAACTTAGTATGATAGTTTCAAATATTGACTAAATAGCAGACATAAAGCAAACACTGTTGATATACCAGAAAATATGAATAATGACATGGTCAAAGAGTTACTAATTACAATAGAGCTAACATTTGCTCTGTTTTGTTATGTGCTGTTCTATGCATTAGATACAGTCAGTTAACGATCTTTCTTAAAAAAAAAAACATGTTCGTCACCATTTTATTCCACTGAGGCTGATACGATTGATTTCATTGTAGTTGTGTTAAAATTACATAGCAATGAATGTCTTACCCATCTGAATGCGTGAGGTAATGTCTAAACATATCATTGGCAGCTAGTTTTATAGCTTTCTCCGGTGTTATAAGGACAATGTTGACAGCCGACCCTCTGTACATGCCGAAATATCCTTCTGCTGCGTACGTCTTCTTGAAACAATCCAACCTGGTTTAAAGAACATCAAAATGAGAATTGATATTTTTTGTAAGGTTCTGTCGCTTATAAATTATAGGTAGTTACTAATGGCACGAATATGACATTGTATTTCGCTACGCTTGACTTCTCCTCAATTCAATTGAAAACATCATAATTTTCAATCACAGTCCAACCCTGAAATAAGTAATTTCGTAGACTATTACAAGTAATAGCTCTAAAGGTCCTGTATTCCTCGACTCCCTCTTATATAACATCCGAAGTCGTCTCTGTATGTAGTATGTATCTACATACAAAGACGACTTCGACGAGTATTAGGTATCTATATGAAGTCCTTCCGGACTACGTTTCCCTTCGTAAGTTGACAATGACATTTTTCATTCTTATATTGGTCACTTTAGTTCTTCAGCAGATATCAGAAGGACATATCAATGATTATGGATTGAAAAACTCACATAGATAAGCATCTTGGGACAAACATGACTTTAGAAAAAAAATTATGAGCGACTGTCAGATACTTATGATATTATAAGCAACTGAATTATATATTGCTTTTATGTAACACGTGGACTATATAAATGAACAGAATCCCGGACATCACGTTGTGACATCTGTGATGTCATTCCCTAGAATTAAGGTGTCATGCCTCTGTAGCCTGTAATTTCACCGAAAAAACGCTCTCTTCATATCGACCAGAGCTAAAGTATGCGGTGGTACCTACTGATAGGTACCCACACAGACACAGATGACTTTGTATAGTCCACTTAGGTAAATTTATTATTCATTGAGCGCCTAAATAAAGCAAGTTAACACAATTTATTTATTTAAATCAAGTCATTTGATTACCTCCTCGTATGTATATAAATCAGTCAAGTTAGTATATAGAGTTTCTTAGTGAAATATTAGGCGGCAAAAGATTAAAACGATACCATAGCTTATAATATTCCTAAGATATCCATATAATCACCGGTTTCGTGTGAAACCGTTACTATTGGATTACATATATTTTAAATAGTTAATCTATATTTATTGACTTTAATTGCCGTTAATTGGCAATAAGTTAAGATATGATAGATACTGATAAATGAGGTGAGAAATAAAAAAAAATACGGAAAACATAGTAAACAAAATGGTTCATTTAGCAGTTCACATTATCTGCTTTTCGATCGAATTTCCAGAGGGAAAAATATTGAGCCATAACCACCTAAAAAGAGCGCAATTAAAGTATGGTGTAATTGTCAGGCTTACAAAATATATAATTTGATACGAAGGTGTACTGTATCTGATAAAATAATTGATTGTTAGAAAATATATTGGTATTTAAAGATCGAATTATCGGATAATTAGTGAATTATCAGACTTACTTTAATATACAAAAATACGTCCTCGTAGTTGCTACGGGAATGATTACTCTATATTTAACCAACACGTAAGTATTTTGCTCATTCTTGTGATGAGCTTGTGCTTCGAATGAGCGGTAGAATAAAAAAATATGATATATCAAAATTACTTATATTAAGTTTATTCGAATATAGACTAGAAAAGCATATTTACATAAAAAAATACTACATACATGTTTTTATATTGTTTTTCTCCATTGGCCCCAACGCTTTGATTCTGCAGTCGTGTCTTCACGAGATCCAGTGGGAATACCACAGACACGCCCACGATGCCAGCAATGCCGCCATTTACTATTTTAGGCAGTAATCTGAAACAAAATATTATTACTCATTTTTTCTTCTCAAAGTATAGTACACTAGTAGCGCCCCAGATTCGCCCGTGTGCTCATAATTTTACCTATATCAACATATAGCCTATTGCACACCGACAATAAAGTACCTTCCAAACTGAACGAATTTCTCAAATCGGTGCAGTGGTTCCCGAGTTTATTTTCCTCATAATAAAATCTGCTCTTTTTCTTTATAATATTTGTATAGATAGAACCGGTAGATATATATTATAAAACAGAACAACCACAGGTAACATCACAAGTAAATATTATTTCAATAAAGCTGATTTTAATTTTCCTGCATGTTTTATATATAAAATTATGTGTCTGTATGTCTCAGCGCTATATTCTAAGAAACTATTAATGACACTGCTTTGAAACATGGATAGTTTTCACGCTATGGCGCATGTTTATTAGAATTAATATAATTCAATAAGTATATTGGTCTATTCAAAACGAATGATTGAAAATGAATAATATTTATGTTTAATAATAATTATTAGAGTTAAATATATAAAAGTTAAAATAGGCCAGCGAGTATATACTCGTATATTGTTTGTCTATGGTGTTGTCCATGTCTGTACTTATAGATAGGCGGTGATTATTGTTATCAACTGGGCCGATCGATTATTCTCTCTACTCATAATATCGGCTGTATGCTTGGTGTCTTAAGGATTTTGAGACTATCATGGGTAATCCATAATAGCATTAATCCATAGAACATGCATGTCCTCCATTTCTTAATAATTGAGAATCAGGAAATAAGGAAAATAATTTGAAATTTAGTTTCAGATTCTTGGTTAAAAGTAGTTTAGATTAATTTGTATTCACCTGGCCTTTGGCTTGGAAGTTATACCCTTTACGGCTAACCGGCTAATATGTATCATCGACGCTTACCCCTATTTCTATCTATCAACGCTCTGTCTAAATAAGATACCCAAAGCTACAAGTTTTGAATTTCGAATAGAATTTCTTTTATTAAGTTGGCAATCAATAAAAAGAATAATAGAAATTTCCTGGAATTCGTACAAGAATATTAGACAATGACGCCAAAAAAAATGCAACTAAAAATAGAAAATTATTACAATAATAGAACATCTATTTTTAAATCATATTATGACACTTTAATTTCCATTATACAGATTTCAAGGAAATGTGATTACGTAACAATAGAGATAGAATAATGTGGTATGATTATGTCAATCAATGCTTTATCAGTATCCACTACTTATGATAATATGCACATTTTGACTGAAGGTCATAATGAATATTATTATAAAAAAACAAAGAAACCAAGTACTGATTAAATAGTTCATTTATGTCAATGTGTGTTATGGAATTTAATTATGTACTTATGATTCTTGATATATTGACAGTATATCTATATTTATATATGTAGGTAATAATAAATATTCTACATTATATAGATATTATTTTGTAGATGTGGGTGTGTCTTCAATGTATGTCCATCTTCCTTTACATAGGATTTCTACCAAAATAATGGCATTTAAAAGCATATGCAGTAAAATAAGATTGGTAACACCTACTATTAAATATCCATCTAAGCTTCAAGCATAGTTGGAACAATTCCAGTGCTGAATTGTTACCATATTTAACATTGCTAATCAAAGTGCACATTGTTCTAGTTTTGTTTATTTCATCTATATATCATCACACCTATGCTCACACAATCATTGTTTAATTTGTTTTATAACTGGTATGGCATAAACCCTAGATCTGTACTGTGTATGTTGTAATTAGCCATAAAAGGTAAAACATGTTTATATGAGGATATAGGTACAGATATAGGTATTACATCAGAAAAATTGTGACTACCATCAAACCCACACTCTGCATATATTGTGTACAGTATCATGTAATTACTAGATTTTGCTAGTTTTCTGGGTCTAGTATGGATAGAAAGCTAATTGAGCGAAACAATAAATGAAAATCAGCAGAAACTATGTTTCTAGCATTATGCTGAGTTGTGGTCCACATTAACTCTGTTTTTTAATGTGTAAGTTATTGCATGTATTTTTTATGTCATTATTGTGTGAAACAAGTCAATAAAGTTATATTTTATTCTAATCACTAGAACTCAGGAATTTTATACTCCAAGCATTATGATACAATATATTGTACTGCAAGCCTTTTGTTTTATTTGGACTTTAATGCTTAGTGTTGTCTGTATAGTCATTCAATTATAATATTCATTTTTATAATACTACTATATTAATCAAAAGTAATTTAAATGTAAATTAAATGTAAAATAATCGAAACTTAATTAAATAAATTTCCTCAGTATACCACTCATTTAGTCACTAGTGTGATGTCACTTGAACAATGCATGTAATATGTAGTAGTTTTTAGTAGCCGAATTTATGTGGTACTTAAACGGTTCCAATTTTTTTTCACTCTCCTTATTAGTAATATTATTTTATTTATATTGGGCAAAAAATATATTTCATGTATAGGTATCATTCATATTACTGGTGACCCTCATCATGAAATTGCTATGCTGTTAATACTATGTTAAAAACTAGATAACATGTTCTTGAAACAAGTGTAAATGGTAAATATATTTCACTCAAAGTATAATGTAAATATAAATAGTATGAATAATTATGTACTTACGAAAATTGTTGAGCAGGTGGAGCAGGAGACTTGGATCCTGATGAACTCATGTTAATGATTTATTCGGAGCTATGAGTAAAAATTAAAAAATTAATATCATATTGACACATTGCTGCCATGACTCTTTATATAAATGTTATCTCTATTAAAAGCATATCAAGACATATAATTAAAATTTAACATCAGAAACATTGTAAATAAAATTTGCCACAAACAATTATGACACTATTTTTGTTTAGATGTTATTTTAGCAAAATTGGCAATGTTACAAAATAGTTGAGGAGGAGTATAATGAGGTAATATATAAAATAGATACAAACAGCTATAGATGTTAAAGCTTCAGTTTAGTTTAAAAGGGTTCAATGTCAATTAAACTAATACAGGAAGGCATCCAATTGGACAGCTAGGTACATAATATATTAATTCAGTTGCCAACAAACATAACACTAATAATAGGAACCAGTTATTAAAGCTCATATGACAGACAGAGGACAAAAAACGAAGCTTAAACAGGAATATTGAATTAGTCCTATGTTAATCGAAAATACCATTTTTTACCTTAATCAAATACAGTATAAAGTATTGGAATAATTTTTACTACCTACATCATGAATTGCATACGTTTGTACATATTTAAGTATTTCTAAATAAAAATAATGTCTAATTGCATTTACTATACAGCAATTGTAGTATAAGAAGCGGTTTCTTTACGTAACAATATTGCTTTTACTTACATTTTTAAAGTTAGAGTGTAGTGACTGAAGGAAAAATTTGGTGCTATTTTAAAAACTGGGCATACTGAGTGTTGCAGGAAATTAAAAACTATTGAATATAGTGGGATGGTTACAGTACGATGAACTGATCAATAATGATAATAGATAACACACAGCTGTAGAAGACGTCTACTGAAAGAATGAAAATGAAATTAAATGAATGAGTGACTCTGAGTGAGTGAGTACGCGCGAGGGGATGACGTAACGTCAAGCTGTCCGGTGACATTAGGGTGACATTGCTTGATGACAGTTCAGGTGACAGTTGAAGTTTGATCGATTACTTACCATTTCCAATTATATTTCCTTATTTAACAAAATCACCGATCAAAATTGGTGGCGGCCATTTAAAATAAAGAAGAAGAATATGTATATGGAATTTTATTAAATCTTTGAATAATTATTCTTAATACTCAGAATAACATGTGTAACAAAGGTCATGCCACAACAACTACTAAGTGTAGGTACTATTATTCCGAAATTGAGTTCTGAGGGTAGGTTGTTCATACAGCGCAAATGCAATGGTTCAGTCGTAAGCTCCAAGGGTATATATACCTACGTTAGCGAGGCACCAGTAGAAAATAATAAAATGTTAATGTATCCATGTCAATTAGACCATCATGGGGCATTCTCGAGAAATTAATATGAACGTTTCCAGAAGGCAGCTCCTGAAGTTCAATTTGATATACATAGAACTATTAGGCCACTAGTCCCGTTGTAATTATTCTGAAATTTTTGCGTAATACAACATATTTGAAAAACCCTCGTCCCGCCTAAAAAAACTGACTAGCTAATTCCTGGTGAATTCGCCAAGATTTGCTATGATCAATATTCATCATTGGGCATCAACAGTCTATTCCGTTAGAGCATTTTGTTGGTGGATTTATTATTTATCAATGTATCTACTATATGATGTCGACCTCCACACGGTCTAGAAATGGTTTGTATAAATTATCTGTAGATCCGAAAAAAAAAAGTAATCAGAAACAAAACAATCAAATACAAAATAATATGAATCCATCAAATAGTGAAATGGACTCTCCGCAAAATAACACCTAGATAATTCGATTAAATATCAACCATACTTTAAAGTACTATGTATGTATTTACTTAAAAAAGCAACAAATTTGGAACATTAAATATGATATAAATTGGGTAGGTGATTATCAATACCCGTATCAATCATCGAAATCCATACCCGAGCCGTATTCCGTACAAATAATGAAATATTAATATATGACATTTATTGATATATTTTTTTAGGTTTATAGATGCATATATCTATATAAATGCTAACGGGGTACCAGTGGAATATGATCACCATACTGTACTAGGTAAATCAAAGTATACCAATGAACATTACTAACCCTAATAATATGGCTGGTATATGGCAAGTGTCTACTGTGGACAGATAATGTAATGATCAAAAGTGATAGTTCGTAGGTATATATTTAGTACTGTACATATATTTTTGCGATAGATAAAGATAATAACATTTGTTCATAGAAAACTACATGCTGCCTATCAGTGCAATCCCTTTCTATAACAATTTCCGTGTTCAAGTATATAAAATGGCAGTGGTTTCTTCTATAAATCATCACATTTCTATTGGCACCAAACAGTAAAGTGCAAATATCAGCGGAAAAATAATGGCTACTAAACTCGCAGTAAGTTTTATTTTAATAACATTATGTATATTATTTGTCGCATAGTGGTTGGCTATCCTGAATTACGCTCAAAAGGTCGTGAGTACCATCAAAATCACGAAATAAAACTTTGTGTGTCAATTCATATTTGTGACTGACTCTCTGGTAAAGGAAACACCGATATTAAACCAATAATTATCTCGAAAGACGGCGGTTGGCTTGCCATCTGCCACGTTGGATTCAAATATATCCAACGAAATGTGGACATGTTCAGTTTTACGTTAAATATGAAGTCCCTGACTACTCCGTCTGGGACAATAGTCGTGACGGTATGTGTTTATAATAATATAATATATCTTCACGCTTGTCATATCAGATGGAGTAGTCTGTGGGATTGTCAATCGTTGACGTTATTATGACCTTTGAATCCTTATCTGTGATTTGAATCCAATATGCAGAGGAGACGCGTGGAGAGGCGAGGCTTATATGCATATGTCGAGAGATACAGAGGAGAGGCGAGCCTACCGCCGCGCCGTCATTCAGATTAAATAACGTAACTCTCGACATTAAATAACTTATCCACAAATAATACCAACCTATTAACTTCGTATATGTGTTATTTTTTATTTAGGTTGTCATCATCAGCTTGGTTGCGGCGATATCGGCTAGCAATCGAACTGAGAAAAGAAGTGTAGGTTGGGAACCACCTGCATGGCCACCCGTGGGCTGGGTTCCGCCTCTGCAAGGACACGGTGCGTATATTATATTCACTAGTAATATAACCAAATCATGATCAACACGATTAGGATTTTATTACTATGCTCTTTAGATATAATATAATACATGATATTATCAATGCTTAATATGTTTGTCTGTTTTTTATCGCATTGAAATTTAACGTACCTAACCATACATTACATATGTTGTTACACTCTTATTTAAAAAACCTGCCATTCCAATTATATAAATAATGCTGTATTCAGTCCATGAAATAATAATTTTCTCCACAAAAACATTAATTATATAAAAACAAAATATTATATTTCAAGGGTATACAGTTAAAAATCATTACCTTCTGTGCTACTTAAATAATGGTTATGGCAAGCTAAGAATCTCGCACTATATGAATACGGCTCATTTTTAAATGGCCAATGAAATAACCAACTATAATCGCATTATTAAGAATAACAAAAAAATAACAGAATTTAATGAAATTTATATGAAACTATGTGAGAATCACAATGGAAGCGAAAAACATATTACGCCGACCCCAAATAAATGGGATAAGGAAGAAGCAGATGATGATGAGAATCATATATGAGAGCAGTAAATTAAAGATAGTATAAAAATATCATAATACCACACATAAAATATCTAGAAGACGGTTGAAAGGACTAATCTAAAACCGTTTTTGTTTAGGAGGCTGGTCGTCTGATACCAACTCGGACGTAGCTGGTGCGGTGGCGGCAGCGAAGGCGGCTGCTGCAGCTGTCATGGCGGCACAGCATGAGGTGGCTGCAGCAAAACACGCAGCTTTAGAGCAGCAAGGATTCGCCAGCGCAAAGGAAGCCGCTGCTGCTCATGCGGCGCATAGGAGGTATGTCAGAACTTGCAGAGGATTTCTATATATATGGGGGTTTTCACAAAAGTTTAACTGAAATAAATCAGAAATTTTACTTCAATTTTTATAGGCTATGGTAACGGTTTGTCATAACGTGGCGTTTGCTCCCATTGTGTTATAAAAATTATGTCCCTATCCATAATCCAGATAAAATCTTACTTGTATAGGCTAGTTGAATCCCACAACACTGCCTGCGTGGATATTATGTTATTGCTTTATATAACTTTCTATATAGATATTGTTGAGTTTATCCATTACAAAAAAATGTATTGTCAGACGATATGATAGTATCAACTTTTTATTGTAAAACAATTTCAAACTTCTTCGACCAAATTCAGCTGCCAAGTAGCGTGTTTTGAAACCAGTGTTCCGATTGTACCCTGAAAACGGAATGCAGATTCGACAGTGAATTTACGGGACAAGCGGCGTGACATCTTAGTCCTCTGGAATGACAACGCATGAGTGGTAAATGCTACACGCACAGGTGTCACATAATACTGATAGTGATGTCCGTAGTATGCATGCTGTTTATGTATATAGTCGACGGTTGCCGGTTACCATCAGCGGCAGCTTGATTGACATTCCAATTAATTAAAAAAAAAACAAATAATTATGTTGTCAGTGAGGAAGCTGCGAGACAGGCCCGTGCTCATGCCCTCGAAGCAGCACAGGCAGCAGTACAGTCGCAGGCACAGTTGGCCGCAGCGAAGGCTCGGGCTGCAGTCGCACAAAAGATCGCTGCAGCGCGTGAAGCAGCTGCTGCTAAGGCCATACAACGTGCGGCTCATAACCAAGCAGCGAGATTACAGAACGCTGGTAATATATTACATACATATTCAATAATAAGTTAATATTTGTTTTCACCTTAGTAAGTAAGCAGAGCTTAAATACAAATACTTAAATACACTCATAATACACATATAAAACGCCCAGACCGATACAAACAATCATACTCATGAAGAATATTTGCATCGTCCGAGAAAGAGAACTCGCGACTATAGGAATGTTGATGCGGTGTATTAAACTGCGAGTCCATCGAGGACGTCTAGAATAACAATAATAAGTAATAGAATATTAGGTCACGAGTAGAATCCCAGTTTGGGTAGTCAGAGGTATAATCCAATTTCGACATCATGGTGAACGCAACGGAAAGCGATGTGCTAAACAGTTAGACTACCGTAATATATATTGACATTTTTATATATTTTGACATTTGTACTTATATTTATCAATTATACAGATATAGAAGCACTGAAGTTATCAGTCATCCAGAGCTCAGGGGCTGCTGGTGCCGCAGGCGCTGCTCAGCATGCAGCCACAGCAGCCGCAGCCGCCCTCCGTCCACAGGTCTTCACTCCTGACTCCACTTGGCCCAAGCCCTGGTCATCTGGATGGACACCATCCCCTGGACCTTGGAATTGGCCTTAAAATCTTTCAAACGAACATTATTGTTCTATATATTTTCACTTTACCATATTACTTATTACATACAGTAATTCGTTTTTATTATGAAGGTAATATAATATAGTAATTTTAATTCGAATATGTTTTTAATCTAGATATTATAAATTGACCATTTTGTTTAATTAGTAGATCTAAGTACCTGTTGCAACATTAACTATGTAATTATTGATGTTTGAATAAAATATGAACATACTGATCTAATGTATTTTCTTTAACAATTGAGCAGATATTGTTTTTACCTAAAAAATGTTAGACTAGCTAGTTAGATATCCTGAAATACAGAATTAGCTACTAATTATTTGTACCTAGTTAATACATGTACTATTTAATGGAAGTAGCCAATTTTAGTATTATTTTAGTATTTTTATTTCACACATACAATTTTTTTGAGATAGACTAACATGATATTTGTTCAACATTGGTAGCAGAAATTACAATTCGTCGTGGTTCAATATTAACTTGACACTTGTAGAGGTACCCAATAAGACTTATCTTACAACGTCAAGTAGGTATATTATCTACGGGTATAAGATAATACAGATCAGATAAATATCTAAGTATATATTACGTAACAAATAATCTGCATTTTACATATCTATTTAATTTTATTAACATTAATATTAGATTTATTATTTTACTTTAGTATTATAATAAAATAATAACAGTTAATTTCGGAACTTGAAAATAAATAAGACAATTTATTTTACGAATATCTGAAAGCTTTAGCTTCAATTGATTAGTAACTCACGCCTGCGCGGTTACATTGCCAAGAGATAAGGCTCCATCTGTCGCAGGTCAACAGCATCCCGAATCATCTGTTTCTCAAATGGCACATCTATATTTCTAACAAAAATCCGTTTCAATGGTCACAGTAACAATTTAGTAAGCCAAATGAAGCTGAAAACGTAAGGTAAGATACCGCAATTAGTTTATTACTCTAGAGACAGTTCCAAATGGCTTCCAACGTGCCCTTATGAGAATGAAATGTCCAAGGGTGTGACTGAAATATTAATTTGTAATCAAAAGTTGAACGCGTGTATGAACTCAGTTGTTAAGAGTAATGATTATATGAAAATTTAAGGTAGACTGTAAACAGTCGGTGTTAGTTCAAATAATAGTATGTCTCTCCTTATTTTTATATAATATATTATCTGTCCTTATACATATTACTTATCTGATACATTACAACATTTTCGTTAATGTTTCTAAACAAGTTTTAAAAAATATATTACTTATTCGATCATATGTGGTAACTAATTATTTTTTAGCCGTCATGCCATTGTCAACCCTGAGGACCAAGCTGTAGATCACAGTATTGTGTAATTTCACTGATATATCTCACCTTTAACGCCACACATGACCTAATAAGAACGATGCACATTGTCACATATTTTTGCCGCTAAGACGAATGTATGACACAGATATACCCACGTAGACGACATTTTATAAAATATACCTCGGTATAAATCTCTTGTATTGTAGACAATAAATTATATTCTAAAGTACATTAATTTTTTTTATGTTAACCAAACAGGTACATTATTAAGCCAGAAGTCAAGATGTTGTCGTATACAATAATTCTCTTCGTGATTTCCTGTTGCAATCAACTAACTTTGGCTGAAATCGATAGACGAAGATTTTCGAACCCCACATATTACAATGTAGGAGGAGTTCTATCTAGCAACGAATCAATCGCTTTCTTCAAAGATACAATTTCTGTAAGTATATCCGGATACAATTTCCGTTTACTTAGTCGATCAGCTCAATCAATGAAACTAGTTCGTAAGAAATAATATAATATAAATTATCTTTATTTAAATGTATTTAGTATAAGCACCTTTGATGATAAATGTTCAAATATATACAGTACACCATAAGTCAATTTATTATTATACCGGTTATTCGGTGTGCATATTTAACCGGAAAGAACGGGCAAGAAAAAGACTGTGAGAGTGAAAAATAAAATGAAGTCAATGATAGATAGACCTTATGATATTCCTTTTGGTACCAACCCGGAGGATCTGTTTATAAAATCCTATAGATCACATTCACTGAGTCATATACCTAGTTAAGTTTTATTATCTTCAGTATGTCTTATTGAAACATTTAAAACGGAAACAAACAGAGACTTTTTCATAGAGGCCTGAATACTTTCAGAATTAGTTAATCATAAAATGTATAGGTATTACCAACTATTCTAATAAAGTATATAGTATATTCTTATATAGTCTATTATAATAAAAATATTTTTATGCTTTCAGAAATTGAACTTCAAAGATCAATATGTGCCTCGTGGAGTTACTTATCACGATTATTCAATACTAATGGATCCAAATCCTATAAAAACAGCATTGAATGTTTGCAAAGACCTCATCGCACATCGTGTAAGTTTTGTTATCTATTTCGTTGCGAGTCATTGTTTGGAATACAAAGGTCATGAATGAGAATCTGGACGACACTAAATAATTTCGTGTGGTAATTTATTTCTGACTTATTTATCTGGAGTTATCGGTGTTTCCAATACTGATAACAAAATAAAATTAATCGGAATGACAGCAGTAAGTTTGCTCCAGTATAATCTCTTATCTTCAAATACGCACAGAGAAATTTAGGCGTGTCTAATTCGATAATATGACATTGATAGTCCACAATGACTCCGACTATCCCATCTGAGATTAAAGTCGTAAAAGTTTATATTTATATAAATAATTATGCATACATATGTATGCATAATTATTTATATAAGTAGGTAGAGTCCCAATTTTGATTCTACTACCACAGATGTTTTTAAAATTTTATAGTATTTATTTGTTTTTTTTTATATTTCAGATTTACGCCGTGGTCGTATCTCATCCCCTTATTGGTGATTTGTCGCCGGCAGCAGTATCTTATACGAGTGGCTTCTATCATATTCCCGTTATAGGAATATCGTCCAGAGATTCTGCATTTTCTGACAAAAATATACACGTTTCATTTTTGCGTACCGTACCACCTTACTCACACCAGGCTGACGTGTGGGTGGATGTACTGAAACATTTTAATTATATGAAAGTGATTGTAATTCATAGTTCAGACACTGATGGCCGCGCTATTTTGGGACGGTAAGTTTTAGTGGTTAATAATGGAATGGTGCGGTAGCCTGTGCTAACGGTTTACGCTGGCTGGCTGGCACTATTGGAGCATGAGGTCTGGTCAGTTCTGGTCTATCATGAAACATTCATTAGGAATATATCGCGATAGTTTGCAGGCAAAACTGCGTAGAGGTTAATCTGAAATAGTATATAACCTGCAATACGGTTATTAATCCACATTACTAACAATCCCCTTCCTACTGAGGCGATACAATCTCACAGCACAGCTGCCCACATTTTCGGCTCTTTTCGTTTTTACGAATTATCATAATACATCTACTAAAAAAATATATTTTTAAATAATAATAAATACATAAAGTAAATATGAATATAAATAAATATAATTTTCTCGTAGGTTCCAAACGACATCGCAGAGTATGCACGATGACGTCGATCGTAAAGTAGTGGTAGAGCAGGTCATCGAGTTCGAACCAGGGTTGGATTCTTTCAGTGATAAATTAATGGACGTCAAAGGAGCTCAAGCAAGAGTATTTCTCATGTATGCAAGGTTAGAAAAGTACTGCAGTAATATGATAGAAATGATATATTTAGATACCTGAATATGTTTTATTAAGAAATATTAAAAAAAAACCTACTCTGTACAGTAGGGATAATGATAAAAAAGTATGCCTTCCGTAAGAGGCTAAAAGGTCCGTTAAATAAATAAGTTTGAGATTGACTATTACTGTATACCTAAACTAATAGCATAAGTTCAGTATCAATATTAAAAACTAGCTAAACTAGCAAAGTGCAAAGTTTAATTCAAATCATCGGAGTTATTTCCGTGATAACAATAATTTTATATAGAAACTTATAGAATATTTAAAGGTCGTAAGTTTATCTTGAAATAAAATAAAAAAGTGTTTATTATAAGATAGAGTGATGACCCGTATGCATGTACCCTCAGAAAGTTGCAATCGATGGGAAAAGGCTATGTTCAGCAGTGGAATACTTAGAAAGAAATACATTACGTATAGGTACATGTAAAAATCTCTCCAAGGCATTAGATATTACACTGATTACATGACAACAAATATGTAATAGATAACGGCAAAAAAAAACAACGGGAGATGTTCGTTATGTCTAAGAATTCCATACAGTTGAAATTTTATGAAAAGCATTTTGAAGACGAAGCTAGTTCAGATCCGTTTTCCCAGCTCATAGTTGTCTGCCGCTCACACTTTTCTGGATCTTTTCTAAAATCTTCATATTAATTTACTAATGTAAATACATATAATACAACATATTTCAAATCTTTATGTACCTTCTAAACTTGTACTGCAAGCTCCATTCACTGCCCGCCTTTACTTCGTTGAATATACCTAATCACTTTAAAATTAAACCTCTGTTACTTACATTGTGTCTTATATATTAATTTATTATCTACTTTGAACAGCAAAACAGACGCAGAAATAATATTTAGAGATGCAACATTTTTAAACATGACAACAGCTGGCTATGTGTGGATGGTGACCGAGCAGGCTTTGGATGCAGCTAATGCTCCTGAAGGTCTTCTTGGATTGCGTCTTGTTAATGCTACTAACGAACATGCTCATATTCAGGACTCTATGTAAGTTTGTTGGTATAAATTATCAATTGATTTCAAAAGACCGCACTAACCAGTCTATCTAGGTAGGTACATTAAAATGGGAAATAATCCGTAAAAATAAGTGTGATGTATATAATCTCAGAAGTTAAGCGTGTAGCAAATAGATCGTGAATATCAATTCAGATTATATTACAGTACACATTATTATACCAAGTAATTCCTAAGTTTTATAACATGCCATTTTTGTGAATATCTGGTATTTACGGCGAAATTTGCATAAACTGGATGTATAGTACAATAAGCATTAAGTTTACTTTATTATATTCTAACAGTTACGTATTAGCATCTGCTATTAGAGATATGAATACTACCGAAGAAATCAGTGCTCCACCGTCCGATTGCGACAACTCTGGATCTATTTGGACGACTGGACGGCTTCTGTTTGATTACATACGGAAGCAGAGTTTGGAAAATGGTGCCACCGGTCACGTGGCTTTTGATGACCACGGAGACAGAGTTCATGCTGAATATGATATGGTCAATGTGAGAGCACAAGGGGAACACGTAGCTGTTGGGAAATATTTTTACTCCAAGGTGAGTATATCTGGTGAGTTTATGAACTGCGTGAAGCTTTATGTAGGTATGTCAATTAGGAAAATTATTTTTGTAATTTAGTAACAAATATTTCAAATACACTTAATATAGGTACTTTACGAAGTTGTTTATTTTCTAAATTAAATATGTATGCATTCGAGATTACAGAACATGTAGTGTAAAATGTTAATATGGCAGAAATGTAATAATGTAGTACCTATTTTATGTATTATTTAATTTTATTGGATTTAAATACAGGAGTCAAAAAAGATGCGTCTAGAACTAAAAGAACACGAGATTATATGGATGGGTCGCAGTCCAACTAAACCCGAAGGATTTATGATTCCCACGCATTTGAAGGTACGTTAATAAGTGTTATCAACAAGACACTATCAATCATTGTATCCAATTCTGAAAATATTAATTTCGTGGTTGTGAAATCAACAGATTGTAAAGATAGCTTATAAATAGTAAAATATGTTTAAATATTTTCGGAAAATCTAATATTTTCTTAGATTATGCCATAATCTAAGAAAATGTTATATTTTCCGGTAGCAAGATGATAGACGTTTAACTTTTGTGTCAACAACATCACAATTCTGTATTTTCATTATATTTATCTCCTTGACTTATAGTAGAAAAGAATTTTGCAATAGATATCTAAATTACAATGACAAATAAGTATAAAAATCAGTTGAGTGGTTAAAACAGAAATGCTGACAACTTGTTTAATAATATTGAAGAAGAGAAAAGAGATACCTACACATTTCATTTGATCTTGTAATTGTTATAGGTGTTGACGATCGAAGAGAAACCGTTTGTGTACGCTCGAAGAGTGGAGTCTGAAACTGAATGTGTTGCCGAAGAAGAAATTCTTTGTCCTCACTATAACGCAAGTGATGACATGGGTATTTTAAAATTTTTATATTTATCATTGACATTCACATAATGTCTGTTTGTAGTACCTACCTGTACCTAAATTTTCCAGAACTAGAAGCTTTATGGAAAGATGTAGAATTTATGATTCCTTCCCCTTCCCTTCTTTGGTACAAAGTTTTTTGGATAACTGTTGTAGGTATATGTTTTATTTGGAAGCATAATATCTTAGTCTTCTGAATATAGCTCAAATGAAATCGCGGGCGCCACATGATAACGTGATATCCGTGGGCTCGTTTATGTATGTGCAGCCGCTTACCATCAGGTGTACCGTCAGCTTGTCTGTCGCCCCAAATTCACAAAAAAAGTCTTTTGCGTAACATACATATATTGTACGTTGTTTCACCTAACTTTCAGTTTCAGACTTTTAGAGCAACATATTATTGTTTTCATTATAAAGTATTGTTATTTTGTAGGCCAACTTTACTGCTGCAAAGGATTTTGTATGGATCTGTTAAACAATTTAGCAAAAGTGATAAACTTTACATACTCACTAGCTCTATCTCCGGATGGACAGTTTGGAAATTACGTAATAAGGAATTTCTCAATGCCAGGAGCTAAAAAAGAATGGACGGGATTGATTGGTAAGACTTTTGAATTTATTTGTATACTTGAAACATATATATTTTATTTTAAGTAAAATAACTTGGGAGCCAACACATATTATTGACGAACCTATAATGCGATGTAGAATGAAATCACAATAAGTTCAGTATTGAAATGTATGGATCTATTAAGTTCCTAAACATATTAGCGGGAAGTACAGGCTGATTCTTTTAACTTTATGATTAGATCTATAGTTTTATCAGATTAGAAATGTGATAAGATCCTTTTTACAAAGTTTTCTATATCCCTATTTATCTGGTGCGCCATCATAGCCTCTCATTGTAGATCCACAAATAAAAATAATTACTACAAATTAAATTATACAAATAATAATTACAAAAATTTACCGTTTTCAGGGGAATTGGTTTACGAACGCGCAGATATGATTGTGGCTCCATTAACAATAAATCCGGAGAGAGCAGAATTTATTGAGTTTAGTAAGCCATTTAAATATCAAGGTATCACCATTCTAGAAAAGAAGGTACTACTTCTGTTTAATTTTGTTTGTTTTAACTAAAACTCCATGACAATTACATGACAATAATTATTATCTATGAATATGTTGAAGGGTTGTTATGGGTTTTATACGTGTAGTATAATGAGCTGTAGAGGGTAATGATGAAGTTGATAATGAAATTAATATCAGAGGTTATTGCTTTCTCACCTTCATAGTTTCGATGCATATCTAATTATTTAATTAAAAATATTTTAGCGATTCCAATCTATTAACTTGTTCAACAGCCATCCCGTTCATCTACATTGGTATCTTTTCTGCAACCGTTTTCGAACACGCTCTGGATTTTAGTGATGGTGTCAGTACACGTGGTAGCACTGGTGTTATATCTTTTGGACAGATTCTCACCTTTCGGAAGGTTTAAGCTTGCTAATATTGATGGCACTGAAGAAGACGCTTTGAATCTCTCCAGCGCAATTTGGTTCGCCTGGGGCGTGCTCTTAAACAGTGGTATTGGTGAAGGTAAGTGATTATTAACATTTATTAGTTTAACTTTTTAAATGAGTATTTAAGTAATCTAAAAAGGATGATGCAAGCCCTCTCTGATGTGAAAGGTTTTCAGGGTGCAGTTTTCTATATTTTTTGCTTATGGATAATGATAATATTATATACTTATACTTGATCAAATAATGCCCATGTTTGATTGCCTTCTGTGTTTTAAAAATATTAATCAACGAGATTATCTTCCTTTGAATTACATTAGATACCTGAATTAAAAATTTGAGATTATATAGGCGCCTAAATATATTGTTTTTAATTTTTTTAGGAACACCACGTAGTTTTTCCGCAAGAGTATTGGGAATGGTTTGGGCAGGATTTGCGATGATTATCGTAGCTTCTTATACTGCCAATTTAGCTGCTTTCCTCGTGCTGGAGCGGCCTAAAACCAAACTAACAGGAATTAACGATGCCAGAGTACGTATTATTCCTATAACCCAATACGGCTTCTTATAAAATCTAAAGATCTTAAAGCGTTGCTGTTACATATCTTGGGCAGCCGGAGAGACTTCTTAAGCTTAAGTACCTAGGTAAAAACTAGGTATATACGTGAATTAGAATAGAAATATACATACATGTTAACCAAATATCATTTAAATCCATTCGGTGTTGTTAGGCTTTTAAAATATTTTTTTTTGTTGTAGACATAATAAAGTTCAGACTCTTATATCATATAGGCTCACTTATTTTATTTAATGAAATATGCTAATTTGCACCCGCCTGCCAAAAGTTGGTTTAGCTGGTGTAGCACTAGTGGATGAGAGGAAGTCCATGCAGAATAAAAGGGTTAACTGACCTGGTTAACCCTTTACTTATAGGAAACACTTTACTTATGTTTATTTACTATAAATACATACAATATCGGACAGAATAAACAGTCATAAATAAGTACCTACATCTTGCGGGTACTTTGCCTACTTCCTGATTTATAAAAATATCTTGTTATTATATTACAACAGCGTTGTATGTTTCCAGTTACGTAATACAATGGAGAACCTCACTTGTGCCACAGTGAAAGGATCAGCAGTAGACATGTATTTTCGAAGACAAGTGGAACTTTCTAATATGTATCGAACAATGGAAGCTAATAACTACGATAACGCCGAACAAGCTATTGAAGATGTGAAAAACGGGTAGATATTGCTGTACTCTGTGTAAAGAGTGAGAGTTTATTTGTTAAAGTAAAGTGATTATTCTCTTTAATACTTATTCATTTATATATATGTATATATATCTACATATATAACTACGGTAGGTATACGTACAAATATGTGATATCAATTTTCAACATTTTCGTGTACTTTTTTTATTTATCCTTTATCTTTTGCAAGAAATCCAATACCAAATTTTATGTAAAGCTTACTAGAAAAAACATTAGAAAAAAATTCGGCTAACCGTTTCTGACATTACCCTGCACAAACGCATAGATACCCTGACAAATATTTTAAAAAGCATTGTTTTGGGTTCCTGTGTATTAATAATGTCCCTCAACATCATTAATTTATTTCCCATATCTTAATAATATTTATTTACCAATATATACAGTAGTATCATAATTTATTTACCAATAGGTACAGTAAAATGTTAAGGCCATATTACACACGTAAATTGATAAAACTTTAAATGTCTTTTCTGATGTTATTATTGTTCCAGCAAGCTAATGGCGTTTATTTGGGACTCATCGCGATTAGAATTCGAAGCTGCACAAGATTGTGAATTGGTCACAGCCGGTGAATTATTCGGTCGTTCCGGTTATGGTGTCGGCTTACAAAAGGGCTCCCCGTGGGCGGATTTGGTCACTTTAGCCATACTGGACTTCCATGAAAGTAAGAATTCTTTATTTATTTAGTTTTAAGGATCACTAACATCAACAATGCAATACAATATACAATATTGCAATGTATATTGTATTGGACTTGCTTCAATTTCACTACTAGCGGTCTTCAAACTAACTGTTCTTATATACAGCTAACTACAACAAATTATACTTATACCTACGATTATCTTTAACCGCGACTTCTATCGCGTAGGATTTTCCTTTTTATTATAAATATTTTTTCTAAAATATAGATATGTGGCATATATACATTACTTATTAGCACATTAGGTATCTACGAGAACCGTTTCAGAGATTATTGTTAATCTCTGAAACAAACAGACAGACAGATTTTTTTTTAAATATTTTGTTTGATAATACCGTGTACACTTTCATATGTATTTAGTAAAAAGCCGTTAAGTTGAAATTACAAACAGACACTTATTTATTCTGGATAGAGAATTGATTTGAGAGTACATAATTTAATTTGTGCGTTTGATGATCTTGGGTATTTCTGAGAATATAACAGAATGAGAAAGTTAACTGATTTATTATTATTAACTAGCTTCTGAACTTATATATTCAATATATTGTGTAGCGAATATTCAGTTCGTATTGTTAGCATACTGTTAGATATCTTTTTTTTTAAATAACAACACAAACAAATGTTTGAATGAAAAGTTGTTTCCAGGACAAAAATAATATACAACATGTGGAATAAGTATTACCTATAGTATATTTTACTGAGATAGATTCACAGACAGCAACGGTACCACCAGAATTACCACCAACCTTAAAACTTACTGACCACGTAATCAGAAATCTGAATATCTTGTAGATTTTTGTAGACCACATCTCGTACAAACTTGTATAAGGTTAAAAATGTCCTCGTATTAAAGGACAAAATCTTATGAGACTGTAGGCAGTCTCATCTTTTTCAGTCGCCAAGCAGCTTATATGTTAATGTTAACTGTGTCTCGGTTGAAAGGTGTGTAATAAGGTAGTGAAATTATAATAATAACGTGTAATCGGTACTTATCCTTGGTATCACAGTATAACATGATGTCCATAGTATATAGGTAACGGTTACCACTTACCATCAAGTTAGCATGACACAAATGCAACGTGTCTTTTTTTTAAAGAGCACGTGACCGCTATTGAGTATTTGTAGCTCGTATCTATACTGTTATGGTAAAAACTGTAAAATGTATTTGTAGGCGGTGTTATGGAGAGCCTGGATAACAAGTGGATTCTTAGAAACAATATGCTGAATTGCGAGGAGAATGAGAAAACGCCGAACACTTTAGGTTTAAAAAACATGGCGGGCGTGTTTATACTCGTATTGGCGGGCATTATCGGAGGGATAGTGCTTATAGTTATAGAGGTGGTCTACAAACGACACCAGATACGGAAGCAGAAGAGGATGGAAATCGCACGACACGCTGCCGATAGGTGGCGTGGCTGCGTTGAGGTAAAAAAAGCTGAGGCCATAGCGGATAACTACGCCAACATCAAACATCAGATAGAGAGCAAAATATAAAATTGTCTTCGTCCCCATATAATCGTAGGCTGAAAGTATTGTTGTAGACCAATATTTTATATTCAAAATATTTATCAAAAATAAACACTTTTCATGTTCATTAGGTATATTGTTAATTTTCATCACAATTTCACCCCGCTTCTATATAGTGTCGATTTTGTTCGACGGTGTCAAGTTCTGTGTTGTAAAACGTTGTATTCACAACTACTGTACATAATAAGTATGTTTTACACTCATAACCAATGAAATGCTTTGCTAATTTGTCCCCCCAGCACAGTCTTTCGGTCATCCTACAGTACCTACTTACGTAAAAGGTGACAACATTATTACTTTCTTTTAAACAGCATAGTATAAAAATAAAGAACAGTTAGAAGCTAGATTATTAAAGTAAGTAGAATTAACACATATATTTACATAAAGATTCGAAGAATCAGAATTCCAAAGGCTTAGCGGATTTCTATAAAAGAATACCTGCATTTCACCTAAAGTAGACAATCAACCTATTTTCTTACGTCTCGAAACACTAATTTCAATTTAGATAATATTTGAAGTAAAATATTTTTTTTATTAAGATTTAATGCCATGCAACGTCCTATTTATATATTACCGCTTCGCTCCCCTCCTGCATCAAGCAAGCTGCATGTATCTAGTTTCATGCAATTAACGCATTTAAAGGGTGGATACTAATACCTTATTCTTTTCAGAAGCGTAAATCGTTGCGAGCTTCTTTGTTGCCGTCACAGAGACGCGTTAAATCAAACGGAGTGAAGGAAGCAGGAAGCATCAGCCTGGCAGTGGACAGAGGCGCAAGGCGTCGAGATGAGCCGAGGGTACCACGCTATCTACCAGCGTATACTCCTGACGTATCTCACCTTGTCGTTTAATATATATTGTTTGTTACCATCTAAAAACATAGAAAATGCATTACTGCGTTTTTAAAAGAAAACAAAGTACCACCCATATACTTACACTCAGAGAACGCTATAGGAGGATATATAAAATAGATCGAATTCGATTGTTTCCATTCTATTCTGTACGTGTATGGAGAATAGTATATTTTGGCGGTAGTTTATTCCTGTTGTTTATTTTGTGAATTACATTAATAAGGATAATTTTATATTGCGCTGACAGCGCCCGTCCGTTTATCTGTCTAAACACTTTTAGGTCGTTTATAGTCTAGAATTTATAATACACTCTCATGATATATAATAAATTGTTCACTATAAATTTGGCCAACTTACACTAAGGCTTTAAGAAGTAATACATCATATTTATTATTCTGTATTGGCTTTGGTGTTCTACCACGTGGCTGGCGTGGTATTGACCACAACTGCAGAATAATTACGTTTGTAAAATAACATGTAATGTGTTTCTGACGAGCTAATATTCAAAGTCGTCAATTAAAATGAATTCCCCAAGTTATGGAACACCAGATATATATTTAAGAATATTAATAGTTTATTCGATACGTTATATCGTATAGGCACTATATTAAAATTAAATTGACTAGATAGACAAATAGGAATAGTTATTAAATTTGTCTTCTCAGCTCAAAGGGTCCCACTAAGGGTGACAACCCCTAGTGGGATAATGCAGCAATTGTACTATACTATTTTATTTTTACTATATTATATTATTCTAACTCCTTTATTTATTGTCTTACCTTAATAATTAATTCTATTATTTTTATATTTACTTGTATTTACAGCAAGTGTTTAAGAAACTTCAGATAATTACGCATTACAAGAATCGATATTGTCATAAAAATACAGAGAAATAAAGCAGGGAGCTATTTATGATGTTTACGATTGTTATTCAATTTGAATTTTTAACAGAAATATATTTGTTTCTATGTTTGAGAAAATAAAAAGTTATTTTATTTATAGTAGTAGTTTTAATGTTATTGTCTTATGACAATATACTTGCAAGGTGGGTTACCTAATATTAATAACACAATGTGACATAATTGAAAGACCAATTTCAACACATCTATATATTTATGTACATAAGAATTTGAACAGTGCCATATGCGAATTATATTAATATCCTATTTAAGAGCTATAGTGCTCCTGAGAACATAAATCTAAACGTTAAATTGCCAGAAAAGGTGGAACAAAGTAGGAATATCTTGACAACTGAAAGATTCTAACTTAATACCACACTGCAACCAGTCAAATCTTCATATCGATTTAAGTGAACATAGCATGGGATGCTGCTATCAACTCAGAATCTTACGGTCACCAAAATTTCCTTGTAGCGAATAACATGATGCTCGAACGAGATTAAATAACAACATTTATAACAGGAAGGTACATTATACATTTTTACATACAGATAAAATTAACCAACCATTAAATAGTGCCGTTGTGGTTTGTGTTACAATACTGCAAGTCGACCGAAGCTGGGAGTACGTCTTACCCCTTAACAGTATCAATTATCCAATATATATTTCATTACCTATTAAAATGGTAACATTGTCTTATTTTAAACGTTTCAAAACCCTATAAACTACATCCTCTAAAATACATAGAACAGCGTGTTATACGAATGAATTGTAATAATAAAACATTAATCTGCGAATACGTTGGAAGTTATAGTTGGCGAAACTATCGTACAGTTAGAGTAGGACAAAACACATTAATATTCACACTGATTAACCAGAAACCAGAAACATGATCACACATAATTAATTATACATTTTCTGGAGACTTAGCGGGACCATTCAGTAGTATACATTCTAAACAGCGATAAAATTGTACGCATTATTATAATATATAATTAATTAGGCAAAGGAAAACACTAATTATAATATTATTATTATAACTATAGATTATACGATTTATTTAAATAATTGTTAGTAATAACAAGTGTGAATATAAAGTCACCGCTATCGCTTTAATCGGCGAATTTACGGTTAGGATTACGACCGAACAGAGCTGTACGTATTTCGGGCAGGAGCTGCTGGGCTATCAGGTCCAGACGTGACTCCAAGGTGTTGCTGATCTGGAATGTAACAGAACAATATTATCATACTAACAGTACTAATATTTTCGAATCTACTGAACGCCACAGAAATATACACATTTCTCTGAGATATTACTGCCATTAAGACCCGATATATAGAAAAGGTGAGCTTTTTTTAAATAGGTCTATCTAAACTATTCATACGCATATAATCTAGACAGCTAATTACTTACTGTATCTTATAATTTAAGACTCAATTATTGGAATTGAATCACTTTTCAATCGATTTTCAAAACACATGAGGAATAAAGCATTATTTTAGAAATAATACTAACAAGTGACAATGATTAAAATACACAAATAAAATTAGTTCAGACCTTCAAGTTCAAATAGGTTGAATATTGTACAGAAGTAGTTATATCCGTATCAACGAACAACAGGAAACAAATTGTATTCTGCATGACAATATTTTTATTGAACTTACCTTTATACGTCCTCTGGCGGCAATGAGCTCAACACCGCCACAGGTGTCCGCTGGCAGGTATGCCTCGGAGTCCACTTTGAGCTGGACATCCTTCTTGATCTTTGCCTTATAGTCCTGCTGGGCACGGCCAAGCAGCGACTCTACTAAAGACTTGTCCGCCTGTCGCACGCGGATTGTCACGGCAGGTTCCACCAACTGTAAAATATTATATTATATATATACATACTATGTCTGCCGCTATGATAATCTTCTATTCAAGAAGTATGTAAGACCTGTAAGACCTAGTCTACACGTGATAGTCAAAAACAATAGAATTGAAATGATAATTTGGAAGTACATTTTTTTTATAATGAAATAATACAATATGATTTTCTTTTGGCTTGGACAATCCATGCCTTATTTTAATTGTCCGAAAACATTAAAATACAATGCCTGCTTTATTTTAATGGTCCGAAAACTTTAATTCCAAAAACTTTTTTTAGTTAATGCAAGTTTACAGAGCTAATAATAATATTACCTGGAACAGAGCTTGTACAATGAGTGTAACCAGCAGATCTGAATACAATTTGGTGTCCTTGGGCACCTCAGCCAGGCGCTTGCGAGCCTCGTCCAGCACGTTACGTACGTGATCTTCACGTACTTTGAGTACCTTGAGACGAGCTTGGTTCAGCATGTTCGAAGATTGACTGTTAGAAATAATTATTGATTTAGAACATGGAACGATAGGTTTTTAGAAGTTTAAAAATTATTATTTACTGAATAGTAATGGGGTTAAAATCTGAGATGCTATATTAATAATAAATAGAAATTATTAAAACTTGCTTAATATTGTTTTTATTTTAATAACAATGAATTGACTCATAGAGGTTGATAATATAACACTGTCCCACATTATCAATGAAAAAAATGCAGTTTTAGAGACACATTAAGTTTTATAGTACCACTGACCACCAACAAACATTATTCGCATTTGGTGATGGTCAGTGTGTAATATAAATCTTAATAGCTAAAGGAATTTAGTCACGATTTTAATGTTATCATCATCTGTTTCATTCTCTTATCTCATTTTGAATTGGTGTAATATGTTATTCTCTTCCATTCATCCCTGTTTGCAATCATTTCGTTATTTACTCTTACCATATCATCTTTAACTCAGTCCATTCATCGCTTTTTCACCTTTCTCTGCCCTTATTACCACCAACATTCATATGTAACGCACTTTTGGCATGTAATAATTTTTAATCATTCCTCTGACTTTATGGAAAACAACCCAAGCAAAACTCTATTTATGGAGTATCGAGGTATTACAACTTAGTAATAGCAACAAATTAAGGATAACCATAAGGGTAACCATGATGATGTGTTGTCCATAGTGCTGTTTATGTATACCGATGTTCCCACAGTTATAAAAAAATCTCAAAGTTCAGGAGAAAATTAGTGAAAATAAATGTTGAAACTGATATTTTGGTACTATTAAGTTAACTTATATATTCTATACAATTGTCTACAATCATGACATATTTGGGAATCCATAGACCATGATAATGACTAGTCAGAATAAGTATGAACAGCATTATATACATTGACTTGATTGACTGAATACTACACTTGTATAATTTCATGACTGTAATTTAATTACCATCATATAATTATAGAATGCAGTCTGCATATGCTACAATAGATTGTTTTAGATATCATTCTTTGTAGTTGCTGTTGTTGTTAAACTTTATGTACAAAATTTTTATGACTGACCTAATTGTGTTTGACTGACACCTATTTGATCAGTAAGAAACTGATAAGGGCAGCTAAAGTATTGAATAAAACATGCAGTTAAGTGTTATATTCATGGAAAGAATCAACAAATTGACAACAACCTGAAACTGACTATTATATATTGGAGATTATCATCCAAAAGATATTGTTTAATACATTTTAAGATATATAAATTATATTTAAAAAGTGTGTAAAACATAGTATTTTTTACTAAAGATAAGCACAACTTTAGTGTTATCTAAAGATAACAATTATGTAATCACTCCTATCATGTCATTCAAGAAACAGGGCAGTAATAAAATTAAATATTTGATATTTCATTGAGAACAACTGTATGGTTCCAGTTGCATATGCTTTGTACTGTGGGTTATTTATATTCAGTATGAGTAAGATAATATAATATTATGTTACACACACTGTTCTTACTCTGTTTTTAATATCCACCTATTTATTACCACATAATTCCTATTTTAAAATGAGCAAAAATGCAAAAGATAATTTTAAAATAATCTGTAAGATAAAGTAACAATAACATAGTGTGAATTACATATGTACATAGAATTAACACTTTGTCATGTGACTACAATCTATCACCAATGCCATAGTTAAATATTATGTTTTCATTTCAAGATTAATTATTCTGCAATATATAATAAAATGATTAAGTAATTCTGTGACTGTACTAAAAACAAAAGCATATTGTTAAAAAAATGTGCAAACACTAATGCACACAAGTGTTATATGGAATGAAATTATATAAAAACTGGTACAATGTAAATGTGTATATAGTAATTTGCACTAAGTATAAAATATAAGTACTTGTACTAAAATCTGTAAAATCATGAGATGGAATGTCAAGCATGAAAGATTGGACAAGGTTAGTCACAAGATCATTTTGATATGTGACTAATATTTTGTTGTTTTTTTTACGATGTAAATACGATTTTGTTGTATTTAAGATAAAGAATAAAATAGTAAAACTGTATAATATTAGAAGGATTATCAGTATAAGTACTTTCTAAAGGAGACCTACATCTTTTTCTGGAGTTCAACTTGTTTCTCTTTCTTTTCATAATACTCCATGATTTTAAGCCGTTGCTGCTGTACCAGACGGCCCTTCTCAATATTGAACTCCTCCTCAGCCTTCGCATCGATTTCTTCAGCCTTCTCATTGGCCTCTTGTTCGATGAAGGCCATCATGTGTTTGATCTGTTGGAAAAATTATACAATTTTTATGCAAAAAGTAGTTACTATATTGGGAAAACATCGTACATTTATACATTGAAAACTGGGAACTAGATGAAGTGTAAAGGGAGTTCGATCAATCATCCTGACAAAATCATGTAGTGTGGCGATTCCTACATTCCATTGATTTATTAACGTACATACCTGTTTTTGAACATCTGCATCGCTTAGCGCCATGGCTGATAATTATAATTTAACACCACTAACACGTAAAAGAACCGATATAGAGCCAGAAAACTAAAAACTGGCTTGAAGAAGTAAGACGACGCCTATCAGACGTGCACCTTCATTGAACAATCATATGATTTCAGTGTTGCCAAAGTTATACTCTATGATTCCAAAAGTAACCATAGAGATATTGTCTATTATAATTTCAAAAAATTCTAGGTTCAAATTTTAGTTCAAAACTTGTCCTAGAAAATTTTATTTCCTTATTTTCTATAGGATATACATGCGTATTTGTATATGAAGGTATATAATAGCTGTAATTCGTACGTATTGTTTATCAAGGAATTAATTTTTAATCTTAAAATAAAATACAATATAATGTATGAACTACCTACATCGTTCATTTTGAAAAGATTTTCATAAAACTTTTGAGGTATATATGTTATGTATGGTAAACTCACAATATTGAAATTTCTTAAATACTTTTAAAAACATTAGTTAGTATTCAAGAAAAGTACTTGTAGTTTTATATATTTAAATATTAATATTGATTGATTCAATATTTGTCTTATGTTATGGAAGTTAAGTACCTTATACTTATACTTACATGCGTATAGGGTACTGGCACTAGTAGTCGGCCCCGCACCAGTACTCAGCCTTTTTCGGTTTAAAACCAATAGGAATAGCGCTATAATAGAAAATACCTAATCAAATTATTTTAAATAGCTTCTATGACTTCTCATTGCTATAATTAAATCCAAACATAATAGCTACGTGGCTGCGAAGTACATTAAATATGAATCTATTTCGACGTCATCGGCTGACGAGGCGACATGCGGCGTGCGCGCCATTTTTTTATTAGTGAGAAGCGTTCACAGAAACGGTAATTTATTTCATTATTTTGTTAATTTTAGGCCACATTGTATTAAAATTTACATTAATTAATAGTTTTTTGAAAAAATGTTTTTCTTAAGAATTATTAAATAATGAAGTTACTGGGTCCCATTTTTATATACATTATCTAGTACTCAAACCCCTGGTTGACTACTGGTTTTAACGCTGTTTGTCAAAAACCCAATAGTCGGCCACTTAAATAGTTAGTTTATTGCATGGCTGAGTACTGGTGAGTAGACCCAGTGTTCAAGTCCATATTTAAATTGTTTTTTATATAGTTTTTTATACAAAAAAAGAAAAAAAGCAGCTCTAGATTCTACCAAAAGTAAAGTGAAGGAGACTACAAAGAAGAAAAATTAATATTGAGCGTAAAATGCACAAAGACAGGCAGTGATTTATTGGAAATCAAAACAAAATAAAATTAAAATTCTCAGTAATATACTTCTATATCCTGAAACTCCTCTGTAAGGAAGATAAGCTCCTAAAAAAATTGTTAATCGGCGACTTTTAGAAAACTTGAAATCTTTTTAAATACTGATGTTACTAAAGAAGTTTCCGACTGATTTAAATATAAGTTAGATAGGTATTTGATTGTTGTGATTGTTAGGGCACAGTTAAGTCCTTTTAGGTTCTATGACCGGACTAATTATTTATTAATGTTCTTAATCTTTAAGCTTGAAACTATTGATCTTAAGAGAGGCTGACCACTGGTGGCAATATGGCTGAGTAATACTTGAAAAGTGCCTTATTTTGTTAAAAAGTATTTTTCACTTTATTAAAGGATAAATTTGTAATTTTTGTTAATTTTGTAACAAAGTTTAATAAATAAGTAAGTTAAATTATACAAAAGACTTTCAATTTACTCTTTCTAATATTTTCTTATATAAGTTTGAACCCAGACTTACCACTAAAAGGCTGACTACTGGTGCCAGTACCCTATTTATTTTCAGTTCTCAATTGCAAAATTCGGGTACCGCAAAGCAAGGTAAGTATTCGGTTAAAATATGACAGACTAAAATTTACATATTTTTAAATATTATATATGATTAAACTATGAATAATTATTATTGGATAGTGTTGTCGTCATACTCAAAATATCTTCAAAATTTATCTATCAAATAATGAATAAACCTTGGTAAAGAAACAAAATAAAAAATACTTTCGTTAATGGTAATTTATTTATTTTTGACATTAATTACTTAATATTATTTATAATCAATCGAGCAACCGAACAATGTTTTTCCTTCATTAAATTAACAAATATCTACAATTTTAATACAATATAAACATAGAAAATATATGACTTTATAATCTGTCTTTTGATGTTTATAAAGACAAGTGGTATAATTAGTATCATAACTGATATATCTTGATACCTATGTTTCCGTTTTTAACAATATGGCCGCCAGTTGTTTAGGGTAATGTGGCGTTCGAGAAAACTGAGTGAAATTAATAAAATATTTATATGTGACGTAAAGATGTATAAAGTCTTCAATGTTTTATAGCAGTGTTTAATGACAGAGACAGATTTACCTTTATTTTTATTTCGTGTATAAATTTTTGGACACTTAATAATCGTTTTCTAAATTGAACAGTCAACAAACTTTTGTTTATTTCATTGCAGTGAATTTGTTTGTTTCTTCAGATAATATTCTATTATGAACCATCCATACGTGTCTTGAAATAGTGGATTAAGGATAGACGTCGACACAATAGGTAAATGTTGAGTATTTTATTCAGAAGCTAGTGAATTTACAAGCAGTCGCCATTGTTTGACAGCCAACGAATAATCATCACAAAATAATGATCTTTATTATTGCTTTATCTGTTTATTTTGTTTATATTAGTATCTAATTCCCCTAATTAATACGTGGTTTATACACTCGTTTAATTGTGTATATTAGAATGCACGGTAACCTGATTTTATCAACAAACAGTTGTCTTTTAGAACGTTTCACTGATATCGTATGCTAGCTTTTATTCTGTAATCTTTTCATTGTGTCTAAATGAGGCTACACTGTTGTTTTTATAATGTAATAAAGTTTTTTTCATTGATTTAATGATTCACCTTTAGGTTACGTGCTTATTATAGGTTAAGAAATTTTAAACTTATTATTATTTGATGTGTTGATTTAAAAGTCATATATCTATATAACAGTAGTGTAGTACAGTCTTACTGTATTTTCATATCTGTAATTATTCTTTACACATAGTTTTTTTTCCTTAACAGTAACATGTATATGACCTTAAATTTATCTAACAGGAGTTGTTTATTGTATGAGTACATGACCTACTGCACTGAATGTGAAATACTCATGTACAACCAACAAAGTGAAGAATTGTTAAATATAAAATTTGAAGTTGTGAAAGTGGACAAATATATTGTTTGGCTATTTGAAATGTTAGTACTCGGAAAGCATCTTATCCAGATTTGTAAATAATGCCTATTTGGAATTTAAGTAATTTAGATTAGATGGTATTCTATTAAATTATTATTTGAAAGGTTTCAAGTTATTAATATTTTTATTTTACTAGTTTTACTAGAATAAATACAATGAATATTTTATATGTAGTTACAATTACAATCATGTGATATAATAAATATTCAAGTTATAAGTAGTTAAAGGTTTGTAGCTGTAATAATTTAGTGTATAATTAGTATTATTACAAATAAATAGAGGTAGAACTTCTATGCTAATCAAGTAAATAATTATATTGCAAACAGTGGGTAGGCAGAAAAAATATTATCATGGCTTTGCTATAAATCTACATGGATTAAAATTTACATTACCAAAGTGAACATTTTTGAAGTTTGAACATTGCTGGTGTTTTATTATTATTATTATTATTACTAGACAAGTACTATGAGAATATAGGTAGAAACAGACATAGGACAAATTGTGGCATTTTCAATACATATTTATTATTTATTCACTTTAAAAAAAAAAAACTAATTTGTCTATTTACTATTTATTAATAAAACTGCAATACTTTATCGCATTTTTCATATGACATTTATCTCTAGTCTATCATAATACCATTTATTATGACATAAACCAATTTTGTTAATATAAATGGTAATTAATACAATTTGTAATTTCTACAATTACTATAAATTCAAAATTGTAATGAAATGACTGGAACTAGAGTTAACAAATGAATTAGAAAGTAAATAAATAAATAAGATACATTAATAAAACTGCCATAAATATGTGTATATTAAAATGTTTGTTTGTAATACTTATATATAAACTATATAAAAGAACACCTTTAATTTATAAAATATATGCATACAAAGGCAGACTTATTCCAAAAGAGGGATTACTTTCAGGCAACTTTTGAATGTCTAAGAGGAATTGTGGAGTGATGAAAACAGGTACAATAAACAATATGATGCTACTAATTTCATTAACAAATTGATAAAATTTGATGCCACTATGCATCCTATGTAGTTGTAGTCCACTAATGCATAAACAAAATATCTTCTTTGGAAAGTACACACATTATCCTGAAGAGATATAAACCATAGCACCTAACAATACTCAAATGTTGATCGAACATTGATATAGATCTAAACACATTGTTATAGTTCAAATACCTCAATAAAAACAATATTTCATTCTGGTGTTTATAAATACTTAGTGTAAAATAATATATTTTCCAGGTTATGGCAAACTTGAATTTCCAGCAAGCGCCTAGAAGCCTAGCGAGCAGCGGGGTGGGCGGTCGCGTAAGCTCTGGGCTAGTCGGAGGAGTCTCAGGACATGTGACGCCGACGTTTGGGGGCGCCCTGTCGCCTGGACGGGGGTCCACGGCGATGCCAGGTGGCGCCCCCGCTGCTATGGCCTCAAGAACAACCCTTTTCGGCCAGCGAGCGTTCGCGGACAGGAGGGTACCCATGCCGACGACACTGTCACAGCAACCCAACTCTAATTCCATTGTGAGGACTGTTCTTTTATTCCATACTAGTATTACAAAAGTGATAGTATGTCTGTCTGTCTGTTTATTACCTTTTCATTACTAAACATCCTCGCCTTCTTAATTAAATTGGATATGAAGAAAAATTGCATCATGTGGATGGACATAAACTATGTTTTATAGCAGAAAATAATTTAGAACAGGATGAAAGTTTGATAACATTGTAGTTAACAACTATTAAGCTCATATTTTGCAGTAATGGCATGGCACTTATTCTGTTCTGATATGTTACCATTCTTCAAGTATTTAAAATTTCAATTATGTTGTGATGTGTTAATTTTTCAACCTCAAAATTATATTAATATATGCCAGTCATTATTCTAGCTTAGAATTTAGCAATTGTCTAACAAGTATATATATGTAACCTACTTCCTTTGTTGAATTTTGTTGTTGTAATGCATTGTGTGTAACATGTCATGGTCTAATACTATTGGAATAAATTTTTAGAACTATTCATTCATCATTAATAATTATTTTAAGTAAAGTTGTATAATCTTTGTATTAATATGCGAAGAGTACCTTCTGCATAGAAATTTCATGTAAGGTTCATTATTATTGACTGAATTATGATGATAAATTTGTAGAAAGTATACATGTTGACTACTTTTCATGCATTGTCCACATTTTTAGTAAATTAATATTATTTAATAATGATAAAATGTATGTTTTTAATCAACAGTCGAGTATGGGTAACCTGTCTCGGTTTAACGCCGGCAGCAATTACCATTCTGTGTTCGGCGAAGGCGGGGACACATCAACGCCACCACTATTAGATCTAAGCGAGTTTCCATCGCTGACGGCGCGCGGGGCCGGGGACCAAGCGCCGGCCGCAGCGCCGCCTCCCCCTGGCTCTAAACCTTACGGTACCAAAATTCATACATTACAATATTTGATATAAGCAATTAAAATAAGGAAAGGTTTCTTCTCAGAAAAATATAACCAATTATAAAGGTGCTTTCACCTAAGTAGTTTTTCTTGTAATTTAATCTAAACAATGCCTCAAGTGACTTGATTTTAAACACGTACATTCTTATTTTGATCGCTTTGCATGTCCAGGTAGTGAATCAAATAATGTAGTTTTTATTAGCTCTTTTATCTTCCAATTACACAATAGGACATGATTCTCAATTCGGGATAATTTACAAAACTTTATATTTACGTTCACTCTCATATTTGCCAAAACTGAAAAATTTCGATAAATTTTTTTGGAGTCGATAGGACTTTTATTTATTAGTGTTACCACAGGGTACATAATAATAATAAATTATTCTTCCTACTCTTGTGATACGCACAACAAACCAAATGTGAGGCTAAATGCGGAAAACAGAGTTCATACCACTCTTGTGAGAAGAATTCAAGTTGTATATGTACATGAAGGTGATGAGATTAGTGTATTCGACAACAGTATTAAGTGTCCTTTGAAGTATTTGACAAATATTTTATATTTATTCAGAATATGACTTCGATTTGAAAAATGCTGTAATATTAATGAAATATATACGGGCAGTCCATATATTTTCGGGATTGAATTTCTAAAAAAATGCAAACCTTTCATTTGGTCTGTATAACGATACAAAATTAACATCATTATCAATATTTTGCATGCATATTTAATGTTGTTTACACAGTCTGGAATCAATATCATATCTTATTATCATATCGAATATGTTTAATGTAAGTAAATTCTCTGTCTGTGCCATAGGGGCGTGTATTTATATACACATACTAATCTGTGATATCAGCTGATATTTATCGAATTTATATATTACGCATATGTTTTTGTTTATAGCGTCTAGATAGTTCTGTGTAAAATTTGTAGATAAATACGTTACTATGTCGTTAATTATTCGGTGAAAATAATGCTACATAGCATACATTTTACCTAATAATTATTTGTTTTAGTGATTCATAATCCAAATTAACCCTATTGTTAATTGTGTTGTTTGATTGTCGTATAGGCATACGACAAGAAGTTGCCATTTCATTTAGAAAGTATAGGGCTACTAAATGAAATGACAACTTTAACATAGAAACCGGGGTTGCTTAAAAACTAAATATAACACTTATATTGTGTATACTGTTCGCGCTCTACTGACTGATTAATTTAAACGAAAGAATAAATCAATAGTAGAATAAAGTAGCGACTATTGAATCTCGGAACAGGAGCTAATGCTGAATATACTCTTTGCAATTGGCCTAAATTCAATTAGTGACGATGTTGGTGTGCTCTTTGTAGTGGGTATGGTGAAGCAGCCAACATCCGAGCAGTCGGAATTTACGATGTCGTCAGAAGACTTCCCGGCGCTACCCGGCACGTCGACGACGGGCGCGAGTGCGGCGGGCGCGGGAGCGGGCGCGGGCGCGGGCGCGGGGCCGGGGGCGGGGGCGGGCGTGGGCGCGGGCTCGGTGGTGGCGGCGGCGGTGGCGGCCGCGGGCGTGTCCGCGCCGCAGCCCGGGCCCCCCGCGGCCTCTCACGCTCACCCCTCACACGCCGCCCTCGCCGCAGACTACACCAACCACAATACGGACAAACCCAGAAAAGGGATACAGACCTCGCCTGATGGTGAGTATTGATTTTTATTATATACTATAGAAACAAATTTCAAAAAGTTTCCATGCTCGACTTTATACTGGTTGATATGGCAAACTTTATTATAATATCGCTAATAAAATATAGGGGTTGGTTGTAGAACAGTTAAAATATAGGAGCGTATGTATTTTTACATACCACATTATAAAGAAATATGACTAAATATTTTGTACGTCCAAAAAATAAAAATAATATTTTATTAGGCACATAAATCATTACCCTTATCACTTAGGTACATAAATAATAGATAACAATTTATTTTCAAACTTACCGAGTATACATGTAAAATTTTATCAAAATCGGTTAAGCCGTTTCGGAGAAGTACACTAGTAAGCAGCAAGCAGTAGTTAGTGGCAAGTAACACTGTGATACAAGAATTTTGTATATGTATAGATAGGTGAAGCTATAGTCAATAGTATATTTGAAGTTATTAACATTTATCGTAATCTTAAAACGATGTTATGGTAGTGTATTGGGTGCCTGTTTTTAATGATTTAAATTATTGTAAACAACCGATTTGCGAGTTGTTTATATCTGTTTAGTCATTTAATAGTTGTAGTTTACATAAAAAATTGATTCAGTGTAATGCCTTAAATCATTATAAACATGTTTATTTGTGAGGTAATAAAAAGTGGTCAATCCGGTCCAATGAGATCTTTTCAGAACATATCTATAAAAACAATGAATGATAATATATCATATATTATTCTCAATAATTTGGTTTGAAAAATAAAATAATTTATCTTTTTAATGTATTAAGTAATATGTAATTGCAAATTCCTATGCTAAATATATAATGTGTTTATGTAAAGTATGTTTTGGTTTTCATAAAACAGAACCTGTATGCATTTAAATGCATGCATAATTATCATTAATGTAAACGTATATCTGATCTTTGCTTTTTCTCCCCAAAAGTTGTCAGTCAAGGAGCACATACGGAATTATATGGTGTGTATTGAAAATGTAGAAACTGTTAATAATATTTAATTTTATAATAGTAATTTGTTTCTATGATGTAACTACGTAATAATAAGCCATTCAGATTTATGAATGAATCAATGAGTTTATTTTATTACAAAGAACAACCATTTTACGTCAATATTATGCGGATTTCAATGAAATTTGTTTAGTGACTCAGCGATGGGATAAAATATGCTGTGTGTAAAAGATCTATGCAGACCTATTTACGAAGTTAGAATTCCTATTGCATTATTGTTACTCTTCTGATAGTTACATGGCACCCTTATTCTTCTGTTAGAGGATTGCATTCACGTTTTCATTAAATACTATTTCTGTCTTTTGAATAAGTAATTACTACTGACTAAAGTTGAATCGCAAAACGAAAATCCCAGTTCACTTCTCACAGTCTTATTTTTTAACCTAATTAGCTATATAGCATAAAAACGCGTAATTTCATATTTTATGTATGAACTATTTCGTACATGCTAATTACATTTAGTTATATGTCCTTTAATGATAAGGTACACTCATTGATAAAGCTTTATTGCCTGTGACAACGAGGTCTTTGTTGTTGATATATATATATATATATATTGTCCATTATAATTGTGTACATAATAAACTGTACACATGTTGAAGCATCTGGATGACATTAGAAATCTGTGACCAAGTAGCATCGCATTATTAGGGCCTTGTTGTTCCACTTGAGACGCGGTAGATTGCTAACGTGACCCCATGTCTTCGCCAATGGTAGACCGGAGGTATACCGTGTGGTTTTAAATCGGTAAAAAACCCACTCATAGCCCTCCTTCCACCGAGTGGTTAATCTTTGCAAGACTTTCCATACGTTAAAATACTTTCGAAAGTTCTCGCACAATATACATATTTGTATCCTTCAGTATGATTACTTGTAATACTCTGGGTGTTTTATACGTGTATTATGTATGCATTTATATAAGAAAAGTATTTTTTAGGTGTACTATACCTACTACCCATACCATAAGCCCTGCTTTGTACTATGTTATGATTTATGGCACTGTGTTGTTATAATTATTATTATTAAAAATAAGTTTTTATTAATTAATTATTAGTAGCATAATAGTACATTGGGTTTTAAAAACAACAATTGTAATATTGTCTTGTTTTTAGGTACAGTAACGAACATACCAGAGACGATGATACCAAATCAGTTTGGTATTGTAGGACTGTTGACGTTTATACGGGCAGCCGAGTCGGATCCCAGTTTAGTGTCGTTGGCGCTAGGTCAGGATCTAACGGCATTAGGACTGAATTTAAATTCACCGGATAATTTATATCTCACGTTCGCCGGACCATGGGCGGATACACCCTGCAGGTAAATATTTATATTACTTCATTGATTTATCGTATTTCCTGAAATTCTGCTACCTTTAGCATGCGTGAGACCATAGATATTCAGTGCGAAAACCTGACCTATTGGTGATCAAATTTCGACTTTTATTTAGTCTATACCCATATTGTGACACGTGTTTTGCCTCTGAACAATGTATCATAGAACTTTAAATAAGTTCGGATGTAGCTTGGCCTAGTGTTGGCTGTTCGGCGACCAAAGTAGGACGTCAGGAGTCGAATTCTGAATGTGTTACTATCCCATCTGGAACAACGGTCCTGAGGGTAGGTAGTAGTTGTTGTTAAACTTATGTAACTATTAGCTTCACGTCATATCTAACTCAATAATAGAACTTTATTGTCATATATCGCCGTTCAACCCAGAAAACTGGCAGCACATTTAATATTAGTTTTTGTTAGATATGACATTAAAATAATGGCTAAAGTAATTAATTTAATGATTTGTATCCACTGGGTTTTTAGTTTACTTTATTTCGACCGATTAGGTAATCTCTTATATTTTACCTATAATAGGAATAATAAATGAATACTAAAGAATGTTGAAATCACAATAAAATATTATACTGTTACAAAATACAATAATAAATTATCTTTATATACAAAGGGTAGTTAGTAATAGGCAATAGTGGCCTTATTGCTAGCGATACATCTTGTCATAACAACCTTCATGTGGTCCCCTTGAAAACTACTGTGGTTAATTTCTGTAAAATTCGCTAATATGGGCTAACTGACCTGTTTTATCCTTCACTAATGTCCTGCCAGCATGTACCGTTAGCGCAGGCAGTTGCACCATTCATTTATATACACAACAAAAATACGAGATATATGAATGAGTTTGAATGAAAAACTGTCCTACCAATAAAGTTATTGTATACATAGTATTGCAATATTGCTTTTTGTTACAACAGACCACAAGACTTGGACTACCATGTGCCTCCCGAGTACCTGATAAATGGTTCTATTAGAGAAAAGTTGGCACCACTACGACTAAATCGATATAAAGAAGATCTATTATTTTATTTGTTCTACTGTTTTGTGGGCGACGTATTACAAATTGCTGCTGCAGCCGAATTGTGAGTATTCTGTTTTATTCTATACACAATTGATACCGATCCGTCCTAGCCTCTCAGGGGTGCATGCACTTGTTGTATTTTTTTTGATATAATATTCTATATAAATATATCAAAGTTCCAGTGGATGTCAACCTAATAAAAACGTAAATAAAAAAAGTTAAGCTGGTGATGGAAAGTTTATATGTATATATTTTTTAATCAGTTTGGTAATATAGTAGAATTCAGAGTATTTTGCCACTCCTATTCATTTCTGCAGAATATAGTAAGGGCCGATTGACGGAACAAGCACATTCCATCTATACAAGGAAAGGAAAAATAATAAAAAACATTGCATACTTGTAATATTATCAACAAAAATATTTATATATAGTCATTAATTCTATTGGCAGTTTTGTACTTCAAAGTAACTAACTTTCTATGCTATATTTATCAACAATCTTGATATGGTATCTAAATAAGTGTTGTAAACAATTTAAGGGAATATGTAATTCTGGTTTCAGATATAACCGCGAGTGGCGGTATCACATGGAGGAGAAGGTGTGGATCTCTCAAGCGCCCGGTATGCCAATGGTGGAGAAAACGTCCACCTACGAGCGCGGCACCTACTACTTCTTTGACGCGCATAATTGGCGCAAGGTAATACAAAAATTAATATACATCCATTCCACACTGCTATACCAGTTTGGACAGTCAAACATTATTAATCGGATTTATGCTTACGCCTGCACTAACAGTGTATGTTTGCGAGTCACCAGTGATAGATCGAATGATCACAGCTGGTCTTCATCTGTCTTCCAATAAAATAAATTAACTACAGAAAATTAACAAACAAATCAATGCAATATTTGTTGTTCAAATTTCCCATTCAAGTTTCTCAGATTACTTTATTATTAGATAATATTAGATATTTTTTTAGAGTCAGTATGTATATAAGTCGCACATGCATCTATATGTGATGTTGGCCAGATTAGAATTCTCTTACTTTGGTTAACCACAAGTCCTTTACACTCGCAGTTATATACAAATAGTCATATTATCTATCAACCTGTTAGAAATATTTCTCATAGTGTTGTTGACTTATACTCAAATAAAGCAACTGTTATTGCAAATTTTGAAAAGTATAGCCAAGGTAAAGTCACAACTGATAGTATAAAATTAAAAGGTATGTTTGTGGGCCAACCTTTTGATTGGAAATTTCAATCATAGTCATATAATTGCATATTGGATGTAGGGGATAATACTAAATATAGATAAGCTGCCTTCACACGGAAGCTTATTCTTATTTAAGCTTTATTCACGCGCGAATCTGTTCCTCCATTCCGTGTATTTACAAGGATATGAGTGAACACAAAAAATAGATAAAAAAAAAACACACGCGCACTGTGCTTTTGAGCGCTCGTGAAAGCACGTGTCGTGTAAAAGCAGCTATTAGCAGACTCATTTACCTGTTACAATATTAAGTGACTTTTGTATAATATTAATCACCAACTCATTATTTATTTGTCCGCAGGTGGCGAAAGAATTCCACCTAGATTACAGCAAACTCGAAGGCCGACCGCAGTTGCCGCCGCACGTGCTCACGTAGCGTTCCCGCTGCAACCATTCTCACACACCTATTGTAGTTTTGTTATATAAAAAGTACAAGTTTAAATATACTAGTTTCAATTCTTGCTGACATATGATCGGGATATATTTTCGCAGTCAAATCAGATCGCAGAAAATACCCACATCCTACGTATATGCCAAATTTCTACACGATTGGATGAGCTGTTAATGTCCTAAGAGGTAATATCATATTACCTCTTGGGTCATTTCTAATATTAGAAAGCATAATAATAACCGTGTAATATCCAAACAGCGCCATCTAGTCCCAAGTTAAACAGAGCTTGTGTTATGGGTATTAATTAAGCTACTGATAGGAATACTTAAATATATAGAAAACACCCAAACCGAGCAAACCAATAATCATACTCATGAATACAAATGTTTCCATCGTCTGAGGAATCGAATTCTCCACTATCTGAAATAAGGCGGTCTGTTAAACTGCTAGGCCACGAACTGTCAAAAATAATATGGACCAAATGTCATTGACAATACAACACATGACATTATTTATCTAACAATAAGTAAGGGACTCTTAATAATTTGAAAGTGGGCAGATAAATTGACTTTTTGATCATAATAATAATAATAATCTCAGGATAATTTGAAAGTGCTAGCTAATGCAGATAGACAAAAAAAATATGACAAATACATAGATTTTTTTTTTGTAAAAACACATAATATACATAATAATAATAATACAAATATTTATCTCACCTGCGATAAAGCGGTGTGTTAGACCGCTAGATCATCTAGGTCGTCATGTGAAGGTAGAAGATTCTTTTTATGGATGATAATGGAATGGTGTATCCGCCTGTACGCTTACGCGGTCTACGTAAGGCGGATGATAAGATGAGCATGAGGTGAGGTTAGTTAGCCTATCGTGGTAAATTTACTATGAATTTTTAACGTGACATGGTACATTGCTAGTAATGGGGTTATTAGTCAACGTTACTAACAATGTCCGTCCCCCCTATAGGCGATGGTTAACACTTACTATCAGATGGACTGTCAGCTTGATGCCATTCCAGGTACATAGAATCAGTGAAAATCGAAGAAAAAATGAGGAAAAGATACTCCTTGATTTGCGCCAGTTACTAGTAGCGCAGAATAGAATATCAAAACAAGTAAGTTATTTTTTTTTTGTAAAAACACATAATATACATAGAAAACACCCAGACCGATACAAACAATCATACTCATGAATACAAATATTTATGCCGTGCGAGGAATCGAACCTGCGCCCATAGGTCGTAAAGCGGTGTGTTAGACCGCTAGATCATCTAGGTCGTCATGTGAAGGTAGAAGATTCTTTTTATGGATGATAATGGAATGGTGTATCCTGAAGTTCTCCAACAGCTTCCTAAAAAAGGTATAGTCGTATAACACAACTTTTCTTACGCTATGGAAAGTTTCAGAGGTCATGACGTAACCTTGTGTCTTCGGATGATAAGATGAGCATGCCATTCAACAATTGAACAAGTGAGTTGTCAACAAAATAAGAGAAGCTCTAGAGAAGAAGCAATACTGCTCTGCTATTTTTCTTGACGTACAACAGGCATTTGACAAGTTTTGGCAGACTGCTATCAAACTGAAGTAATACTTTTAAAATCTTATGAATTTTTCAAAATCGACACCTACTCTACCTTTCAAGACATGGTACATTGTATCTTAGTAATGGACATACCAACATCGGATAATATATTATTAGTCACACGTTGCAACAATGAAAATCCGAACATTGTCCATGGTTTTACGTCACCCCATGAATGGATAGGCGATGGTTAACACTGGAAAACACACTATCAGATGGACTGTCAGGATCATTGATGGACAACAAGCCATAATAAAGCCAATCTGGACATACGGCATCGAGATCAGCAAAGAATTCCAACATAGAGATTTCAACGGTTTCAGAATAAAGCAAAATTCATTGGAACAAAGAAAAAGGAATGAGAACAATCAGAGAAGAAATAGAAAGAACAAGAGTATACAGAGATCGTATGATTTGCGCCAGTGCAATACTAGTAGCGCAGAACTGGAGAATATCAAAACTGTTAAAGTAAGTTAATTAAAAAAAAATCAGATCAGCGGGCGGGTAAATCAATAAAACAATTTGTTACGCACTATTTTTGTATTTCACCTTCCAGCAAAACAATTTCTCATCCATCAGGCGACACTTTTTTATTACAGTCACAATATTTATGGCATGTAAACATTCAGATGTAACGCTTCGATAATATTAGACGACATTATTTTGGCAGTGGATTTTTATATAGGTATATTTAAAGTGTAAATACACAATAAATTAAATAGTTATTTGCTTATTAAATCACCAATTGCAGATAAAAAAATACTAAGATACTATAAGACACATTTCCTTTGTGTAGTTAACGTTGCTTCACCTTCTGATGATCCTAGATTTCTGTAAATTGTTTAGTACTCTTATTATATGCACAGCTTGGGAAGTTACTTGTATAGTTTTTAATGATTCTTTTTCAATAGTTAGAATGACATGGTTATTGAGTATATTTATAGCTGATACTGTATCTCCTGAGAGAGTATTTATTGACTTGGTTTGATGCTACAATCAATAAAAAGCTTGTTCTTATGTGTACGTATTTTTACATGTAGCTGTAAAACTCTACTTCCGATTTAGTTGTACAGTCTATAAAATTGGTTATGTAAGAAACTAATATATAAATCAAGTTAGTACACATGTCATATTTCTATTAGGTTATTAGTATTAAATAGAGTAACTTATTGTAAATTAAAATTAACCTCTGTAGGCCTCTTATTTAATATTAAAGAAATAGGTAAAGTATACAGACAAAAAACAATAATGGCCACCATAAATTGTTTGATTTAAATTAATAAAACTCATTCCATGTTTATTTCCAAACATCAACCTAAGACTTTCTCATTTCTTGTTCATATTCTCAATTCAACATATCATGACCAACATAGAAGTTGAATCATTATTTTATTGTAACTTACATTTAATATTAGAGTAGTTCATGAGTTAAATTTCAGTCAACATCATCAGTGCTGACCGAAGGTGGTGCATTTTCTTCTGTTTCTGTGCCAGTCGTAGGAGAGGATTCAGAATCATCACCTCCACCTGGCACCCACAGGCCTGAGTCTATACATCGTTTCATGTGATAAATTGCTTCTTGTTCAGGCATCTTGGCAATGGTAGCCTGTAGTAATGGGATGTCTTTCTTTTCGAAGCATTCTTTCAGTTCCTGCATTATAACAACATTAACAGTTATATATATTAGAGACAGAAAAGGTTTGTAAGACTTAATAAATTCTGAACTCTGAAATGTACAAATACAAAGACTTTTTTTCAATATAAATAGATTTATATTATTAGTTTCATTCTGCTACCATTAAGCATATGTGAGATCACAAGTATTCAGTGCGGAGACCACGCTACTAGTGTTACTACTTTCTCTATCTTTGAATGAGGCATCATCAGGCATGGGGAAAAGCTCGGGCATAGCTTCTAATTCTAGTGTTCACTATTTGGTGTTACTTCTTACTTGAACTGCAACTTCTAACATGACCATAACCTAGTTCCATAAAATATTTTAACCACATAACATTACTTGACATTATACTTTGTGAGCCTATGGGTCATAGTGATGGAAGAGGTGAGAGTATGTATATCATTCAAGTTATGTTAGTTGATGGTAAAATTTGTATAGGAAAGGAAAGAGTTAGTTACCCTAAGGTAGGAAAACAAAAAATTTCATAATACTCACTGGTGGAAGCTCTTCTAAGACCTCAATTGGATCCAAACCACCTGGACCAAGCCTTGCCTTTCTCTCCTCCTCCTCTGCCTCACGGATAGCTTCCTGTATCTTTTCTGCAGCCCGTTTTCGGATCCTAGCTTTGAACTGTTCCAGTTCATCATCAAATGAATCTTTGTATGTTTTTTCAGTTTCTTGAATTCTGTAGCAGAATAATATTAACTTTTGACTATTTTAAAGTTGAACTTGCTTTAACTGGTGAATCTAACCAATATGTACAACATACATTATACTCCTTCATCTCTAATAAAATAGAGACATTACAAAAACTGTCTGTCTGTTTGTGTTTCATAAAAATGGGTGTGTTAATTTTTTATTTACAAGATTTAAGGTGAAAGAAATCAGCTTTCTAATTTATTTAAAATAACTCCCAAAATGGTAAAACAAATTTATTTATGATTAAAATAATAGATGCTTTCTTTATTGTTGTCATTTCATTTAAAATATTATTTTGTAATAAAGTACTTGGAAATAAATGAAGATAATTAGAAGCCACACATACTTAATTAAATAAAATGAACTTACCTGCTGAAGAATGAGCTAATACAAGCTCTTGGATCTACATCCAGTTGCTTGGAAAGTTCCAACATGTACTGCATACAGATCACTTGATGAGACACATGCGCCATGAGTTCATGTTTCTGTTGACCAATTAAGATTACATCTTTAATATTATTGCATAGAATTAAGACTATTTTCTATTTTTTACCAGTAAATAATGAAGAAATTGGTAATATCTGATATGAACAACCAACAAGGAGCAAGACAATTTAAATATTTATTGAATGTTTGTGTTATTATAATAAACATATATGAAAAGAACAATTATAAGTATAGTAACTAATTAAAGTTAAGTTTATAATAGTCATACCTGTCTAAATATATGTAAAACAGTGGAAACAAAAATATATCAATATATATACACTGACCTCTTCCATTTCCAAGTTAATGCACCATATGACAAGGTAGTTAGCAGTTTCCTCACACACTAAATGATTATGTTCTTGCAAAAATTTCTTAGAATCTTCATATTTTCTCAGCATGCCGTATTGCTTCAATAGTTTTTCATTCTCTTTAATGAATTTCTTCATTTTGGCCTCTTTCTCTTCATCACTTAAGCCTTCATCTTTGGCTCTGACAGGTTTAGAGTTTATAACAGTTTTAGTGAACCCTGGTTCACTTATTGTATCCACATTCCAAGGTGTTAACTTGTCTTTCTTATTTAGGTCTTCATCTTTCTTTTTGATTTCTTTTTCTTCTTTTTCCAATTGAGCAAGTTCCTTCTTCAAGGTGTCCAAGTTGGGTCCTTCGGTATTCTCAGTTATTTTCCTTCTGATTTCTGCCAACCTTCTAATGTTTTCAGTCTTTCTTTGTTCATGTTCCTGTTTCTCCTTTCGACGCTCTTCCATGCGTTCTACTCGGGCCTGATGCCGCCACCTAAATAACGACGGCGTATCGATATTCGGATGAGTTTCATCTTCATCGTCAGAAATCTGAAATATATTTATTTATATATATGTTATACGTGTATGAATAATAAAACTATTTAAGTCGTTAATGAAGATTCCAACAAAAACAGACAGTAAATGGATGAATAAGGTCTCGAGAACCAACCTCTATATCTTTCCATTTGCTGTAGTCCACCATTGTTTGTACTTTAATTAAATGTTTGTTATATTTCTACTTTCTATTCTACTAATAAATAAGCAGGCACGGTTGTAATACAAAATGAGGTAATTGTTTTATTCTATAGGTTTCTCGATAAAACTAGAAAATTCTCTTTTTGTACATAGTTTGTCTGACAATGACATTGACATAACATACGCCCTATGATAAAAATGTCAAAACAGATTAGGGGGTAATTACATTATCAAAATAAATAAAACCAATGAGTATAAATAGTTCTTCGTTATATATAGATGTTAAGTTACACTTGTATCATTTAATGATCTTCCGTTGGAAAACCCTGTGGTATATGAAGTGGCATCTTATAGTCGTATTTAAACTGAAATTCATAATTTCAAAAATGAATGCTGAGGATTTTTTACAATGATAAATAATTGCCTTCCTTTACACGGTTCCCCTTGTAGTGGAACCGTGTAAAGGAATTACACGGTTCCCCTTGTAAACCACTGATGTTAATTACTATTTGTTAATAATAATCTGGTTTTTCTATGTAGATATATTATGTATTTATTTACTTACCAAATTTAAATGTGTTACTATTATTCTTCTCTAAAGACTAAACTAAAAGTATGGATCAGTTTTATTATTTATCTTACGTGGATACATACCTACTACTTAACGTTACTGTAGGAAGGGTTTTACGAGGAACATGAACGTATATTGAATAATGAAAATAAATAATATATTTCTTCTTTTTACAGTTACATGGGATATTTAGTATATAGCACATAAGATATTTAATAGTATAAATTTAAGATGGTTGAAATAATGAAAAAATGATGAAGGAAGATACAAAAATACTTTTTTATTAATGAGAAGAAATGTAGCCCTTTACCATGAAATTTATAACTATACTTGTTGTCAGAACTATTTTATTAGGTATTTCTAATTTATGTGTATGTATATTAACAAGTATTAATATAATATATATTAATGTTTCTTTTTCTTTTTAGCCAAGGTTGTAAGTATAGTTGTGAGGGTGGTAGTTGTTGTCATTGCTTCAGTAACGGACGATGTCACATTTGCGATTGATTCCTCTCCAGTTTCTAGTTGGTTCTCGTCAGGTATGCTTATCTGGAACTGCAGCAGCACCACTAGATACGTCACCATTGTTGCCATCAACTGTTTGTGAACAAATATAAATTAAAGCTAGGTTTTTACACTGAGACTACAGGGTTGATTGATGAGTTCAAAAATCTTAGAAATCCTACTTTTATTGACGGTAGTGTGCATTACAAACAAAACAAATTGCCCATGACTGATGTTGATGTTTGGCAGTTCCTTTCCTGTTGTCTTTATTATCATTAATGTATAAATAAAAATTCGTTAGCCGAATTTTAATTTATTTTGATGAACAAAAATGAACTTTCTACAATATTTACATCCATATGAGTAATAAATAAATATACGTACAGATTTGAATAGAGTACGATTAATGTCAAAATATCCTCCAAGACTGATTTGGGAAGTATTCATCTCAGTCGCGCGAAGGAACATATTCACTTCAGTCTGCGCATCAGCATTCATCCATGATAACTCTACCATTAGCAGTTTCTTTTGAAAGATCGTACGGACCTGTTGGGGAATATACATAATATACTTAATACTAATTAATTGGTAAGTACATTAATGGGATGAATTATTAGAAATTGTAGCTAATAGATTGCTATAAAAGGGATAGCCAGACAATATAATCCTAGAAAAGTTCTCGACTTATCTGATGACATTAGAAAATTAGTCTAGTCTGAGGGCACCGCTAAGGTTCGAACCTCGGCTCGGCTCAGGCTAGGTCATCCTAATTTCGATCCCCGTTTGATTTTGAGGGCAACTATTAGCGTAAGAGAAGAGACCATCAACTTTTATAGGGTAGGGGTGCTTAGGTACCTATTTTGGCTGTCACACTAGGGAATCATTAGTAATAGTTAGTAAAACAATTATATTCCAGTACCTACTGAAACTGGTTTCCTAATTATTTGTAATACTTTTATCTACTAATTGTTTAGCAAGCCAATTTTGTATCAAAAACATTACAAGTATTTGAAGATAGTAATGAGCAATTGTAAAGTAAAAAGATTATCTACTCACATTATGAGATGCATAGTGGGCTTCGTCACAGATAAAGAATAGTAAGAAAATGCTGCAAAGGGCAGTCAACGCTAAGCCTATATCCTTAATTCCAAAACCCTCAGAGATTTGGCTCAGGAGGCCATAAATCGAGAGAGTTATAATGAGGAATAAATATAAATTGACGAATGTGAAAGTGTAGCAGTTAGCGATGCCGGTATCACGAGCAATTTTGCTAAGTCTTAGCCATAAAGCGCGGTATTCGGCTACTTTTCCAGCAGGACCGACGTAGCGCAGTGCCTGAGGACGATAATTAGGAATTACTTCCTACAAAATACTTCTAGAATAATCGTAAGAACAGTATTTTTTCTTAAATATTTGGAATTCAGTTGATTTAGAGCAGAATTTTATTTAATTGTATATAATTTTATATGTATATACATTGTTACTGTATTCCAAATTGCAATAAAAAATATATAAATTTTACAATAAATGTTAATTTTGTTAATTTCAGAAATATCCTCACATCACTTATTATTATTATTATTATTATTATTAGAGTTATCTAAAAATCATTTAGTAAAATAATTACTTCCAATTATCAAAACCGCTGTTAGCTACCTACTTTCTTATAAAATGTAGATATTCAATGATTCATGTTAAATTTTAATAATAACAGAATTTCCATAAAATATGAAAGGTAGACGATAACAAGGAGAATAGAATAGCAACATGTTCAAAGTAAATGTGAAGTAATTCGAATTACAAGGCTACCTGTTGGAAGTCTTCGGCCAGAATGCTAGCAGAGAAGCTGAGACTTTCACAAAGTAGATACCAGTAGCCTCCCAATATGTACGTCAATATTTCAAGGAATATGTATGGAACAATCTGAGTAAGTTTGAAGTGCACCATCGTAATATGAGTGACGACTACCGATGTAGTGGAGAGAACAGGGATAACTATCGCAATAGCCAGCGCTTTATTGTACAATTTTATTGGCAGTGATCGACCAGACATTTGTTTATATGCAACCTGTGAAAAAAATATAATTTCTTAATTATTTGTCTAGAATTGAAAAGTAGACACTGTATAAGTGTGTTTACGTGTTGGTTTGCGTGGTTACTGCTATCACACCTACATTTGTCTGCCTTCGAGCAATTTGCTTCGTGTGCTGTGTTTCAGATGAAGGGTTGATATAGTAGTGAAATCATAGCGCATACTACCTTAGTTCTAGGTACAGAATGAGCGGTATCACGAACGTTACATGAGATCTGACGTGAAGCTGTTTCGCTGTTACGACTATTTATATAGATTGTATTAAATTAAATTACTTCAGAGCAACATGATGCTACATAACGAAAGATCTTCACGACGATCGGTCCTGTGCTGCTCGTGCCTTCCACACAAAGCGCTCCACTTCCTATAATCCTATAATCAATCTAGATATATTAATTTCATTTTGATACACTCAGCTTGTTGATCATAGTTAGCGACGTCTCTGAAGATATATTAATTTCATTTTGATACACTCAGATGAAAATTTAATTTAATAATATTATGTGATGATTATTATTATTTCAGCCATACATAGCCTACGTCTGTGTACAGATTATGGCTCCTAATGATGCACCTGAATGTCGATGGTTAAACAATAAACAAACAAATCTCTATACTATATTTCAATTAATATATAATTTTTTTACCTCAAATTGGACCCAAGAATTCAGAACAGCAGCAATTTTGCGTGTTTCGTACCACAGTATAGGAACGGTGATCATAGGAAATAAGTAAACCGTAAACAGATACTCAATGACAGCCTCCTCAAATTTTCCCTCTGCACCAGTTGTCCGTAATATTTGAACTTTATGAAGTGACAAGTAAAGTACATAGCTAACAAGGGAAACATAGACAATGGCTGAATACAACATAGAGGGTGATGCTATTTGGAATTGATTCACAGCTGGTTTAGGCCTGGTCAATGGTAATACGCCCATGAGCCTCATTATTGTAAATACGGGCTTTATATTCTCATATATGATATCTTTACTAATTATAGGGTTAACGAGATTATCCTTCAACGGCGCTACAGTATTTGGTGAAGTTAATCTCTTAAATGGTGTCCGAGCGGGCGTGACGTCCAGATATATCATTCTGTTCTTTGGTTTATCATCCATTTGTGTAGCGTTCCCGTTAGGAATGGCGTTTGGAAACAGGCTATTAGATGTGTAGAGAGACATTTTGACGTTTACGTGTTAGCTACTTTGGTGTACAGGTCTGACTGAATCGAGTTACACGAGAAGGAAGCGTAATGGGACTAAGATGGCGCCGCTTCGTCATATTTCAAAGGTTGACAGTTTGATTGGTGCCACGTAGGCGTTTTGTCGTCCTTGCATTAATTTTTCAATGTGGACTTCACCTTGACTAAGACCCTGACTAGGTACTAACTACGTGACAGCTCAATCATTCAAATATGTGGTGACTATCAATTTCAAGATAATTCATAAGCTAACAAGTATTTATGATGATATACATGAACTTTTCTGTTAGTGCATACAGAAATGCTATAATATAATACTTACCTATTTAAAATCAGATAGATATCTATGTGCAGATTATAACTCTAAGTAGGCGGATATTACAAGAAATCAAGTATCTTATTTTAAATATTTTTTATTAAAACTGCTTGAAAATATATATTAGATATAATAATTTATACCTATTATGTATTAGGTACAATTTATTATTTCAATAACAGAATTTTAGCAGCTTCATGTTGTATATCTAATTAAAGCGATAAGAGGAATATTTATGTAAATTTAGTACCCTCTTAATGTCTTGTAAGCGCACGAGGGTGCTTACAGCAAGCACTTACTCATTTTAAGAGATTTGTGGAGATTCTCAGGGAGATTATATTTACGCATGAGGACGAAATTTCATGTACTAATCTAAATCTATTCTGCAAACGTGGTTAAAATACAATTTTGACAGTACAATTAGAGCCTTGTCATTGTTCTTATGATAAGTTAAATAAAATAGCTATTCACTAAAGTTTTAATTTCTGTTATATTTTGTATACAGTACATACCTATATTATAAATCGGGTCATATGTCATACAAATATACTTAGTAGAATATGAACTTCTATATATGTGCATATGTATGCTGCCGTCTATTGCAGAATGTAATTTAATTAGAGAAGAACTGACAAGAATCTAATCAGTATCATCAAGTTTAAAATACGTAGATATTATGAGGCATGTAAAATTATGTACTGTTCCACACATTTTATGACAGTATCAATAGGGTCTACTTACGGTAGTGTCTGTTATTACTAGTACGTCGGATACTTATATATTATTACGTATAGAAGTACTTGAAGTAGTGCCTACTATTATTAGCATGTCGCGTCGGTTACTTAGATATTAGGTAAGTATAGCGTTGTTAGTTTTTAATATATTTTTCAATACTACATACAGTGACCATATGGATTAATTCGTTTTTAGTAAATACGAAACCAAATAATAGCCGCGTAAGATTTATATCTAAGAATAAAAGTTCGTAAACCAACTCAACATTATGTGTTGTTTAATCAATTTCGCAAAGAATCATGTTATACAATATTTTAAATGTGAGAGAATCTTAAAACACAATAAAGGTACTTATTGTGTTTTAAGAATCTCTCACATTCACTCTTACTTTTAAAATAAAATAAAATTTCTGTTAAAATAGAAATAATGCTGTTTTTTTAATGGATTAAAAAATTGTTTTTGGTTTGTAAAGATAACAGAATCCAATAGTACTTGTAATATGGATGCAAATTTATATATTTAGAAAATAATTATAACGGTATATCTAAATCTATGCAAATGATAAAAAAATAAAATCTATGGATATAAATAGAACTAAGTTTGCTCGCTACAAGAAATGAAATAAGTAGCATAACTAATAACGACTATAATTAAGTAGGTGTTTATTGAACTCATTAGTAGCTGCTTTAAAATTTAGTTTTAGTGTCGAAAGTAATTTATAATATTATTCTTTATTACCCTTTACCGTTATATAGTTATGGTTTATTCAAACGTACAGCTCAATCCCGTAAAAAAGGAGCCGAGTTAATAAAAAAAATTATCGTTGGTCTGCAGAAATAAATTATGATGTTTTATAGGGCACCTGCTCGGCAATATATAAACTAGGACATTAGATACTTGTATAACAAATGAACGCCTGGAAATGTCTTTTTATGGATCATAAAGCTTTAGGTGAACGATAAATAAAACACAAGTGTTCCTCCACTGCACAGATGAATTTGGGCCGTAAAGCGTGATGCCAGTAAAACAACGATTTTTAAGTTAAAAGTTGAGATAATATTTTTGTTTTCGTTATTACCAACTTTTTTTTCTTTTCGTTGATACTTTAATAGATATGTGTTATAATGTAGGGAGCTGTAAATATAGTCTGTGGCAATACAGTAATCTACTACATTAATTCTCTGTTTTCTCTGGCATCAGCTATGTAAAATCACACAGTGTAAGTTCCATGGCATATATCAACTGCTTGTAATTATGCAATTATACATCAATGTATGTACATATTTAGCAAACTACGACTATTAACTGCTGTTGAGATTCGATTGGATTGTGCGGGTCATTCGTTTGAAGCTAAGCTAATAAGATAGCATTCTAAACAACTATACCACCGAGGTTGAGGTTGATTTTAATAAAAAACACATAAATTGACGATATCTTAAATCACAGACAACATAATACAATTTTAGAATACTGTAGGATTTTTATCTCAGTCAATCCCTATTTATGTCAGTACCTATAAAACTAATATAATTTCTAGCATAGTGTTGTTTTATTAATGGATGAATATGGATTAGTACATCGGCCTGTGCTATAGGGCCGCAGGTGTTGCAGTAGTGGAGGATGTTAAAATGAGGACAAAGTTAGGTCATTAGACCATCGTGGTCAATTCTTCAGGAAGTGTCCACTATGGTTTCTAGGCGTGTAGTGAACTTGTCTAACATAAAATGTTAGCAATGAAAACATTAGTCCTATAATTACCAATATAATATTACTAGCTGTGCCTGTCTATGAAATTTATAGCCTATGCGTTGTTCTGATGTGTAAGCTATATAACTGTAAAGTTTCATTACAATCTGTTCCGTAGTTTTTGCTTGAAAGAGTAACAAACATCCAATCATACTCATAAACTTTCGCGTTTATAATATTAATAATAGGATATATGGGGATTGTATGTTGTAACAGTACAACAATCGTATCAGTAAGGTTTTCTCATCATTGCATCGAGGCCAATTTCCTTACTTAATACTCGATTAACCCGCCTCGGTATATCCAAATTTGATTGTGAGCGACTTAAGAAAGCCCCGCGGCCTTACTTTCTTCATAATTGCCAGCTAAATAGTCTATGATCAAGGTGTAGGTAGGTACCTAGCTTACGTTTAATTTAACCAATAAAGCTGTTTTTAATATGTATTAACATATGATTAATACATATTAAAATTGATATAGAATTCTAAATCTTTATTACAAATAATTTATATATAGAATTATTTGTGAAAATAGACATATAAGGTCAGTATAAAATCGACACGGAAACCGATAGGATCGGTTTCCTGGTTTATTGAAATCTCAGCATCCTACTGGAGTGCTCTCAAGTGGCCGCCTTGTCAGGCACAACGTTCTCGTCTCGGGTTCGATTCCACCCGACAACGTACTATCATGGAAATTTCAGTAAAATATTCAATTCACTTGAATTCGATCAAATTCGGTTCTGAATATAAAATCAAGTTTACAAATCACAATATTATCCATAAAAATTTCAATTTATTTGTTTAATATTTTTAAAATTAGAATTTCGGTATTTTAATTGCAGATTTCTTTTCGGTTTTTTTTCTTTGGGTTAGGTAAAAGGTGTCAGCTCATACAGCCATTGTCTTTTGGTTTAACATATATTTTTATATATAATTTTTAGTTTTTCTTCTCAGAGCAATAAAAAGTCAAGAAGGAACATGGTTGTCCCGTTAAAAAAGATACTCCTTTAATTCATTATACTTAGGAAGTTAATTCTGATGATTTATCCGCGACGGGTTAGTTGACCTGACAATAATTTTAGTCAATCAGTGTGGACTAGTGAGTATTAGAGCGGGACGTAATTTTCACTGTATTATTATTTCGCTTTGTATACACACTTAAAAATGTAAAGTAATAATAAAATTATTTAAAAGAGCAACACGCAAGTTTCTTTTTCGTTCTTTTTGTGATGAGAGCTTTCCGAATGAGCGGTAGATTAAAAAAATGTAATGCCTATTCAAAAGAGCTTCAAGTAAGTAAGTAAGTTTATTTGAATAAATGATATTCTATTCTTTCATTAAAGACTGAAGCACTGTAATATTGAAAAACATGCAAAAGTGAAAACATAATATTGTTTCTATAGTCAACTAATTGAGTGGCTCTCTATATAATTTACTTTATATTCTGTAATAAATAGGTTCTATTTATAGTAAACGAAACTTTGACGATACTAAGTCGGTAAATATTGTAATTATATTTAAAAATTTTGAAATGAAGGTTTCGAAGTTACTCTTTGACTTATTCTTGAGTGGATTATTTATATTTCTTTAGGTAATTGTAATGGCAATCAATTGACAGCCACTGATGCTCCACCCGATGGTAAGTGGTAACCGTTGGCTATAAACATGAACAGCACCACCGAGATCACATCATGTGACAGTCCTATCATCGTACGTACGTAGTATAGAGGTACCTACTACGTACGTAGCCATTCTGACGAACTTAGCCATCATGCCACCCTACAATTTCATTGCCATTTAGATATTATCGAAATACAGCTTACAAAACAAGCTTGTTTTGTAACCATAGTTCAAATATGTGAGCTGAAAGTCACGTAGACGACTTTGTACAAAGTCTATCTATCTATAAATAAATGTTGATCAAAGTTATCACGTTATGACAACGGGGAAAAGTTTGCGGCTAATGTCGACTTGGAAGTGTAAGGCCCCTAACTTGTGCTATTGAAAAAGTTCCGTCCTTTCAACGCTTAATGAGAAAGACCCTGGAACAATGGTGCTACGTGAATGAAAAAACGGGTTATCTTTGTAAACTGATGTTTAGACATTACAAATTTGTGAGGGTGCAGTAATGTTTTTAATTTGAAGTTAACACTGTTTGTAAACAATGGTCAAACGAGATTTTTAGGTGTTAATTTTTCAGTTTTTTGTTTGTAACGCCGCGCCGCATATATATTTAACAATGTTTAGACTCGTAGGCATCATATAAGTACATATAATGTATTGTTCACCTTTTGGATGAATATTCCGTTTGAGATAATAAATACTGGAGTTCTAAAAGATATAACTGGCCGCCAATAAAACTAACATTTAAAAAAAAGTATAAAAAAGACAATGTATTTAAGTCTTTGT